ATCTATGGGACACGTGGGTGGCTCAGTTGGTCTGCCTTTGGCTCAGGTCATGATCCCAGGGTTCTGGAATCGAGCCCCACCTAGGGCTCCCTGCTCAGCAGAGAGCCTGCTTCTCCCTCTCCCTCGGTTTCTCCCCCAACTTGTGCTCTCTCACTGTCTGTCAAATAAATAAAATCTTCAAAAAAGAAAACTTAGGACAAGATCTACTCTTTCAGAGGGCATCTAAAGTTTGGGGTCCCCTGAAGCCAAGCCTGAGCAAGGATTTGAGTACAAGTAGTTTATTTGGGAGGTGACAGAAACACAAGTAACTGGAAAAGGAGGAAAGGAAGACACAGAAGGGAAGGCCACCAATGAAGTGAGCTCTCCAAGCCGGTTTCCACCGTGGGTGGAAAGAATTTTGCTGGAGAAACTAAGGGAACCAGTATAGAACCAGTATAGAACCAGTATAGAACACGTGCTTCCAGCAGGGATGGGTAAAAGACACCAAGTCCCAAGAGTCATTGGTAAGGGACACACCTGGGGCATTGATCCCACACAGCTGACTTCGGAAATCAAACAAAGGCCTCAAAGAAATGGGGGTGCTTGCATTTGAAGTCAGGGTGACCAGCCCTCAGGGGTGAGAGTGAAGGGACATGAGCTGGTGATAGGCTGCCTCTACTACAAAGGTTTTTTTCTTCCCCTGAAATATATCTTGCTTGTGTACATAGCACACTTGGTAAACACAGGGGGACGTTGACTTCCTCCAACATCTCCCTGAAATGGCAAATCAGCAAAAGGGATAAACATAAGCCACAAGTAGAATAGGAAACTTCCTCATTAGGTTTCTGGCTTTCATACTTTTGGACATTTGAATTCCTTTCCTAGAAAAAACTAAAGCATCAGCTTCTAATACGTATGTTCCCAGTTTTACATTAATAGTGGTAACACCCACAACGACTTGCTACATCAGCTCATTGAACTCTCTGAGAAGTCTTGTGAAGGGATATAATTTTTTGTCCCTCAAACTTCTATAATATTCTAAACCATCTGACAGAAAGCTTGCATGCCTGAAGCGCCATCGAAATAACAGGCCCAAGAGGGCAAAGAGTGCTCAGACTCAAATGACTTCCAAGAGCAAAGGTTTATCCTGAAGGTGGGGAGTGGCTTTCCCGAGTGGCTTCCCTCTAATTGTGAGGTAGTGGGAAGAGACGGGTTATGGGGACCAGTAGAGCAGGAGATAAACCCCACTGGGATCTGGACTTCACAGGAGCTGTCTCAGCAGCAGCTGGACATTTTGGTGCAGGAAGCAAATAGAAGTCCCACGGCACCTCGGCCAGTGAGAGAGCCTCCCCCCCTCACCCGAGGACATTGCAAAAACATGACATTAAGGATTGTATTCTCTGATGACGGTGCTGTAGTTGAATGCCAGATGGGCTCACTTATTTTTCAGGGCACAGACCACTTCTGAGGAAGCTAAGTTCCTACAGGAATAGTAAGTACCTACTGAACTTTGTCTTTTGAAGGGAAAGCATGCCAAGCTACACCACTGGATACCCAGCTCCATTAGATCTGTCCAGGAACGCACATTCCTTGGGTGTGAAATGATTAATATTACTGATTAATTAGCAAAAGCCTTTTGAGCAGGGCATGGTTTAATCAGTAAGCATACGCTGTGCTGTGTGCGTTGGTGATGAGCAAAATGCTGCAGAAAGTTCCAGGCCTTTGCCTTCTGAAATTCTCAATTCTCATTTTGTCAAGGATTCAGTGTAGAGTAAAATAAACCACACATTCAAAATTTATGGGGACTAAAACCTTCTGGCAGTGGAAAGGTACACTTCACATTCTGAGGTCACAGAAGTCTTTAGGAACCAAGGAGAAAAACCAATTTTCAGTAAATAGTATTCAACGTCTCAGGACCCTGCCCTCTGGGAGAATAATTGTTCCTCACCCCAAGTATGATTAACAGAGATATTCCAATTTTGTCTCTGCTTTTCACGCTCAGGCATGCAGACATTATACTAGTATTTCAATGCTGAGGAATTAAGTTATATTGTCTGGTCAGTTAAGGAACTGGAAACAGGACAATACCTCTGTCGCCCACCCCTGGTGTTATTACTGTGCTATTATTACCATTATCAGTCACGTTGAGTGAAAAGAACTTACGTTTTGGATTTCTCCGTTGTGGGGTGGGGGAGGGCAGGGTAAAGAGCAGAATGGGGGCTCGAACGCTAGACATTTTGCCCCAGTGAATCCTTTTTAAAGTCTCAATCACAAAGAAAGCAAACTTACAAGATGGAGGAGGAGGGAGCGGCCGGCGGGACCTGTGGGTGAAGCCGGGCGGTTGCCCGGAGAGCAGAGTACGGTCTCCAGGTCCTCTGATGAGTGCCTTGCTCCTTCCTGGAAGGAGGTCCCAGGCCCAGCACTGGATTGGAGCTCTCTGATGGCAACACGTTCTGCAAACCTGGCTCTCTGTGGTTTGGTACTAGTTCTTAGGGACAAATGATAGAACTGCCTGTGTTTTTAAGGGTTCAGGTGTTTTGCAGAATTACCCATCAGAGACTTCAGCTGACTGTGCTTGCCAGGTGCTGGGATTTGGGCTCAGATGAGCGTGGAGCAGGGTGGCTGTCTGTGAGCTGGCCGGCTCAGCTGTTCCCTGTCTTGAAGAGCAGGGGCGGATGCTGGTGACTTCATATTTAGTGGCATCAGACCCTAAGGCCAGTTCAAAAGATTTGAATGCAAGTGGACATATAACCTTTGAAGAACCGATATGGCAATAGTTAGCTACAAACATAAAAACATTCTGCCCTTTGACCCAGTAGTTTTACTTCTAAGAATAATAAATGAATTTATCTTCCATGACATAGCCATTCTCGTGTTGCTTATAATCACAAAAAGTTGAAGCGACCCAGTTGTCTAAGTGGCTGGAGATTGGTTAAACGCATTATGATAAATTCATTTGATGGCATGGTCTATAGTCAAAGACCTGGGAAAATTTGTCATATAGTTTTGAAAACCATATAAAAATATATATGGTATAATTGCCATTTTGTAAGGAAATCCAAGAGCATTTAAAAAGAATGCAGACATAGTACTAAAGACCTATGGATTTCTGAGTGAGGAGCGATAGGTGATTTTTATGCTTTTCTGCATATTCTGATTTTTCTATAGAGAACGTAGATGCCAGTTGTATTCAATTACAATCACACTATTTAGAAATGGAAGTTCTCTGGGGTAAGTGAGACCACCTCTCACCTGGGTGGGAGGAAATGTCAGCATGTTCTGCCCAGAGCCATTGTCCTCTGACAAAAACGCAACAATCCTCCTACTGAGAAGTGAGTTCAGGAGGTGCTCTAGGGGATGGGGGGGGTTGGGGGGTTGGGGCGGGGAGGGTTGCTGAAGGAAGCAGCCCATGAAGGCACAACCCTGGTTCATAGTCACGTGATGCCCCCAGAGTGACTATTGTCCAGATTGTTGGGCTGTGCTGTTGGTCTTCTCCCAGTTGGTTTCCTCACAGTCCGGTTTTCTCACCCTCCCCCGCACTCCTGGACCAAAAGGAGACCAACTGTGGACCTGTCTCGAACTGGTCCCAGCCAGCCACCGGTGAGCCCACGATCCCTCTGGAGCCTCCCACCGCAAGGTCAGCCCAACCTGTGAGGGACTTTGAGTCAGGAAGAAGACAACAGGGACAATATTTGTATGGCACTTTACAGTTTACAAATAATTTCCACGATGCTTCTGTTGAGGAGCTGTAGACATTCCTTTCAGAGAACACACATGCGCAGTCTGAGAAGAGGCACGCCGAGGGCTGTTTCTTTAACTGTAATTCCATCTGTGACACTCTCAGCTGCCTTCTGGTGACTGGGGGGACACTTGGATAAGGCGGGGGGACAGCTGTACTTCAAGCTACTATCAAAGGGAAGGAAGATCGGTGGTGTCAGTGAATTCGTTGTCCCTTTATAAGGAATCTAGAAGTGCTAATGAATAATCACTAATAAATCACTTATGTTAACACCAGGAAGCCGGAAGAGAGAACCACGCGTTTAGTGGAGCTGGTGCCAAGGCAGGTAAAATGGAGCCTCTTCATGCAGACTCAGTGTCCGGGTGGTGATCGCCTGATGAAGTTTTTACTGGAAAATCAAATGTTTTCAAAAAACACCCAACTTAAGTTCATGCAATTCAACGTCTGAGTCAGCACGGCATCCCAAATGCCCACCAGTCAGCCTCTGTTGAATGCCCTCTGTGATGGGGAACTTGCTACTTCTCCAGGAGAATATTCCACGGTTGTACAGATATGGTTGTTAGAAAACATGCCCACAGGACTGTAGGGTTGAGGGTCATAAACGAGAACTGGGTCGAAGGGAGTGTGGCTCCGTTTCAGAGGGAGAGAGCAGGGAGCATCGAGGGTACCATATAGGATTACTATGTCCAAATTTCAGAATTATTTGTTCTTTTTCTTCTGAGGGACAAATACCATGTAAAAGACACAAAAATGCTTACTTAGTCTTCTTCATTAGGAAGAGTGGTGCTGCGTAATATTAATTGCCTGGTACATGGCTCATTATTTTGTAGATAAAAACCAGAAGCAAGTCCTCCTTCCTACTAACTTCTGTTAGCTTGCCATGCAAAACTTTAATTACAGGATGTAGAGCCATCTCAGTTCTCCTCCAAGAGAATCTTTGTCCTCAAGGAATTGATAATCATAATTGAGACTTGGTTGGTAGCAGACTATACGTGGGAAACCAAAGGGAAATAGAGGTTCATTAATTCGGTTTGTCAGTTATTTAAAGATTTTACAAATATTGCGTGTCTCCCCAATTGGACTGTGTACTCATTCAGGGCAGGATTTACTTCTTGTGCCTGATCATATGTCCAACATTGGGCACACAAAGTACCTCATTGCTATGTGCTTCATGATTATCTGCAGAAAATTATGTTGTAGGTAGCACGCTGAACATGTGCTGAAGAATTAGTATGATTAACAATGCCCATCAAGCCATTGGTTTAATGCTAATAAAACATCATCATTTAAAGAATACACTGCCTTTATTTAACCCCATAAGTTATAAGCCCTTAACACATGTACAATTTTGGTGTTTTTTTAAAGTGCTTTAAAAGATATTTATTTTTTTTAACCAGGTGGAAGATAATGTTCTTTAAAAGACATTTCATTTTTAGTGGAAGAGATTACCAAAGGCATGTAACAATTTGTTCGACATCTTCGAGAAACGGGATTTTTATATAAAATACACATGGGGCACTGAGTGCCAAAATGATGAGTACGTGTGGTCAGAATTCAAAATGAGACTTGCTAGCAACCTCATCTAGAAGGTGTCTTAAGTCAAGAATGATCCTGTGGGGAGAGAAGGAGGTGTGTTGGGGGGCTGTGCTCTTGGAGGTCTAGTGCATGGCTTCCCTTGTTGTGTGATGGGTTTGAGTTAGTGGTGAGGACAGCCACTCAGATTGACAGTCCCCTGGATGTCCAGGGCTTCCGTGACAGGGACAGGAACGTGGTTGACTTGAATGTTCTTTAGACAGCCAAAAAATGATTCCCACACTGGGAGCTTCACGGTCTTCAAACCAGCTTCAAGAGAAAAGGAGAGACATTCAGTGGGTAATTCATCTGTCAAGTGAATGTACCCAATTTAAAAAAGAGTCTTCTTAGAACTCAAGTGACCAAGGGACTTGGGCCACCTGGTGGCCTCCTCCTTTGAGCTGGCACCCCACACCCCCACCTGCTATAATCAGTCAACAACAAGGCTATTCTTCGAGTCCTTCCAAGAAGCCGATTCCACAGCCCACATCAATAGATAATAACTCTGAACTCTGGTGCTTTTTATGGGTCATGGAAGACCCATAAAATTAACAAACTATTTGGAGGAACATAAAAGGAGGAAGAATGACAAAGCTCCTTCCAGGCAAAATTCCAGAACCTGCTTGCTCCTCCCATTCTGGCCCCCCAGAGCTTAATAACTCACCAGGAAAACTAAGCAACGGGAGAGAAGAGACCGATTTCTCAGCCCCTTTCCTGATTCTTTGCTAACACCAGACTTCCAGGTTAACGCAGCCTTGTAAGAGGGGCTTATAAGTGATAGGCCTGGGACAGAAGCAGCAGCAGGAATGTGGCCTGGGCTATACAACATGCCCATTGCTAGCAATTGAGTTTTCCCATGTGTTGGAGCAAAGGGCTTCACTGTCTCCACTGTCCAGCCAACTGCTGCTCAGCTAATGACCCATGGGCTGGGGTGCTGGATTTGCTGGACTAAGACGGACATGTTAAGAGCTGACATGGGGCAACATGGGTGTAGGAGAAGCCAAGACCAGAGTTACCTGGGACACCTCCAATGTGTAATGGCTCTCGAGTGTCGGCAGGTGGGAAGGGGAGCCGTCCAGCTGTGTAGCTGTTCTCTGCGTCCAGCTCCAGGTGCAGGATGTGCTGTTTGATGGTGACTGGGGGGAAAGGAAGCTGGTCAGGTCAGTCACCCAAGGAGAGCGCTGCCCAATATTTAAAGTCTCCGTTAGTGTGTCACCACGGGTTTCTGCTCAACTCATTCCGTGGGAGCGCTGCTGATAGGAATTCAGTCTACCTAGACTCAAATTCAACTAATTTCTCAATGCCAAGGGGTATTTAGGTGTTCTGCATACATTACAGAATTCAATCCTTAAATGCATCTGTGAGGAAGATATCTCACTCTTCTTTCTGAGAGAAGAGACTATGACTCTCAAGGCATTGAGGAGCCTGACCAGACAGTTACAAGTTGAATGGGTTGGGATTCCGAGCCCCGTCTCCAGAAGTCATGTTTATTTCATGTGATCTTAGCTTCTTTCTGGGAGACGCTGACTTCTGAAACCTGAGTCGCTTTTTTGACCCTCCAAATAAAATTCCTCCAATGTTAACGTTAACAGTCGTCCCTAATCGCTGTGGAGTTAGCATTTCAATTAGACAGGCAGACACTAGCTTTTTTACAAAAGACGTTTTAGCCAATGCGCTTTAACGTATCTCCAAGCTCACGCATACAGGTTACTCATAAAATAGCAGACTGGGGGGGGGGGGGGGGGGGAGGCCAGGCCCTTCCCCACCCAGTGGTATGTCTACGTCCCTTGCAGTAACTTTAAATGGTGATTAAAAAAACCAGCCCAACAATAAACTTTAACAATAGTAATAGCAAATACTTACTGGCCCCTTGCTACATATTGGACCCTGCGGGGCACTTTGCATACATTATCCCATTTGATTTTCACCCTGGGAGGCCGAGGCTACTTTTTTACCTCCATTGTGCAGAGGAGGAAACGAAAGATAAAGAGCAATTAAGTGGCTTGTTCAAGGTCACTTAGGTAAAAGCCCGAACTGAGATTTCCTCTTTGTTCTTTTTTCTTTCAGAGCCAAAATATAAATCACAATGTTATACTACCTCGAAAACAAACAGAGTTTATCAGTTTTCCGAGCTCAAAAAAAAAAAAAGAAAAATTCTCTGTAGCTGACGGAGGATGGAGCACGGGTTGCAGCCACCCTGAACTGCGTCCTCACTGCTGGGGTGGGTTGAGGATGGCGGTGTTCGCACTGTGAACCCAGAAGGGGGTGGGGGGCGTGGCTGAGCTTGGCCAGACTCAAAGGGATTGAGGAGCTGATGCGGCCTCAGGGACATTCAAGTCCCAAAGGAAAGGGAGACAGCTTCAGGGTGTGAACAACAGGCTACGGGCCATCATACCTGTCACGGAGTGCCACCGTCCATCACACAGAGACCGCTTTGGTGTGACCGATGCCAAGATGCCCCCTGCTTCACTGTCCACAGAGGCTGTGACCTGGAACACACAGGCATTTTCCTATGGCCTTCAGAAGGGTTGGTGAAGCCAACTTCCCAGGCTTCCTGCCTTCCCGGCCCCTGCCACCCCACCAGCCGGAAGCACTTTAGACGTAAGCCCCCTCCCACACCAGGAGATGATATGGGGGCCAGCTTTGCAAGAATCTCTCTGCTACACCCCTCCCAGGCGAGCAAAATGCAAACCCGGGGCCCAGCCTAACGTCGGTGCCAAAGGCCACGAGCCCTGTCCTCCCAGTCCAAACCCCTCCTTGGGCAGGCTCTACTCAGAGGGCACTGGGTAGCATGGTAGAGCCTTCTCAGCTGTTAGCATGTGACAGTGGCTGTTTAGAAGGATGTGAAATTTGGAAGGCAAAAATGCTGGCTGAGGCTACACCCTGCTGCAAGACCCAGACAATGATGATAATTCCATGAATGCACGCCTTACACAGGGCTCTTGGTTCAACGAATTCAGCAAGCTCATGGATTGCATTTGTACTGGGCATGCGTCAGGGGTCAGGTCCTCATGCTAGCATGTAGAATCCTGAATTCCCCCTCTCTGGGCCAGGGCCAAGGGCTGAAGCAAGGTGAAGGAAGGCGAGGACTAAAATCAGCAAGTGGGTAACTAATTTGCATTTAATTTGCATGTAGCTAGATCTTGCCACCAATTCTCAGGCAATTTTCCAGCTAAACAACGTCACTGCCCTTACAGAGGTCATCAGGTCTCAGTGTTTGTGTGTGTGATGATCTCCCCTCTAGAAGGCCTCCTGGAGCCCCTCCTCCTCCCCTGAAAAGCCGGCCTTCTCTCCAGGCCAGCCAGCAAGGGGCTCCTTGTGCCTCTGGCCTAAGGCCTTGCTCACACTTACAGGCCACATCGCAAATACAAAGTGTTCTAGGAGTTTGGGCTGTTTTATCTTCTTCTGGGAGTTTACCCCTCATGGTTAATAAGCCGTGGAAGGGTAGAGGTGAAGGAAAACGGCATATTATGGCTAAATAGAAAAACACAGGCCCCAGTTGGAGCCCCCTAAGCCCCATTACCAGACCAGGGCTGAATACCTAACCTAAGTGACCTTTCAACCTCCCCCAGAAATGGAGTCTTAATAGATCAGTCAGGAATTTTCTGAACAGCACCCATGACATTATATCTGTCATATGGGTCTTCTTCATTCCCTGCCCCCCACAAATCCCACCCCAAAAGTTAGGTGAGGTAATCCACCTACTAAGACCCCCTGCCCTTCCCCTAATGGAAGGTGACCTTGCCTGGAAGAATCTTTTCTTTTCCTTTGCTTATGACTTCCTTGTCCCACCCTCGCTCCTTCTGTACAACTCCTCAGAGCTCCCCTCTGCTTGCTAGATGTGATGCTGCCTGATTCATGACTCAGGTAAGGTCAACAAGATCTTCAAATTCACTCAGTTGAATTTTTGCTCTTTAACATTATCATGATTTGCTCTTTGCCTTGAGGTCTTCCTAGAAGGATTTTTTTTTTTTTTTAAGAGTTTTTGAAAAAGGAAAGAGATAGAATCTGGTGGTGAGAGCAGGGTATTGACCAGGCCCATGAGGGATGGGCAGGAGGGAGCAATAGAAGCCTACGTGGAAAGAGGAGTCCAGGTCAACCCAAAGGAAGCCTGGGGGGGGGGGCAGACCGAGGGGCCAGCCTTGGGGGCCACAGAGGCGGGTGGATGGTGTAGGGACCATAAGGGAAATCCAAAACTGACTCAGTGGACACCAGGCCATGGGCATGGGCATGACACGGTGTAGACAGCTGTTGGGAACATCTATTCCATGACTCCTGGTACTGCCCTTATGAGGAAAAGTGGAAATGTGACAAGGGTGAAGGGGAGGAGAGAAAAATGGACATTTATTGAATATACAGTTTCTATTCTCTTGACAAGAGCCCTAAGATATCAGCATTTTAAAGATAAAGATAAAGAAAGTGAGTCTGAAGTAAGTTAAGTAGCTTCCCTAGGGCCATATAACTTAGTGGAGCAGGTAGAATTTGGCCCAGCTTGTTTGAGTCTTCTCAATTTTAAAGATGATGAACAGGAAACACGACCAAATGATTTGCTAAAGGAAAACACTAAGTTAGCCCTGAAATCAGGTCTCTTAAAACAAGATGGGATCCCGCTCCCTCACAATGCCACCCACTGGGGTCTCCGGCAATGAAACCCACAGACCCTGTCCTCACACGTGCGCACCTTTCCAGCCTCCAGGTAAACACATAAGTGCCTCCCCGGCCGACTCCCGACATGTATTAGGATGCCAGTAAGGCTTCTTGGGCGAATGCTGAAGACCAGCTTAAATTCGGGCCCCAACAGCACAGAGTTAGCTTTCAAAAGAAAAGAAAAAAAAATAGTTAAAATATCATAATTCAAGAAAAAAGGATCGAATTCTTCAAACTCCAAGACCTAACCTCTTTGCAACTGCCCCTTACCTAGGACGACATGTCCTCCCTCCTGGGAGAAAAAAATGCCTTTCTCCAAAGAGCCACCCAAGCAGGGGGACACACCAACGCTCAGAGAAGGGGTGTCCAGGGGTTTCTGATCCAACTGAAAGTTCCTCAGGCATCCCACAAAGCTGTTTTGGGGGAGACTCTGCAAGAAGAGAAAAGCAAGCTTCATTAAGTTAAGCCACACTTCCCAGAAACACAGGGGCAGCCAAGGTTAAGGGCAGGACACCTGTCTGCAGGGGGATTCAACCATCCTGCCTGAGTCAGGTGGGCCTGACAGTTTCATTTGGCTTCCCGTCCTCACTGCCAAGAAAAGCCTGCACACCAGCTGTCCGGTGGGTGGCTGAAGTCTGAGGGGTCACCTGTGTGCTGGAGGCAGGGGTGGTGGAGGCTGCTGGCCAGTGCTGGTCAGTGACCTGACCCAGGTCTGCAGACGGGGCTACAAGAGGGGAACCTTCTGCCTTATGGTGTCCACATCTCACCGTGTCTTTGCAAGTGCAAACCCGTTCTGATGGTTTCGTGAGCCTATGTGATTGCTTAATGCAGGGCAGCTGACTGAAAAAGAGGCCAAAACATTCCAAAAATAATAAAGTGTAAAAAAGCTTCCTACGTTGTTGGGCTCAGTGCACCACCAACAAATCATGAATGCCGTGGAGTTAAAGGAAGACACGAGGCCCAGCATCAGGGGATGCCGACAGCACCTCGAGCCGCCTGCCCAGAACAAGGGCTCCTCCCTGGGGGGCCCAAGGGTGTACCTCTGAGGATTCTGTGATCCCTTAAGTTACATACCGGATGTTCTCTGCACATTTTTCTGGGGAGAAAGACTGTAACTTTCAATAAGTTTTCAAAAAGAAATGGAAGACTCACTGAATAAAATCCTTAAACTTCCTTCCAGAATAAGTGCTTTTAGGACCCTGGAATCCTACACAACAGATGCAGGATAGGCCAGTTTTAAGACATGGTGACATTAGAGACGCATATTAGAGATGGTGTCAGTATCAACGTAAACTACCCATTGGACTCACAATGAAGTTTTTAGTGTCTTAAGATTTACCACCTAATCCAATGAAGAGCCTGTCTCTGAAACCAAGCTCAGACCGTCCATGGGAGGTCACCACCTAACACTGAAGCCCTCACGGCCGACTGCAGATTTCGGTGTTCAGAGGAGACGGTGATTGGATGTTGCCTGCCCTCTGAAAGGATATGGAGGAGAGAGGAAGCGTTGGTTTCCCCCCTCAAGCGGAAGGAATGCTGCAAGGAGAAACTTGGTTTGTAAGGGTGATGCATTGGAGTACTATGGGTTGTCCCTTATATTAGGATGCTGAGTGTGACGTATCCAGGACAAAAGAGTGCCCATATTGTGCTTTGGAATAGCTACCCCTACCTGTGACCTCTTTGAGAGGGAAATAGGTACAGAGGTTACAGAAAAGCAAACATTAACATTGACGGTTCTCTTTGGCAATTAATGTTTTCTATTATATATGTACTATATGCTATATCACATATATATTACACAGTATAATATCCATTATATATGATACACATGTATAGTTACATGCAGTATTAATATAAACTGATTATATATAACTATATTATATATTATAAATATATATGTATATTACATGTATAACAGGAAATAAAGCAGAACAATACTTTATGACTTGCTGGGGCTTTGGCCCAAACCCCAGTGCAAAACTCAAGTGGACCAGGCTGAGCCTATGCCCAGGCCGAGACATGGTGGCCAAGGCGAGGTCAGCCTGACCGCCTAGAATCCAAGCTGCCTGAAATTTCCTCTTCTAATTAGGTCCATTTCCAGGCCCAGATTTGGGTCTTGGGCCTTCCTCCCGCACTGCAAGCAAACTTCACGGCAGAATGGGCCAGCAGCCCCAAGGGAAGGGGCGAGAGGGGCTGAGCTGGGGCAGCATGTTCAGGGGAGGGCGGTTCTAGGCCTGAACTGTGCAGACGGCCACCTTACTTCACTGCGTGGGAGCAAGAGGCAAATCAGGGAGAAGAAAGACAGCCGGGTGTGGCACCCCAAGTGATGCAGATGTGATGGGGCCTCTCCTGGTGTGGGAGGAGAGAGGAGCAGCAGGGTGCCCACTGAGCTCAGCCCCGGAGCCAGGGCCACCTCGAAACCTTTGCCCTTGACAAACGTAGCACACATCCTTGCTTCCCGGGGGCAAACGGACTTGTCTCTTTCCCTTAGCCCCAAGTTTTCCTAAGTTTGGTTCTTGGGATAATTTTATTTCAGGCACCAAATAACACTAAAACACATATTCACTTACCAAGTTTGTCCATTTTCAGTTCCCTTTCTAACCTTCTGATTAAGACAAGGAACACATTCTATTTTTGCATGAATATGTCTTAAATGCCACCTGTAATTATGTAAGATGTATCGATCAGTTGTCAAACTCTTTTTTCTCCAAATGAAGGGAGTATAGCCACACTATCTGGCCAGACTTTAATAATACTATTTTGTGTTTAAAATCACTATTATTGGGGTGCCTGGGTGGCTCAGTGAGTTAAGCCTCTGCCTTTGGATCAGGTCATGATCTCAGGGTTCTGGGATCAAGCCCCACATTGGACTCTCTGCTCAGCGGGGAGCCTGCTTCCCCCTCTCTCTCTCTGCCTACTTGTGATCTCTGTCAAATAAATAAATAAAATATTTTTTAAAAATCACTATTATAATATTACTATTTATTAATATATAAGTACATATATTACTATATATGTTTTATTTTATATTTATATATCTAATATAAATATACAAATATATATTAATATACATAATAATGTTATATTATATTATTAATAACATTATTTTGTGGTTACCGACTCTTTATGGCAAAAAATACTGGGTTTCCATGCATGGGGAGACAAAAATATATTTTAAATAAACTTAACTTTGGGGGTTGTGGGTGGCTCAGCTGATTAAGTGTCCCACTCTCAATTTCAGCTCAGGTCATGATCTCAGGGTTGTGAGATCAACCCCTACCTCTGGCTCTGTGCTGAATGTGGAGCCTGCTGAAGATCCTTTCTCTGCCCTTCCCCCCAATAGCACATGTTAAAAAAATAAAATCAACATAACTTGTGAGTTGACCAGGAGCAAGCTATTAAATAATTTTTTTACCTCTGTTTGGCAAAGATGCTGAATGTGACACAAATTGCTAAAGTTTGGAAAACAGTATCTTAATCAAAAATCTCCATCTACAATCTAAAACCTATGTTTGTGCATTTCCTGGAAGAGAAACTGACAGATTCATATTTATAAAGTCATGGAGAAGCCCTAGATTCATTCCTTCAGGCCAGTGTGTCAAGCTGAACCTTGAAAGTGAAGGATTGGGAGGGCACCTGGGTGGCTCAGTTGGTTCAGTGACTGCTTTCAACAAGGTCATGATCCCAGGGTCCTGAGATTGAGTCCTGCATCGAGCCCTGTACTGGGCTCCTTGATCAGCAGGGCGCCTGCTTCTCCCTCTCCCGTTGCCTGCTGCTCCCCCTGCTTGCGCTCTCTCTCTCTCTCTCTCACTATCTCTCTGTGTCAAATAAATAAATAGAATCTTTTTTTCTTTAAAAAGTGAAGGGTTGGAAAGGGGGAATATTCTCTGTGGGCTTTAGACATCAATTAGGGATTTTATTTTTTAAAGATTTTATTTATTATTTATTTGACAGAGAGAGGGAGAGATCATAAGTAGGCAAAGAGGAAGGCAGAGAGAGAGGGGGAAGCAGGCTCCCCGCAGAGCAGAGAGCCCGATGCGGGGCTCCATCCCAGGACCCTGAGATCACGACCTGAGCCGAAGGCAGAGGCTTAACCCACTGAGCCACCCATGTACCCCTCAATTAGGAATTTTAAAAATTATTTAAAATATTTTGAGATTCTTGAATACTTTATATAATTATAATGATTAAAATGTGAGACGTAACTGACATATAGTATTTTCAAGTGTAAAAGCATAGTGATATTCTCTCTCTCTCTCTCTCTATATATATATATATGTATTTATGTATATGTATATAGTGGTATGATCACCACAATAAGTTTAGTTAACATCCATCACTACACAAAGTTACAAGTCCCTTTCTTCTTGTGATGAGAACTTTCTTTGCAACTTTCTTTGATCGACTTTCTTTGCAACTTTCAAATATATAATACAGTATTATTATTAACTATGGTCACCATGCCATACAGTATATCCCCAGGACTTAATTGTTTTGTAACTAAAGTTTGTGCCTTTCCACCACCTTCATAATTTTATTATAAGGTGAATTATTTTTCTATATGGTTCTAAAGCATAACTACTTTTTTGCACCAAATGCTCCCCATGCTTAGTGTAGTAATGTAGTCACCACACAGTTATTACAGTATCACTGACCACAGACCTGCTGTACTTTTCGTCCCCATGACTTATTTATTTTACAACTGGAAATCTGTATCTCTTAATCCCTTTCTCCTATTTGGTCCATCCCCCACCTCTCCTTCTCTCCGGTTTGTTCTCTGTATTTATGAGTCTATTTGCTTTTTGGCTTGCTTGTTCATATATTTTTTTTTTTTTTTAAGATTTATTTGACAGACTGAGATCACAAGTCGGCAGAGAGGCAGGCAGAGACAGGAAGGGAAGCATGCTCCCTGCTGAACAGAGAGCCCAATGTGGGGCTCGATCCCAGGACCCTGGGATCACGACCTGAGGCAAAGGCAGAGGCTTTAACCCACTGAGCCACCCAGGCGCCCCGCATATGTTTTTTTTTTAAATAAAGATTTTATTTATTTATTTGACATACGGAGATTACAAACAGGCAGAGAGACAGGCAGAGAGAGGGGAGGAAAGCAGGCTCCCTGCTGAGCAGAGAGCCCAATGCAGGACTCGATCCCAGGACCCTGGGATCATGACCTGAGCCAAAGGCAGAGGCTTTAACGCACTGAGCCACCCAAGCACCCCTTATGCTTTGTTTTTTTAGAGTCTACATATGAGTAAAATCATATGGTATTTTTCTGACTTATTTCATCTGGCAAAATAGCCTCTACGTCCATCTCTCTTGCCATGAATGGCAAGATCTCATTCTTTTTTATGACTAATATTCCTCTGTGTGTGTATGGGTGTGTGTGTGTCACATCTTCACATCTTTATCCATTTATCTATCAGACACTTGGGTTCTTGGCTACTGTGAATACTGCTACAGAAAACACAGGGGTGTATATATCTTTTTTAATTAGGGTCTTTCTTCATTTTTTTGGGTAAACTCTCAGCAGTGGAATTACTGGATTGTATGGAATTCCTATTTGTAATTTTCTGAGGAAACTCCATACTGCTTTCCACAACAGCTGCACCAATTTACATTCCCATCATCAGGTCACAACGGTTCCCTTGTCCCCACATCTTCGCCAACACTTGTTATTTCTTGTCCTTTTGATAACAGCCATTCTGACAGCGGTGAGGTGCTCTCTCCTGGTGCTTTTGATTTGGATTTCCCTCACGATTAGTGATGCTGAGCATGTTTTCGTGTGTCCATGAAGCGTAACTACTTACCTTTGGCTTCCCGGAGGGAGAGGATCCCAGGTAAACGGGTGCTCTGAGGCTGACGGTGGAATTTCCAGGCAAACTTCCCTCCCGGGCCCTCAGACCATCCACAACCAAGTGCCCCTTCTCTCCATCCTGCCCAAACACCACCTTAAGAGTAAAGAAAATATATTAACATGTTTTATCTTTGACAATTGGTGATGCATTTTATTACTGATCAGAGGCCATTTTTTTTTAAAACAATGTTTTTTCTGTTTCTTCAAGGAGCTTTAAAAAGTCAGAAATTTGGGGGCTTAGCCATAAGTGTCTGCCTTTGGCTCAGGTCATGATCCCAGGATCCTGGGATCAAGGCCTGCGTTGGGCTCCCTGCTCAGTGGGAAGCCTGCTTCTCCCTCTCCCACACCCCCTGCTTGTGTTCCCTCTCTCTCTGTGTCTCTGTCAAATAAATAAATAAAATCTTTAAAAAAAAAAATCAGAAAATTTTCTCCATACTGTTGTCATCGTCATCACGATTTTGTGAGGTCATGTTAGATACTGAATAGAGGAAGCTAGAAAAGTGAGCTTTTTTTTTTTTTTAAGACTTTTTTATTTGACAGAGAGAGAGAGAGAGATCACAAGTAGGCAGAGGGCAGGTGGGTGTGGGGGGGGAAGCAGGCTCTCTGCTGAGCAGGGAGCCCGATGTAGGGCTTGATCCCAAGACCCTGGGATCATGACCTGAGCTGAAGGCAGAGGCTTTAACCCACTAAGCCATCCAGGCACCCCCAGAAAAGTGAGTTTTACAAGGATTCCTCAGTGTGCCCGGGTGGCTCGGTTGAGCACCGGACTCTGGGTTTCGGCTCAGGTCACGGTCTCAGGGTCCTGGAATCGAGCCCCACTTTGGGCTCCACGTTCAGTATGGAGTCTGCTTGTACATCCCCCTCTCCTTCTCCTCCCCCACTTGCATTCTCTCTCTCTCATATAGATGGATACAATATTTTTTAAAAAAATCCTTTGGCAGGGCTCCTGGAGCAAGGGGCCAGTGGCTACTTCTTAACTAACAAGGGAGCACATATTTTCAACTCTTTGCTAAAAGTCAAGACCCCTGGGCTCTACGGTGCATTCTGCCATCTCACGGCTCTGAGACTGTTCACTAATGACTACCAAACTTGTACTCCCAGCTGAGACCTCTGGCCTTTACTCTCTAGAGCGGTGGGCTTGAGTGTCTGGCAGGCAACTCAACCCTAGGAGGTTCACAGCAGAACCCTGACTCTTGCCCAGCTCTAAACTGCTCCTTCCCAGCCCACATGTCCCTATTCCCCATTTTCTGCGTCTCAGTAGCAGTCCCTCTATTGTCCCAATTGCTGGTCCCAAATCACAGGACTTGATATGGACCCGTCTTTCTCCCACGCTCTACATGCGAGATCCTTCAGCAAGTCCTCTCGGTTTGGGGAGCACATGCTAGACAGGGTAATTCTGTCCGTGTTCCCTGTGGCCTCTTGAAGAAAAGGCAGTGGCATGCATCTGGCCACTCATCCCCATTTCAGCTCTTCAGTTGAAGACAGCTTTGAAAATATCTACCTGTTCATGCAATGCTCGTTATTTAGTTGAAGAGTCTTCAGAAGCTTCAGAGATACTTGGAATAAAACCCAAGTCCTCACCTTGGCTGCAACACTTGTATGATCCCGGCCCTGCCTCTCTCTTTGAATCCTAGCTCTTATCCTTTCTTATCCTGTATCTCTTGCCATCTGGGATGCCTTCAGGCAAGATCTGGAAAGCTAGGGATGTGGGTCTTGAAGCCTGTGTTATGCAGAAGATATTCTGGGCTCAGAAAGGGGCCTCAGAGACCTGGACATTATCTTGACAGAGAGAAATGGTCCAGGCAGCAGGGGTGGGAGAGGGAGGGGACAGAGTCAGGGAGGCACGGTGGGGACTGAAGAAGCAGTGAATTAAACCTATCTTGGCATCGAGACATCGATGCACAACATCCTTGCATGGTGTACGCAGTGGTCTTCATTGCCAAGGTGCTAGGGTGCTCGGTACCTCTGAGCACACAAGCTCCGTCTGTGCTGAGCTCTGCGGCTGGCAGGCAGCTGAGACACCTGTCCAGGTTCTCTGCAGGGAGCTCCGTAGCAATGGGAGCTTCTCACGCGGCCCCCGCGGCCCCCGCGCTTACCGTGTGCCACTGCCCATTGTTGCATTTCTCCTTGCTTTTGAGCTTCAGTTTCTTCCCATCTGTCCCCAAGGCAAAGACCAGCCGTCCCTTTGAGAGATAAAGAGCCATGTAGGAGTTCTGAGTGCCCGTGAAGAACACGAGGCCTCTGGAAGAAGCCGTCTGCACGTCCACCGCAAACCGTGACCTGTCGGGAAAATAAAGCAACAGGCAAAGAAAGAAAGAGAGGTTTTTAGTGTTTTCCTGAGTCCCTGAAGCTGGAAGAGAGGGTGAGGCGCAAACACCCCAACCCCCATTATTCAAATGAACAAACCAAGGCACGTGCTGATTAAATGACTGATCTCTTTGGGAATTTTTAAAAGCTGTATGTGTGTGCGGGGGGCAACTGGACTAACAAGGATTCGATTCAAGCATATGGTAAGCATTTTCTTTCTGTGAGACATATTTAACACAGAGGCAGAAAAGTATGGATCCACTTTCTCCCACCCACCTTTCTATTTCTTGGACCTTAAGACCCCACCTAGGATGGAACAGGAATTAAGCAAGCATCATTCAGTAAAAGAAGAAAATGAAAGTTAATACTCCTTTGTATGGTGGTTACATAGTGTATGCACATCTGGTTGAGCAAGACTGACTTTGCACGAGAACTTACATTCACTCTTTTACCCACCCACCCATGCATCCAACAAATAATGAGTATGCAGCATGTGTAAAGGCACTGTGGAGAGCACTGGGAATGCAGAGATGGAGGTTTCACTCTTAGGTGTTTCTGGTGTACAGGTGCACTGACAGCGGTGCCTAAAGGGCAGCATGCAAAGGTGGTGGGGGAATCCCGGTATCAGCAGGCTGTCACCACCCACTCCTTGGGTGACAGAAGGCAGAAACTTGGTCTCTCCTGCTAAAAGCTGTATCCCCACTGGGTGCCTCAAACACAGCAGGCACTTGACAACAGTTGAGTGGAATTAAATAATGGAATAAGTTGAATTAAATAATAAATGGAAAACTTGGAGGCAGAATCAGGAAGTGGAAGAGAAAACAACACTGTCACTTCTCTTTGCTTTTTAATACTGTGAAGCTGAGCAAACGCGGAGATACTTGAATTTTTTAGATGAGGGAGTTTCCTTGAGGACGGTGTTCTTCAAAATGGAAGGGAAATCTATATTTGTTAAATTAAACCAACCAGATGGTGACACTGCTCAATATTTCTTTTGGTGGAGCTGTGTGCGGAGGTTTGAAGGATGAGGGTTAGCCAATTTCAGGAGGATATTCGAACCTGCTACAGAATTAAAGTACTTTACATATGTGGGCTTGGTTATCAGGCTTGACATTTGCTTTCCAGAGTTATTTCCTAAAGCAGCTCTCTTTCATAAAAGGCTAACTAACACCCAAAAAAGACTCCAGTGGATTCAAATCCCTGCGTACGATGCTGTAGCTCAGACGCTTCATTGCTGGTGGATGGGAGAGTCAGGCAGAGAGTGAAGTGGCTTTTTTATACATTCATCAGCAGGAGAAAATAGTGGTGCAGCATTTCAAAGGAGAGGCAACGGATTGCTAGAATATAAATTCGAAGTAGAGCAGGAATAGTCCATATTCGGGACCTGCATGAGACTGAAAATATGCTCATCTATATACCATGCAAAGGAGTATCAGCCGTATATTATAACCAAAATATATTAACCATATATTTACCACTTCTCCATTGATTACATATCCTGTGGTGTGACATGGGTAGGTGCTGGGGTTGAATCATCAGAAGCCAGCGAACTCGCCACACTGAGCATGCTCCGGGAGGAGATGCGAGACAGGAAGGGGCTTTGCAGGGAGGGGGAGGGCAGCTCTGGTGGAGGACAGCCAGAGCCCAGGCAGGAGGGTGAGGAGGCTGGGCAGCATCTGCAAGAGACTGCTGTCCCTAAGGTCAAATTGAACAAGAACACAGTGATGGGGAGTGGGCCTTCCTCCCAAGAAGTAGCCCCAGGAAGGGCTAATAACTGAGTGGGACCTCATTTCTCAGTCTCCACTGGCAAGTCAGGGATCACCAGCCTTTCCGTGGCACAAATGGAGATGGGGAGCTGCTGGCATAGGGTTCTCCTTCCGAACTCCACCCTTCCCCTTTCCGGCCTTCATAGCTGCCCGTGAATCATGCACTTGGCTTGTGGAGTGGGCCTCCAAGGGCCGGCTCCTTGCAAGCTACTGCATCCCTCCCTACAAGGAGAGCATTATCAGCTCCATTTTAGCGATGAGAAAACTGAGGTGCAAAGAGATGTAGCAACTTGCAAAAACACTGATGATGCCAAGTTCATGGAGAGAAAGCTGATGCTTAGAAAAGTTGAACAACAGCCTATGGTACCCATCAACTTGCTGCTCCAAACCCCCTTTGAGTGAACTGGTGTAGGGCACCGTGGGTGGCAGTCCCCAGCCCCTGTGCCCTCAGATCTGCAATGGCATATGGGTGACTCCCAGCCAAGGACCGAGCTCAACGGCAAAACTAGAGCCAGGCCATTGATGCCCAACACTGGACTCTTCTAAAGGGTGACCCTTGCTTGCGGGAGCTGCGTCATTCACAGGTGTGGGGCCCGTCTCAGGGTAAGGCTGTTCCCACCAGCCCCTGCTACCTCCACCTTTATCTCCCACAGGAACAGTACATCTCTTGCAACATCTAATCCCATCTTGACATCTGCATCCCAGAAGACCCACCTGGCAAGTGGCCTGAGGTCACACAGCCAACAAGTGGCTGAGTGGGGACTGAAAGCTGGGTTCTAAAGCCAGGCCATTTTGACCCCAGGAAACTCTGCTTCTGTACATAAATCATAAAGGAATTTGGCACCTTGTTATTTATGTCTCCAAATCACATGAAAATGACAAGCCTTGTTTTCTTACTTTTTTTCCTGACATAATTAATATCTCTGTTCACTCCCTCCTCCCCAGAAGAGATGCGACTTGTTAGCACAAGAAATCCAAAAGAGCTTTCTAAAAATGATCTATGTGGCCCTGAGTCTGCTTACAAGAATTATTTCTCTCTGGCTATAGAATGTCGAGAAGAAAGGTGATTTATCATAGAAATAAATAGCAGCTTTGAAAGGAAATATCAGTCGTATTTTTAGAATGCTGTCAATTCTACACCAGAGCCCAGTGAACTGTTTCAGCCCTGAGCAGCACATGTCACGTGTGCCTTCCAGCTGCGGGGACAGAGCACACTCGTGTAGTCACGGGCTATGGCCTGCGCGGGCCAGCCCCCCTTTCCCCAAAAGTGGTGTTGCCACTTCATTAGTGACAGGAACGTGGTGTCCTGCTGGCTGACCTGCTCTGGGGAACAAATGCGGGGTTGGGTTCTGAGTCAAAATACCTGGTTGTCACCGACTCCTGGGGAATCGTGAACAGCAAGTGGCTGGTGGGCCTGTCCCCAAACCTGAGGGCTCCATGACTGGCCTGGGCCCCAGGAGGTGGTAGGCAAGACTGGGCCTCTTGCCATATCTCCATTCTCCGTGGGGAGACCACTGGTGTGTCCTGCAATGGCTGCAAGGCAGAGAAGCAAAAACTTAGGAGAGCTCAGTATCAAGGGGAAAGAGTAAAGAATACTTATCTTGCTAAGTGCCTCGCTCAGTTTTTACTCTGATCCTAGGAGATTAACTCAATAGAGATGAATTCATACTTGGGGACGATGCATGTTCTTCCCATCCTCGACACAAGTCTGGCCTCTTTCCTGACAAGCTGCCGCCCCTGGGGCCAGTGGGTATCCAGAGGCCCTCCCCACCACGGAGCTGTGGGAAAATCATGGCATCCTTGAGAGAGCCAGCATTTGGCCAGCAGCATGAGCCTGCACAGCCCGTCAGAGGGACATGGAGCCGACGACCCGCCACTCCTCTTGGAGCCAGCCATTCCCTTGGGTTTCTGCAGCAGGTTAGTGCAAAAACAGAGCAGGAACCAGAAGGGGTGAGTGTGTGTGAGAGAGAGAAGGGGCAGGGCATGGGGGTGGGGGCAGCCTGTCTTCACTTTAATCAGAATTGAACCATACACAGAAGCGTGTCCTGAGCTAGACAATGCGATGAGCTTTTGAACAGAACAAAGTTTTAATACTCAAAAACAACTATAACAAATATCAAGTAGAATGAGAAAAAATGTTGTTAGAAACTGAGCCTCTCCAGCTGTTCCTCCCTTTTTCTTGGCTAGGGGGAGCCCAGATTTTTATCCTGTGCCCACGACTCCCCCAAGACTCAGGGCTCAGCTGGCCTGTTTGTCCAAGGCGGAGGGCATGGATTCCCTGTGCCAGGGACTGGTTGGTTGAGGGATGAACATGTGACCTCCCTCTTGGCCAGTGAGCTTGGAGGGGGAGTAAGGGGGCGGGGCCTCTGCGAAATACTTTGTTACTAATAAAGCCCAGCAGATCCTTGGACGTGGTGCTGGCTGCTGCCAGGGTGAGGATAGGAAGCCCTGAGCTACACAGGATGGAGCTGAGATGAGCTTAGCGGGGCCAGGCCTCAAGCCCTACTTGTTCCCGAACTGTCTATTACTTGACTTCATAGCTCCTCTTACTGTTTAAGCCATTTTACACTTGGAGCTAATAGCTAAAGGCTTCCCAACAAATTTAAATTCCTTCAAGATCAGGTTTTCCATATTTACCCTAAAGATACAAATCTAGCGAAGCGAAGGGGCATATGCACCTGAATGTTTATAGCGGCAATGTCCATAATAGCCAAACTCTGGAAAGAGCCTAGATGCCCATCAACAGATGAATGGATAAAGAAGATGTGGTATATATATATACAAGGGAATACTATGCAGCCATCCTGCCTCTGGGCTTTGGCCTTCTGCTCACGCAGCAGCACCACTCACTTGTCTAAATCCAGCCCATCCTCCAGACCCAGCTGGTGTGTCACCTCCTGATCTCTGGGGCAGGAAAATCTCTGCCACCCCAGGTCTGGGGCATGTTTTGTGCCTTTCACTTAGGTTGTTACAGTGTATAATGACCACAGCTGATACTCACCGGGTGCCAGGCACTTTGCTACATGGTTTGTGTTTATTACCCCATTTAACTCTCACAGCACCACTATGAGATATTACTTTATATATCCTCATTATGTTGCAGGAAATAGACCCACAGAGAGTTTGTATAATCACCCAAGGTCACACACTTAGTAAGTGATAAAGCCTGATGCAAACCCAGCAAGTCTGACCCCAAAGTCTAGTCCTTAACCACAAAGCTTTGTTGCTTGTTAGCTTTCGTTCTGTGAGATTTCGGAGGCAGAATTAACGTCTTATTCCACCTAATCTGGGGGCTTGCACAGAACAGAGGCACAATTCGATACAGTGTGTTTGCTGGCGGCTCCCACATGGAGGGTTCCAGCCCCTACCCACCCACCCCCCACCCCCGGCCATCTGCTGACGCCCCCTCAGAGACCTGACAGGCCCCGCCAGCTTTCTCCCTGGAGATGTCCTGTGGGCTCCTGTCACTCAATATAAAACACACCCCCCTCAGTCTCTTCCTCCAAATACTTGTCCTTCTCCTATCTCCATGAACGGCACCCCTATCCATCCAATAAGCCGGACTAGATGCCTTGGAATATATATTAACTCCTGCCTCTCCCTTGCAACCCACATTCAATTATTATCCGGGTCCTGTACATTCTATCTTCTCAATAGCTGTGGATCCATTTCCTTCTCTCCATCTCTACCATCTCTGGGTTAATTCAGTCTCTCTATAACCTTCAGCCTTCCAGTGAAAAGAGGGAACACATGATCTCATTCCTGATGGAGCCATCCTAAAAATGTTCTTCTCCTAAGAGTAAAACGACTCCCTTCTACGAATTGTATTTCTTTTTAATAGCATAGAACATTTCGGATGACGTGCTCTATTCAACTCTTCCAAGTCACTGTGCCACAGGGAAAACACTGGCAGGCGAGCGGCATGGGGCTGATGGTGAGTGAAAAGTGTGCTGAAGAGAAGCGCGTTCATGTTAAGAGGGCACAGGCTGGTGGGGGGGGCACTGTCTTGATTTGAATTCCAACCCCGCCTTCTATCTGTGGGAACTTGGGCCAACTGCTTACCTTTCTACACTGCAGCATTTTCTTCTGTTAACATGTGGCTTGTCACAGATTCCCTGGCTACTATTACGTTAGGATGGTGATACGGAAGTTTAGAAGCTTAGTAATACTATTTCCCACACAAGGTTACTTGCAGATTTAGTAAGAAAAGCCACTTAAAGGGCTTAGCACGATGGCTGGCACAAAGGAAGTACTCAGCATTACCCATTAATCGTTTTAATTGTAACCTCCGGAGGTGGGGAGGTCAGACTGTTGACCTTGGGCACAGCAAAGAATTCTTTAAGTCCTAACCCTGTATCCAATTCATTACGATGCTTCTGCTCCTTCAGATCAGAAATTGTACTTCCTTCCAGACTCTCTTAGCACTGTACATTAGAATCACCTGGAAGCTTTACAAGCTCCTGCCACTTGGCCCCCCTGTCAAGAGCATCTGACCTGATTGTGGGGGGGGAGGGGGGGATGCAACCTGAGCCTTAGGCTTTTAAAAGCTCCCCAGCTATTTCTAATGGGCAGTCACGGTCAAACCACACTGGTCTTGCTAAGGCCTGGGTTCATGCATACATGTTGTCATGAGAGGCGGGGTGGAGGGCTGTCTGTGGGCAGGGAAGGGGGATGACTCCTGTATTCTAGAGAACACTGTACCTGTTGAGACACAACAGAAGTGTCAAAAGAGCAAGACATCCTCTGAGGACTTGAGACACTTCAGATTCAATTTGTTCTGTCGGCAAAAATTGACCAATTTTCACCAAGATACAAAGTAAAAGAGAGGAAACCTTTTTTTTTTTTTTTTTTTTTTTTTTACATTTTGGTATAATCCAACTATTGTTGACCCATCAATCCCACTTCCTAGGGGTACCGACCACCAAGGGATCAGGTGATTTATACCCCTCGCTTCACTCCCACCCCTTCCCCAACATCTCACATGAGGCAGGATTTGCTTCTGAGAATCCTCGGCGGGGGGGGAGAAGCAAAGCCAGTGTTGGGGACCCTTACCTGGTTGATATTGAAAGTGTGGGATTTGTTAAGCCTTGTAGCACCTCTAAGCAACAGGAGGAAAGGCGGTGGGTTTAAACTGCAGCCTCCCAGGGACACGTCTCTCTTGAAAGTTTTACTGGTCAAGTCCAGCACCGCAGGACTCTCTAATTGCCTGGAATGAGGGTGGAGAAGAAAACCACTGTCCAACTCTGAAATCCCAAGGAAGATACGCTGGCAGATAGAGCTTGCTTCAAAGCCACACACTCTTACTGTCGGGCTTTAGGCAAACTTTCACTTCCTACCTGCACATTATATCTAGAGGAGACGCAGGGCTCAGAGAGGAGGCCGATGTGCTGTGAAACATTTCTGCCATCCCTAAAATTCCTAGCACCTTGCCTCGCTCAAGGAAAGGCTTAAGAAATTTCATTGGCTTGAACGGTTAGGGCTGGGGCAAAGCCAGAGGATGATAGTGTGTTCTTTGTCATTTAGAAATGTGAAAATGAACTATGCACAGAGGAGAAAAGTGGGCGCTTGATGACCTAGGATGACGGTGAGCATCAGGAAGCCTTAGAGGTGAGATTGCAGATGGGTTGAGCTCGCTGCATTTGAGCAAGGGAGTTTCACAGATAAACCTGCTTGTCTCATGTCTGAGCCTTGATGGACAGTAGGAGCCCCCAAGAGCCCCCAGAGGTTACCAAGGTTCCTGATCAGTCCTGGGCCTTCCTTCAAGAACAGCTGAACATCTGCCTGCAAGCACCAAGCTCCTCTATGAAAAGTCACGGTCAGGTTTAACACGTGGTGATCTGGTTTCCCAGCAGTGCAGGCCCATGCAAGTCCTCAGCCTCCCCAAAATAGGGGAGCACTGATGAAATCAAACTGCATGACCTTGATTAAAATGGAGTAAAATTTCAGTATGGAAAATCTTCAGGGCCATACTCTGAAAGGTAACTTTCAGTAGACCTTTTCTAAGGTTCTGGGCCAAAGCTGCTCCTACAAAGGGAGGCTGGGCCCCGGGTGGGAGTTTATGGGAGGTGGTTTGTTCCTAATGTGTGTATCTTGTCTAAGAAGGTGTTTGAAAGTTGATGCCATGAGAGCCTCACACAGCACGTGGTGACAAACCCAACTTCACTACTAGAGCAAGGAGATGCCCTCCCTGGAGGCAGGTCACGCTCGTCAGCCACACACCCGGAAAAGGGCACGCACCTCCGGATGAAAACGTTGCTGATACAACCCTCGAACTGACTCCCGCCCAGATACAGGGGATGCTGGGAACCCGACAAGTCTTGTAGCCTTTGGCTGCTTTTCAGAGTCTGGTCGTCAATGAGAAGCCGGAGTCTGGAAGAGGAGGAAGGCAAAACAAGAGTGAGAATGGCAGGGAAGGAAAGTTTCTCACCCCAACGCCAACTTAGGGTCTTCGACTCAGACTCTATATCTTTAACCTAAAGTAACTTGTTCAACGAGGTTTATTTTTAAAGAGCACTGAAACTGTTTTTCATGTATTTCTTTTTTTAATTACATTTTATTATTCTATACATACAGAAAGTTGACATATCCTGTGTGCTCAGTGAAATTTTTGCAATGTGACTGACTATACCAATGATACCAATGTCCACCCAAAGAAGCAGAAGCGACCAGCACTCAGGAACCCAGCCATGTGCTCCCTTTTCCCCGTCTGAGGGTATAACCCCTGAATCCTGAATTCTGATAAAAGAAATTAACTTTGCCTGTTTTTGAATTTTTTATCAATGAAATCACAGGAGATGAATCCTTCTATGTGCAATCTCTTTGACTCAGCAGGATGCTGCCAAGTTCATCCACATCATACAGGTGGAGATCTTTTGTGCTCATTACTCAGTTTCATTCCCACCGTCTGAATAGACCACAGTTCATTGATCCAACCCCCTTTTGGCTGATGGATTTTTATCTATGCATTTTTTAAATAAGGACATTGATAGAGAACCAGGAAGAAGACTAAGACTTACTGGTAGTATAGCATCAAGACACATACTTCACAAAAAAGATACTAGAAAATTCCATCAAACTAAATAAAAGTCTTAGGACTCTGGCAAAAGTGCTGTCGTACTCACCCAGAGTTGTCACTTATCACAGATACGTAATGCAGTGAACCATCCGTGTATGTCTGTGGAGATTTAAAAATCGGTCTGTTGCTATCCCTGGTGTTGAGTTCAATGTGACCATCTTCCAGGGAGATCTGCAGGTTCCGGGTCTGAAACCATCATAGAATATACCCGTCAATGTCATTAATTTCCACTGAAAAATTATGGTGATATCAATACTGAAGTTATGGTCAACACTATGGATAAAACAGGATGTTTTGACCCAAATGTTTTGACTTCACTATTTCAGTTTAAAGATTATTTTGGAATATTCTGACTCTGTGTTTATGAAAATAAAAGTCTTATGCAGATTATTTCAACACTGATGAATCTGTCAAAAGCCTCTTACGGACCTATGTCCATAAACTATTTTTTTTTAAAGATTTTATTTATTTGATAGAGAGAGAAAGCACAAGGAGGCAGAGCAGTAGACAGAGGAAGAGGGAGAAGCAGGCTCTCCACTGAGCAGGAAGTCCAATGCAGGGCTCGATCCTAGGACCCTGGGATCATGACCTGAGCTGAAGGCAAACACTCAACTGACTGAACCACCCAGACTCCCTCACCTTTTTTTTCTTTTTTCTTTTTCCAATTTAACTTCTCCATCAATGATACAAAACAGTTTTGTTTTTGTTTTTGTTTTTGTTTTTTCTGAAGTTATTTTCATCAGGATCAATTATTTTCTGAATCAATTTTGAGATGAAGACTTGATTCATCCCTTTCTTAAAATATATGATTATAGCAATGATATCTTCTCTTTAGTCATTATGAATTTTTAATTTTCTGGTCATAATTTCTAGGAAGTTCAATTTTCTAATGTCAGACTCTACAGATTGAAATTTTGGCATGATGATTTGGTTCTGTCAACTCTTAATAAAAAAATATGTGTAGTTTTTGCAGTTATCATTTTAATTTTGTTGACTTTTTTTTCTATCAAGTATAATTTTTCCAGTTTTCAACAAGATGTCATCATTCAGTGAGCTTTTAATCCAGAACAATTTTTATGGGGGTGGCTGGATGGCTCAGTGGGTTAAGTATCACAGATACGACTCTTGATTTTGACTCTTGATTTCAGCTCATGTCACGATCTCAGGGTCCTGGGATCACACCCCACACTGGGCTTTGCACTCAGCCTTGGGGATTCTCTCTCTCTTCTTCTCCCTCTGTCCCTCCCCCTCTCTCAAATAAAGAAATCTTAAAAAAAAAATAGAACAATTTTACAGTACGTGGCTGGCACCACTGTCAGGTTTATTTTTATTTTTTTCAGTTGCTAATTTTCTTTATGAACTGGATAAATGCCAGTTTATATGTATGCCTTAGCTCACCCACTAGGAGTTGCGGGCAGTGTTCCTGGGATATCTCTAGGATCCCTCCATTGTCGAGGAGTGACCCCCTCTTTTGCTAAGTCAACTCTTCTGCCAGCCTTTGACCATTTTGTATATTGTATACTCTGTGTCCCTACCCTTGGCAGGGGAAACAAGCACTAGATGTCAAAAGAGCTAGGTTGAAACACCCTACTTTGATAGGAAGGGCTCTCTTGCAGTCAAAGTGCTGGCACGTGCTTCTTCAGGGGGTAGTTAAAAAAAAAAATCTCTAGCAGAGTGAGGGGCTTGGGGGGTAGAGACAAAAAAAATGAAACAAGTTGGGATTGGGAGGGAGACAAACCATAAGAGACTCTTCATCTCAGAAAACAAACAGAGGGTTGCTGGTGGGGAGGGGGTAGGGAGAGGGTGGTTGGGTTATGGACACTGGGGAGGGTATGTGCTATGGTGAGTGCTGGGAAGTGTATAAGCCTGATGATTCACAGACCTGTATCCCTGGGGCAAATAATACATTATATGTTAAAAAAATAATTAATTAAAAAATCTCTAAAGGCTGATGAGCAAATATATATCAAAAGAGATGAGGACTTCTAATATGACATCACCACAGAATCCGCTACGATTCTTCCTTTTGACAAATACTAATTTTATTGTGCAGACAATCCTAAAGAAACAAAGCCAAGAATGTCAATATTCTACTTCTACGCTAAAATCTGCTTCATTCCACAAGGGGATTTCTAAATATTAGTTAACACTTATACCTACATAACCACACAAGGGAAATTCTATGAAGCTGTAGAGGGTACCATCTTGTCGCTCTGTTATACATGAACAAAGAGCCAATGACCCTATCTTCTCTCATTCCCCAGACGTAAATATTGTCCAACCAGCTACTGCTGCAAAAAAGGAATCTGAAGAGCTATCTTCTGTGGAATCAAAAAGGAATAGTGGGGAGACATTTGGATTTTTTTCTTCTATCGAAAACTTCAGGCTCCATTATTACTTTTAACAGTTATAATTCACCTTAACCCATGAAATAAACCCAGGAAGAATGAAAACGAGTCCATGAATACATACAAATTCAACTCTGTAAACTCTAATGTACTTTCTTAGCCTTATTTCTTTTAGGACTTGCCCCATGATGAGGAGTAACCTCCATGGTTGAAACAAGCAATGTCATTTACCGTGTGATGATAGATGAAATGCCCAACTAGTTTACCTTCAAAATATCTCTATTGTTTTTGACATCAAACTTGATTCAGGTTTAAATCTTATTCAGTATTCATACAATATTTCATACCTGTGCCTGGAGATTAAATAACATGCCACTGGGTTGAAAGGTCTGAAACCCAAAGGAGGCCTGGAATTCGTTGGGCAAAGGGAGGTCCAAATCGGTGAACCTCAACTGTCCACCCCTGGAGAATGAGGCAGACCGCACGAGCTGAAATGCAAATGTGGAATAAATTAATGGCATTGGAATGGTTTGATGTCTGACATTCAGGATCTTATCCTGTATCACTTCACCTGACCTATCTAATGTGGTTTCCGTTGCCTTAGAAAGAAACACAGTTTGCTTTTCTGTGTGAGTTTTGTCTGTCAAGTTGGTATTTCTTCTTTCCTACAAATGTCATATGCAGACCGGAAGGGGTTCTGTGTCTTGCAAACATGGGGGACGTAGAAATAAATCAGTTCACCCTAATACTGTGTGCTACCACAAAAACTCAAAAGTTGGTCTGTAAATGAATACAGGGCTGTAAATGAGTACAAGAGGGGCTGGCTAGGGAGAAGCGCTGCCCTGCGAGGTATTGAATTCTTACCTTCCAGTCTTCCGAGCATTTTTTGGTGACTCCCACAGTGTCATTCAACCTAACAACACCACTGGTTTTCTTCAGATTTTTCATGCAGCCTCGGAAAGCAGGTGTAGAAATGTTAAACCTGATTTGGGGTACAAAAAAAAAGAAAGAGATGTACCAGACCAGGCTTGTCTGAGAACTGGAGCTGAAACTTTCCGCACCATCTGGTCCTTCTCACCCACAAACGAGTACGTGTTTTGTGGGTACCTGTTCTCACAGGATTTCTATAACACTACTTATTTCGTGAAGCTGAGAAAATTGACTTCCTTTCTCCGCGATCCCGCATTCTCAGCTTTAAAAATGAATGTAATAGTGTTGACAGAAGAATGGCCAGTGTCTTCAAAAAGTACAAATACAGAAAAGGTAGATCTCTAGAATTGCTCCCTGCTCTCCTTCCAGAGTCGTGGTGATATGGGGTGACTAGGAAGTGTATCAACAAATGAACAGACCATAAATATTAGATAAATACATATTAATAAGCACATTATTTATTAGAGCCAAGAATGCCCTAGAAAAGGCTTTGCTTTTTTTCTGTCCACTTTTAAGTTAGTTACTGTTAACTCCGTAGAAACAAACGGTTGCATTTTGGTTCTAGTCAGTGATGAAAAAATGTGGCTTGGTATTTCATCCATGCCACGCTGGAACAATGGAAAGCATTGTGAGGATTAAACAAGTTAATACACAGGAATTCTTGGCACTGCGTGTGGCTGTGACTGCTCAGGAGCTGTTTCTGAGAGCTCAGGGCTCTGCACCCACACTGCCTGAGTTCAAGCCCTATTCTGATGACGTAACCTGTGACTGTTCTCTCCTTCCTACAACGGGAATGTGTTCATCTGTCTCATGGGGTTGTCGTGAATTTAGGCGGGAGTTAAGATGGTGCCTGGGACAGAGTGAGGACCCCATGTGGGGTGGCGGGGTTAGGAACTCCCCGCTTATGAGGAGAGTCCTCATAACGAGAGCAATTTCTTCCTACAGCAACTCTGCCTTTGTGACTACCTTGGCATTCTGCCCCCCACTTTTTTTTTTTTTTTTTTTTGACATTTCCCCTTTGATTTGACTTGGATCTGTCTGGAGCTGACTCCACATAAAACAGTAACACAGATGAACTGACTGGAGTCCAGGCAAATATTTGTGTTTCTTAAACAAATGAAGTACGGAGGAAAACACAAAGCTGCTTTTCTTATAAATCCCTAAGGCGGCTCACCTTTCTAAATGGAAAAGTATCTGCATTCATTTTTATTCAAATCATTATAAATAGTTGAGCTATAGGTAATGAGCATTAAATTAAATTTCATTAGAAGGAAAAGGAAGAAATGAATCCTCACGGGCATGGCAGCTTGAGTGTAATTATTTTATGAAGATGGCTTTTTGCCTCAGAAAAGAAGGAAAATTCCTATTAACTGCTGGAGCTCATCTATTTACACATATTTTAACATCCATTCTCTCTTGGGTTTCCATGGGGTTCGGACCCCTCGCCACCCCCTGAGGTCCTTCTTTCTGTATAGTCTGGGTCAAAGGTAGAAGAGAAGCAGAGGGGGGAGGAAAGGCAGCTGGAAGATCCTTATGGAGCCCTATTCTGTGTAAGGCACTGTTATTCTAGCCTCACCATGACCTTTCCAGGGAGGTATTTTCCTCTCCAACGTTCACCGAGCTCTTACCACATGCTGGCACTGCCCTAACTCCTTGACTCGCTTTGAATCGTCACAGGACCCTGAGAGATGGGGAGCTACTCTGACCGTATCCCCAAGGTCGCATGGGGAGGCGTGGGGAGACTTAGCAACTTGTCTAAGCTCATGTGGCAAGGAAATGGCAGCTCTGGGATCTGAGTGGTCAGCATGTCCTACCAACTAGGGCAACTCAAGTCCCTGCTCTTTACACTTACACAGTCTGTGTCCCCATGGTGCTCGGAAGAGTTATGAGTCTTTCCCATGGCAGAACAGTTATCTCCAGCAGGGATGTTAAGATGGAGATCTATTTCCACTCTTCTGGGGTGTTTTGGTTACTTTGGCTCATCAGAGGGCTTAGACTTCCACATTTGCTCCAGGAGGCAAGGGCTGAACACACTTGCTAGAGGGATGTGATCGTGTAGGGGTGCAGGCTGCTGTATTGGAGGGTTAGCACACTGGGGGGTGGATGCGCACTGGGGGCCAGGCCATTCACGAAGGCCTCCACGGTCCACGCCTGCGGTGGGCAGATTTCAGAGCCACAGGAACCGAAGGTAATCCTGAACTGAGCAAATGTGCAACAGATCCGTGGTTGATTTGTACTTTTTTGAATTATTTTCATTTTAATGGTTTATTATTACACTGACACAATGTTGTAGCTCCTCAGGAAAGATTTCCCACTGGCTTGAGAGCCTCTGGAGTTATCGGGATGATTCTCTCGTCTCATGGAAAGCAGATAGGATTAATAGATTCTGATTTCTGATTGGAATCCTGAAAAAGTCATTCCCAGATCTGGGCCCCCATTCCTAGAAGACACATGATAGTGGAAGAGGAGAAAACAGAGCGTCCACAACATCTCTTGGGCAGAGCTGCTTTCGAGATCATGCTGGCTGGCTTTGCTCTGGAGTAGGCTTAAGGGATACTGTCTGCGAGGGCCTTCTCCTTAGGCTGCGGTCAGAACACCCACCTCCTTTGGAAGAACTGCTTGCTTGCTCCTCAGAGCTTGGTTATGACTGATCAGTAGGACTCCTCTCCACCCACCCGCCCCCTGCTGACCCACGTCAGAGGGAGTTTCATCAAAGATGTTGCCAGAGGGCTGCAGCAGGGCCAGAAACAGCCAATACTGCTTAGTATTTTATTTGCAAGGGAGTAAAAGGCCAGTGAAATCCTTTGACTGGCTGCTACCTCCTACATTTTCCATGTTCTTACGATTTTAATAAAAAAAAAAAATCAAGGTACAAACTTGTCCAGAAAAAGGAGTAATCCCTTGTTTGGAAGACTCTAGGACAGATGACTAGGAAAATTCTGTATGGACATCTATCTGTATATGCATAACTAGACCCATGTACCTACTTCTTAAATGGATAGGGATGATAAGGGAAAGAGAAAGAAAGCCTGAGTGCTGACTTAACTCAAGGTCTCATAGCTCTTTGGCGGCTGAGTCAAAACTAGAACGACTTCTTTTGGTTCTTATCGACTACCCTTTTCTAGGAAGCCCTGGCTGGCGGGCACCCGCATGTCTATCCGGAGGTCTTGTGCTAACACTGTGCAAATGCAAACCACCAGCCAGGGGCTTCCTTGTTGCCTCCAGGAATTCCTCAGTAGTCTGCATGAGCCCACCTGCCCCAGAACCTTGACAAGCACCTGTACCTGAGCTGCAGTCACCCTTTCTCCAGCCTGGACTTCTCTGCAAAGGACCAGGCCTTTCACCCCACCCCTCTCCCGCAACTCCACCTGCAATCTCTCGGGCTCCAGGAACTCAGCCGGTCTCAGCCTGAACCGGTCCCCCTGCTCCTCTGCGGGTGCTGTCCACTTGCCCAAGTGCTGGAGCAAAACCCGGGTGCTACGCTTAAGCACTTTCTATTTTCCTCCCCAAACCCAAGCAATCTCTCAGTACTACCTAGCCGCTGTCCTAAACAGATTGAGAATCCGTTCCCTTTGCCACCTGCACTGCCATTTACCTGTGGCTGCCTTCATCTCCTGCCTCTGTGCTCGTCTTCTAACCATTCTACTTGACTCTGCCTTTTCCCTCTCGAATCAAATCTCTGTCCTGCACCAGTTGAATTTGATAATGTCCTTTCTCTGCTGGTGTCCACCGAGTGTTACCTTACTGTGATTTTCAAGATCCTCTGTGATCTGGCCCCTGCTTTTTATACCAGCCCCGGGGGGCCTCCCCGGTGTCCTGCAGTTCCTTGGAAGGTCACACTTTCTCCAGCTCTTGGTGCTTCCCATATGTTGATTGTTCCTGCCTTTCAGGGCCAAGCCAGAGGCCACCTTCCCCATTCCCCCACTGGATTAAACTCCTTCCCGGGGCCCCATTGGGCCCTGAGCTTCCCTCCTGTGGCACCAACCACACTCTTTGGTCCCCCTCCTACTATGCACGAGGTTCTGGCCTGCTCACTGTTGCCTTCCCCACACCTGCCACGCTCCCTGATGTCACTCGACACTATGAGTATCTGTGTAATGAGTAAATAAACGGGAATCTCAGATGGGCATAGGAATGCTGACTTCCTCAAGTCATATCACATCCAATTGAATAAAATCAAGATTATTGCTCATTCATCATAGCAATTCATGGTTGAATTGGTATGAGATCGATAATATTAAACATGGTTACCACCTCTTTGGTTCTCAATTTCTTTATCTATGAAATTCAGAGGTTATGTTCCATGCAAGGTCCTTCCTAGTTCAAAAAATCTAAGGACTTCACTCCCAAATTCAAGCACCAAGCTTTCTCACCTGCATTTTTGTCTCTGAGGGCAACCTTAAGAACTTTAAAACAATATTAGTTTGTCTTTACTATAGATGGACAGATGCCCAAATATATAAGGATTCTTGAAGACAGACTACCTTTGTATAACACTTTATAAATCACATCTAGTACTCCTTCCAACTGATTTATAAATTAGAGAAAGGGTTAACTAGCCTCAGATCTCATATAAGAATAATAATCAAATAAAGTGAAAGGGCTCTTCACTCAGTCACGAGTCTGTACTAACCCTTCCAGAAAATCTTCTTCCCACACATTAACATAAACTGTTTAAAAGCCTTTTTGGAGGGGTGCCTGGGTGGCTCAGTGGGTTAAAGCCTCTGCCTTCAGCTCAGGGCATGATCCCAGGGTGCTGGGATCAAGCCCTGCATCGGGCTCTCTGCTCAGGGGGAAGCCTGCCTCCCCATCTCTCTCTGCCTGCCTCTCTGCCTACTTGTGATCTCTGTCTGTCAAAGAAATAAAATCTTAAAAAAAAAACCCCAACCCTTTTTGGAGGATACAAACAAATTTAAATGAAAAAGTTATTTTAAAATGCATTCTCGAAGTAGTGTTGTTTTTTTCTTATTTAGATTAAGCTTCACTTCCTTTCCAATTAACTTAATTCATTCGTGTATTCATTATCCAGGAAGCAGTTATACACCTGTTCTGTTGATAACACATAAGGGGCAGGTCATACAGACACGCCTTACACTTTAGAGACACTTCCTGAAGGCAGCAACCCCAACTTTCAGTGCCTAGTGCTGCTTGTCAGGCCATGGAACTGCCACACTCTCCTATGCTACTGTTAGGGACCCCAGGGCCACAGCCTCTGTTCTTAACGGCAGCATTGTCAACACCAACCATATCCCCTATGGTTTCTCTCTCCCTGAGAATTACACTTAGGGGTGACCCATGGTTCCTTCACTCTCCTTCTTTCAGTGTCCAGTCCCGTAATCCAGTGTTTACAATCTGTTTGACTCTGTTGGTTAACACTGTGAATACTGAAAAGTTAACTTTTTGTATTTGTTTCTTGCTAGACTTTAAAAAGGCAAACTAATTAGTAGCAATCATAACCATAACCACTCAGAGAGGTAAACTGCATCTTTGTTTTTTGTGTGTTTTTTTTTAAAGAAACACCATCTTACCTTTCCCTGATTGAAATTGGAATTCCTCCCAGATAATATGTGCTGAAATCAAATATGTCACCGTGAATTAGGCTCCCAACCAAATCCACATTTATCCTCATAACTTTTTGGGCTTTTCCAATTATGATCTGTATCTAAAATGAATGAGAGATGAGTCAGTAAGCAATGGGGAATTAAGGAATCCTATTCAACATGGGTCAGGGATATTACGTTTTTATTTCCTCCAGATTGATTATACATGTGGTAGGAAGACTTTGAGCAGCAGCACTTATGGATAAAAATATAACATTGAAACATTTTAATAGAAATGTTTCATTTGAAATTAATCATGTCTTATATATCCCATATACATATTTCATGCCCAGGTACTCAGATTTTGAAAGGAGGTGTCCCTCCTCTTTTAATAAGTTAGTCTGGTAATAGAAAAATGTTCTGGGTGATGACTTAATTTTAAAGGACTGAGGACATTTAATAATTCACGTGAAAAGAATGAAAAGATATACCGAATGGTCTTTTCCATTGTTGACAACCTGTGTAACTTCTTTTTCTTTCGGTGGCTCTGAATTCAGTTTGTATCGCACCAGGAGCTTGCCATCTTCTATATCTAGAGATATGAAGTGATCCTAGGGCACAGAGACAATGTACATTTACCAGAAGATTCCATAGAAGAAGACCTAGAGGGCTGGAACTCAAGTTACTCTCAAGTCACAAACTACTCTCAGTTGCAGCCCCCTCCTCAGTTAACAGGGACAACAGTGCTGTAATATCCAGCTAGCAGGATGGGCATGACAGGTAAGTGTTCTAAGTCGTGTTCCACATTGTTCCCAGTGGTGGCACACGGGAAAGATGTAATACATGCAACTATGATCATGATTTTGTTTCATATGATCCATAACCAGCAAGCACAAATGGGAAGGATAAAGACACAGGTCATTAATACCATTTGAAAAGATGGCCGCCACATATTGGAGAGTGGTATGGTCTTAGTGAAACCCCCGACCTTTACCACCCTCTGTTCGCTGGCTGATCGCTGTCTCAGCCTCATTTGCTGCCTCATCTCCCACCAGCCCCCTCCTTCCATTTGAATGTGAGGGGTTCCTTGAGGGCCCACAGAGGAGCTCTTCTCTCCTCCTGCCCTCTCTTTGCCTCAAAGTCATAGTCACTTTCACAGGCCCAACCCAGGTGCGGGCGCACGAAGCCCAGATGCTTCTCTCCAGCCTAGACTTGTCTTCTCGGGGCCAGGTCCGCACATCGGGTAACCTTATTGCTACTGCACGTGACTCATGGATCCCTCAAATTTGAATCCCACAAGCACAGCTTGTGGTCCACATGCCTCTCAGCGGTCAAGCCTTTCTCTCCATCCTTCCCACTGCTCTCTCTTCCTTTCTCTCTCTCACCAGTAAGAACCCTGCTAAGCCAGCCACAAACCTACTGAGCGTCACTCTTTAACATTCCCCCCTCTCCCTTCCTGTCAAATCTTGTCAGTTCCCCCCATTTCTTAACTGTCTCTCCATTTCATGCCACCCAGGGTCAGTCACACTTGACTAGCCAGACTACACAGCAATAATGCCCCATCCTCCCCATGTCCACTCTGTCCCTTCGTGAACCCACTTGCCACTCTACAGCCAGAGCGCTCCGTGGGAAACACCAGCGTGAGCACATTATATTACCCTCCTTTGCTCTTGGGGGAAGCTCCGACTCCCCAGCACATGTTGTGAGGCCCCGATCTTCCCTTCAGTTTCTTCTGCCTCTCTTTGCTCCAGCCATGCGGGCCACCATTTTGTCCCTGAGCACTCCTTGCCCTTCCCACCTCCAGGCCTTCTTTATGTCCCTCTCCCCACAGGGATCACCTGTCTGCCCTTCCCTCCAAATGCTGTCTTCTCTTCCCTCCAGGCCTCAGAGTACCCATCCTTTTGTCTTTTATACATCTTCATTCACCTCAGACTTTTCCTCTTGGCCATTGTGATGATTAATTAACCAATTAATGAGTACAGCTTTGTTAAATATTTGTTTCCCCTCTAGAATAGAAGGTCCTTGAAGGCAGCCACTGCATCCTTATCCCTGCATAAAGCACATACTTGAAGCAGCCCTTTCCTTAGAAAGATATGCTGAGGAATTTGTGATGTAGGGCTTAAATGTTTATTCTTCCACAGTCCCTGGATAACAAGAAGGCTTCTCTTTGATGTCTTCGGACAGAGTCCTTACATAAAAGTAACATCAGTCCATGGGGCGCCTGGGTGGCTCAGTGGGTTAAAGCCTCTGCCTTCGGCCCAGGTCATGATCCCAGGGTCCTGGGATCGAGCCCCACATCAGGCTCTCTGCTCAGTGGGGAGCCTGCTTCCTCCTCTCTCTTTCTCTGCCTGCCTCTCTGCCTATCTTTATCTGTCAAATAAATTTTTTAAAAAATCTTAAAAAAAAAAAAAAAACTAACTAACATCAGTCCTTATCTGGACCCCACATCTTGTCCTTGGGAACCAGTTAGCATTCATCACACTCAACAACTGCCGAGTCACGTCAGTTGAGTAATGAGCCACTCTGCTCAACAGTGTTGCTCACAATCATTTTTCCTTATCTGGTTACTAAAGGCGCCATAAATTTTCTTCTAATATGAGTGGTACTTCTGGCTCTTGGTCTCTGAGAACTTCAAAAGGTAGTACAAAGAAGACCGTGTTTAGGAAACAACCACCTGGCCCTGAAGATGATGTGTGACTTCTCAGCTCCTCGAATTCTATTGGCAGGTCAGGACCTTCCCAAACCCTCAGAACTGGTTCAGGCTTAGAATCTCCCAGAGGGTCAAGACCAGCCCCAGAGAGGAGAGTTGGATCAGGTCTGTGTCCCCACCCTGCAGGCAGAAGGGGCTGGTCAAAGCCCAAGCTCCTTATCAATCCCATGTTGCAGAGATCCCATGGGCTGATGCACATTTCTCCAGAAATGCTCCCTGTAGAGCAACCACAGAAGGCCCTACTGCTAGGACCAGTCACTCCAGACACATCTCTGAGCAGATGGCGCTGTCCATCACTAATACACTTTGGATTTCTCCAAACTAGACTTAAGAATGGCCTCCAGAAACTTCAGTGGCTTAAAAACAGAAGCACTGGGCACCTGGGTGGCTCAGTTGGTTAAGCGATTGCCTTTGGCCCAGGTCACGATCCTTGAGTTCCGGGATCGAGTCCCGCATCAGGCTCCCAGTTCCACGGGGAGTCTGCTTCTCCCTCTGACCTTCTCCCCTCTCAAGCTCTCTCTCACTCTCTCTTTCTCAAATAAATAAAGAAAATCTTTAAAAACAAACAAACAACAACAAAAAAAAAACAGAAAAGCTTCCAGGTCTTGGAAAGCCGGGGGTCAGGCTGAAAAGACATAATTCCACAGAGCCTGGCAAGAGTTGGACCAAGATGCAAACAGCAGAAAGTCAGTCTCTCAGACACCCTGGAAGGTTGTCATGTGATTTCAGGCAGACTAAGTAGATTATCAGGCCAACTGTGGTTTTTGAAGAATACAAGTGACAATGGCATGTTTGGGTGGCAGGTTCTCAAATTCCCAATTACTTGCCTCATTAAAGCACACACTCCCATTGCCAAAGAAAGCAGAATTAGGCCAGGAGAAAAGATGCAGCTAACATTTGCACACTTTTTCAGATCTAGTTAGTTACTTATAATAACCCAGTTACCCCAAACTTGCTTAATTGAGTGGACATATTTGGTTATTTGGATGTTTGTTATAGAATACCTTGTTTTCTGCAAAGAACAGCAGTCCTCTATCCATGGTGGTCTGAATCACCTGTCCAAAGGTTGGGATGGGAGCATTTGGTTGAGTCGGAACTCGAGCATAGCCTGTACCTTCAAAGTAATTTCTGTCTGACTCTTCCTTTCTCCTGTCAACATCAATGACCATACATTACAACACAGCAGCAAAGGACCACCACTCAAGTGTGCTCTCTGAAAACCGAGCAAAACCCATGCAATGTAGCTGTCATGATTTTGTTCAAGAAGAAACATCTTTAGAACATGAAAATAGCCAACTGTTTCTCCTGGGTATGCGCTTAGGCTCTATGGTAATCAAACCCTAGCTTGAAAAACATAACAGTTAGGAATCCCCTTTGAAAATATCTCCTTAGGAAGATGTGGCCTAGCAGCTGAAGACTGTGAAATGTAAAAAATTATTAACTTGAAATATAATTTTATTTGGAGTAGCAGTTTGCCCAAATCCTTTTAACTATAGGGAAGGTCAGGAGCTTAAGATAGCAATTTCCAAATAGTTTCAGGTGTCAGAGTACCTAGAAAGTCATGGTGTATTATGTGGACTAATATTTTTTTTTGAAACTTACAGTAAATATATAATTTGTGCCTGAATCAGGTGCCATCTAATATTGAATATTTTGTGGTAGGAGGCACCAAAAATTTAAGAAGGATTGATTTTTTTTCAAAAAATCAAAAATTGAGAAAACTCTATCAATCTAATATTTTATGCAAATGAGGAAATTTTAGGGGTGGGCTAGCAGTATTGCATGCAATCATAATTTAAGATCTACTGGCCCAAAGCTATCGTGACATCAAAAGCAATCTCATTGGCTCATTCCTTTATTACATGTAATATAACTGCAAGTTACCAAAAATCATAGTTACAGAGATGCTAGTTCCTGGTAGTTTTGTTGTTGTTGTTTGTTTGTTTGTTTTACCTTCTACAAGGCTCTACTTCCGTTGTGTTGAGATTGAAAGTTTGTTTGAAGTTGTACAAGCTCAGAACATTTTCGTTGAGGTCATCTAACTCAATACAACCTTTGTATGGAGGGAACCTCAGTCTAGCAGGAAGCTGAAATAAAAAGAAACAAAAAATTGAATTCAACTAAGGACAATGATCAGGTTGGGCAAGAAATAGTATGAACCCATCACTTTTTTTTTTTTTTAAAGATTTTATTTATTTCTTTGACAGACAGAGATCACAAGTAGGCAGAGAGGCAGGCAGAGAGAGAGGTGGAGGCAGGCTCCCTGCTGAGCAGAGAGCCCGATGTGGGGCTTGATCCCAGGACCCTGGGATCATGACCTGAGCTGAAGGCAGAGGCTTAACCCACTGAGCCACCCAGGTGCCCTGAACCCATCACTTTTAACTGCCATTGTAACACAGGGTTAAGAATGGGGACCCTGGAGCCAGAGGCCCTGGTTTTGTTATTTACCGGCTGTCTGACATTGGACAAGTTATTAAACTACTCTGTCTCAGTTTCTTCATCCACGAAATGGAATGGTAATGATGCCTATTTAAATTCACAGACTTAAGTCTAGATCACAGCACACAGGAAGTACTCAAAAACGGTTAGCTTTTATCACTAGATATGCTTTAAGAATATATAGTGAAATCCATTTTATCTATAATGGATAATTGAAATAGAGACCTGAGGTCCTTATGCCAAATTGCAATGTAAATATTTTCACTCAGTGAAATAACATTTACACTTACTCTGAAGTCAGGTGGGTAACCTCCAACATAAAATACAACATTTTCAGGATCTAGATTGAGGAGCGTGTGGCTGCTTCCACCACCCATTTCATGGAATTGGGATGTTCCGGGTTTAATGGCTGTGGCTTTTTTCGTGTAATTTAGACTTGCAAACTGATAAATTCTGTTTAAAAATAAGTTAAAATTATATGTAAAAGTTATATAAACATTGAAGAAGTCAAAGCCAAGATACTGAAAACGGGGTTTAGCAGCACATACAGTGGGAGTTCCGTGAGTATGGGTCAGATTAATAAACAGCAGTAGGCCATGGGAGTCGTACCTCTGAAATTTCACCCGGTCCATAACTGCCTCCTGAGTTTCGCTCTTGGTCACGCTCTGGTCCACCTGGAGTTCTGACTCCTGTTCTCCCAGGTTGTAGACACACGAGAGCTTGCCGTCTATAACTGCCATGCCAATGTAGTCCTTGGAGGCCTGGGGACATCAAGGCCACCTCAGAACACTTTGCACACACACTGTTCCTCTCAACTTCCCATCCCAAGAGAGCGCATTTCAAATAACTAAAGGGTTTTCCACAGTATGCCTTGGCCACATAGAATGAATGAGGTACCTCTTTGTACAGAATAATACAGACAAAACACTTAATTAATAATGTCTGCACTGTCTTTGCTCCCAGATTATTGCACTCAGATTCACTCCCCCTTTCGCTCAATCTGCAAATATTTGCCAAGCACTTGCCATTAAGATGAACCAGATATAACTCAGGTCTCCATTAGATTTTAGTCCGGAAATAAGCCATTTTTGTTCTCCCTGTACCACATAATGATCTCTTAACACTTTGTGCATGTTTCTGTTATAACACCTAGAACCCTCTGTTATCACGTGAGGTCAGTTACGTATGTATCTTTCTTCTCTGTTAGAATAGGAGCACCTGAAGGTACACATGGAGTTTTAAAGTTGTGGTAAAATATACATAACATGAAATTTACATTCAAGAAACAAATTTCTGTTTATCATAAATACAGGGTGGGGTGCCTTGCAGGGAGATGGTATAAATTTGTTGAAGGAATAAAGTAATATGCATTTAGTCAAAATACACAGCAGAAAGTCATGTCCTAAGAAAGCTACAAATAAAGAACCAACACTTTAAAGCATTAGAGAGTGATTAATAATAGTGTCAATTTTAGGAACCTTTAACACCCACATACACAAATGATAGCCAATTACTTCCTAATTGGCCAGAATTTTCCAGAATCATGTTTCAGACATTTTCTTTTTCTTACCCATTATATCTTAACACAGCCAGCAATTACCTTTTCCTCTGACACTTAAGTTGAAGAAATGTATTTTAAGAGGAACTAAAGGCTACAATGAACTGGTCGAATGAACTGGTGCCTAGGTCAGGCTCATTCGGTTGAGCGTTGAACTCTTGGTTTTGACTCAGGTCGTGACCTCAGGGTCGTGAGATCAGGCCCTGTGTTGCGCTCTGCACTGGGAGTGGAGCCTGCTTAAGATTCTCTCTCCCTCTCCCTCTTCCCCCCTCCCCTGCTCACTCTCTCTCAGGAAAAAAAAGAAAATGAAGTATTCACAAAGCCTGTAACAGTAGTGGTTTAAATAATTGAGAATGAGAAAGAGTAGGGTGACTGCATGCCTCGTTAATGAGGCAGCAGGGGCTTCATTCCACTTCAGCCCTCATCCACAGATGGTCCCACCCCTGCCCACTTGGGGAAGGGTCTGCAGCTGGGCATTCTGAGGGGGAGGGCAGGGTCACGATTTTGTGAGGAAGAACCACTGCTGGTTTCCATGAAGCCTTGATATTATTGCCCTGGTTGTTTAGGGAGGGGTGCCGAACTTTAACCCCTCATGTGCATGTGCTCACATGTATACACACATATGTCATGTGCTGAGCCCACTGGGCATATTGCACTATTTTTTACCAAAATGCATTTATCTATAAACTGTAATTAGTCTTATTTCTCATGTTTTAAATATTTTATCTCCATTGGATAAGGCCAACAGATAACAATCTGCAACAGATAACAATCTGCCCCTTGTGATGCCATCAGAGGGGGTGGAGTCTGCTGACATACCAGTGGGATTTCTTCCTGCTGTGCAAATGGCAATGACACGTTTGAGACATGTGTCTCAAAAACCATATTCTTTTGGGCCACAATTCAACCCACAAAGATGATGGTGGGTTAGTGATGGCGGCATGGTCACCCCAACAACATTCCAGGGAAAGCCTGCTGCTGTGTCGTGTGGACACTTAACAGCCCTATGGAGAGGACCATGTGGCATGAAAAATCCCTCCTACCAACAGCCAGTGCTAACGCACAAGGCATGTGAGTGAGCCAAACTGAAAGCTAATCTCCAGCCCCCGTCAAGCCTTCAGATGACTGCAGCCCCAGCCAACACCTTGCGAGACACCTCACGAGAGCCCCTGAATGAAGCCATCTGGCTAAGCCACTCTTGAACATCATACCATAGAAACAGTGTGAAATAATAAACTTTTACTGTTGCTTTGGGCCACTAAATTTGGTGGTCATGCAGCAAATATATAACCAATATTAAAAAAAAAATCCTCAGGCCATATTGTTCTAAAAACAAGAGAAATGTTGAAGGAATACTTACATCTTTATTTCCGAGGTACATCACAAACATATTCTCCGTCCTCCCATATTCTCTTGAGTCAGGTCTTTGGAGAAACAAAGAAAGAGAGGTGTATCCTTTCAAGTCTTCTAGGTCATCTGGCACCCGGACTTCAACTCCAGATTTACCATTGAACCTCATGGGGATAGCGACCTGTGAGGGAAAAGATCTAGGTCATGAAAGATTCTTCTGTGAGGGAAGGGGGTATGCTCAGAGGGCCAGCCTGGGACTCTGCCACGACTCCTTTCAGCTCTACGCCAGCATTTCCCAGTTGTTATGATAAAGGGCAAAGGAGTGTGCATGTCTCCTAGATCTGGCTTATACACTCATGAAGGTGCTTCAGGAGCTGGGTGACAAAGCATTCATGTTCTTCCTGCTTGCCAGTCAGGGGTCTTGGAGAAGTGCATCTACTTCTCTGTACCAGAAATGATAATCCTTATTATAATCATAATATAATTATGCTGCAGCCCTAGAAGGTTTTGTACAGATGACCTAGCACGTATGGAAACGCTTAGCATGGTGCCTGGTGTGTTACAGATATATAACACATCAAAAGTATTTTTTAAATAAATTCTTTAAGGAATCATTCCCCATTAATATATTACATGTTACAGTTGCATTTATTATAGGCATTCACTCCTTAAAAATGAATGCATCAGGGCTCTCTAAAACAGTGCATCTCAAACTCAGTTGGTGAAGGATCATTTTTTTTCCCTCCTCTCTAATCTGCCCTGGAACAATACTTTTGTAAATATATTAAAAATGAAATTATTAGAGAAACGAAATAAAGAAGGTATGCAAAATACATATCTACTCTCCCAAGCTTGAATTTTGAGGCAATTCAAATTATTAAAAGTTTTTAGGCATATACCTTCAGCTTTATATTTATATATAATGGACCAATAACAAAATTTCTAATTTCTCTGATGAGTGCTGGTCTGTGGACCAGCTTGGGTAGATGGCATTCAAATACAGAAAATAAATGTTCCTTAATAATCTAAAGAATGACTCCTGGAATGATACCTACACCAAGTATATCTCGTCTATCAAGCATTTAAATATTTATGGAAAACCTGGTTTATGCAAGGTATTATGTTGGAGTGGCATACTTAGCAGTAGTGTGAACTGTCATTTCTCAAACGTGCTTGTGACTGAGCACCCCTCACCCACTTTACAGGCTCATGTGATGCCTCTATGTCTCCTCCCCTCTGCCCTCCAGTCTACCCAACCACAACCTGAGTCTTTCCTGGCATGCCCTTTGTCACCTGGAAAACTCCCAGTCTTTTAAATTTTTTTAATTAAGAAACCATCTCTTGTATACATAAAACGATGTAGAATATACCTGTATATTCACTACATTCTTAATAAATTACACATAAGTTGTATAACTGACGCTCCTTGCAAATCTCACCTTGTCCCCGTTCCTTTCTCCCACCTCAGAGGCCTTCAGAACCTGAATTTAGATTCCTATGCATAGGAATCTAATGTTGCATTATTTTTACCAAAATGCATCTATTTATAAACTGTAATTAGTCTTATTTCTCATGTTTTAAATATTTTAATATAAATTGTATCTCTACACACTCATCTACAACTTGTTTTCTTGGCCTCCCTCTGTTTGTAGATTTATCTATGTTGACACACCTATTGGCTCCAGCTCATTCACATTTATTGTGGCATGCATACATTGATCACATTGTATACATTGTATACATTTGTATACAGTTACCACAGTTTTAGTCATCTCCTATTGATGAACATTTGGCTTTTTTTCCCCAATTATATTTTGTGATGACATGCTATGTCACATTGAACATTCTTCTACATGTCCTTTAGTACCATTCTGAGACTCTCCAGGTAGAAATGAGTGTTGTCAAGACCTCAACACAGCTTTATTCAGCTTCTTAGTCTGCTTACCAGCTGCAGCACTTAGCAGCTGGTGAGTAACCTGAGGCCAGGACTATGGCTTCCTAATCTCTCTGTCCTGGGTACCCAGGAGAGTGCCACAAAACCCAGGTTCTCAAAAGTGCTGGCTTATTTTTAAGTTGTATTTTATTATTTTCCAATTACATGGTACTAATAGCCAGGACCTATTTTATATTACATAGTTTAATCTTAAAAATCTCTTGGGGGCCATTATTATGTACCCTCCTCTACAGATGAACAAAATGAGGCACAGAGGTGAAGTGGCTGGCCCAAGGTCCTACAGCTCATAAGTGACAGAGCTAGGATCAAAACCAAGGCACTCTGGTTTGGTTAACAAGTTCTTAACCACGGTATTATACGTTTCAAATTTTGTTGGACAAATTAGTGAATGAACATAGAAGGGCAAAAGCTAGAAACATACTATTTCTCATTTGGTTTTTATAAAGCATGAATGGGTGTGAAAAAGTAGTGTCTTCCAACTGTGCCTTATGCTCTTTTTCTACTAGAGGTTTTTCTTTTGTTTTGTTTTTTAAGATTTTATTCATTTATTTGACAGAGAGAGGGAGAGCACAAGCAGGAGGAGTGGCAGGCAGAGGGAGAGGGAGAAGCAGGGTGCCTGAGGAGTGCAGAGCCTGATGTGGGGCTCCATCCCAGGACCCCAGGATTGTGACCTGAGCCAAAGGCAGACACTTAACCTACTGAGCCACCCAAGAACCCCCCTGCTATAGGTTTTATGTTGGGAGTTCTTCTCTTTTCCCAGACGTCAGGGCTCAAAAGAAGTAATAGTGAGCCTTGGAATCAACCACAGTGTCCTTAGGCAGTGATACTATGACTTGGTTTCTCGACCCTCTGTCTCCAAATATCTCAACAAGGGGGTGGATGAAAAATGCAAGCTGTTTCATTAATATTGTTTTAGTACAAAACAAATTCTTGAGAGAGAAGTGTCAGGAATTCAGGTAAATACTCTCAAGTTTAAACGAGAAAGGCTGATGAATTTGTGTTCCAGTGAAGAAAATCTGCTATCATCCTCTGTCCTCAGTAAAGGTGGATTCTACAACGTCCCAGTTATAATAAGAAAGTAGGATCTGTGCAGTATCATAGCAGTACATTCTGATGATAGAACCCTTACTTGAACTTGAAATAACACTTCACTAATGGGGTCTGGAGAACCCTTCATCCTGCCTGCATAAACTCAGTGGGGAAGAAATCGCTTCAAGTCTCTGACATACCAGATCATTTAGGGCATGAAGGTAATGTGTGGTTTTGAAGGTTGACAGAAGAAAGTCAACTTTCACTTTCCAAACAACCAAAGAATTAGAAGAAAGACAACCAGTTCATGTGTAAACAAATGTCTTCCCTTTCTTGGTGAATGTGGTAACTTCTCAAAGATGGAGCCTTGGTGCCTGGCGATGTGGTGACACACCTACCTTATTTGCAGCATCTCTGGCCTGCTGAATTAGCTCCCGGATACGGTCCACATTATCAGAGATGTTGCCTAGTGGCAAGAGCTGTTGGTTGATACTTTCAATCTTGCTCAAAAGATCAGGCAGTTTATTGGTTAATTTCCTTACTGTTGGTGAGATGACAAAACAAATTTATAAATGTGAGTTGAGAAAAGGTTAAATACAGATTTTCTCATTGACAATATTTGTCAAGGGTTATGTTTGGTCCCCAAATATTGGGTAGGATGACTCAGAGTCAGGTAATACCTTCCCTAAATACATCATGGATTTTTACCTACAATCTAGTTATCAAATCATCTTTCTTGACCACTACAGAAGGAAATAAACCTCTGTTTTGTTTTTTTTTTTTAAGATTTTTATCTATTTATTTGACAGAGATCACAAGTAGGCAGGTGCGGTGGGGGGAAGCAGGCTCCCCGCCAAGGAGAGAGCCCCATGCAGGGCTCGATCCCAGGACCCCAGGACCATGCCCTGAGCCTAAGGCAGAGACCCAAACCACTGAGCCACCCAGGTGCCCCTAAACCTCTGTTTTTTGATCCTTAGTATCAATTATAACTTAATACCTCATGATTAAGGGATCTGTATCTCCACTCTATAAAATGGAAAATCAATAACAATGTTAATGAATTAAAAAAAAATCTTACCTACTCTAATTAATAGAATACCCATATTTTTAAATGTATTATGTGAAACTACTTTCTAATATTTTTAAAAAGATTTTATTTATTTATTTGACAGAGATCACAAGCAGAGAGGCAGGCAGAGAGAGAGAAGGGGAAGCAGGCTCCCCACCAAGCAGAGAGCCGGATATGGGGCTTGATCCCAGGACCCTGAGACCATGACCTGAGCCAAAGGCAGAGGCTCGACCCACTGAACCACCCAGGTGCTCCACTTTCTAATATTTTAAATTTCTAATTTTGGGCTTTATCAGGGAAGAATTTAAATAAATCGATCAAAGCACATAACAATGCACAAAATGGATAAGATGTCCTGGCCAAAGGACGCCTGATACCTGAGTTATCCGCATCGGTGAGAGCCTTGTTGAAGTCTTCACGCTGTGTGCTCCCATACGTATCTTTAATTCTTGTCACATCTGTCTGAATGGGGCCGAGCCCATCTAGCACCTCATTTGTGATGTCATTGGCATTTCTGACCATGCTCTTTGCACTACTGATCATACCACTGATGTCATCTAATGCACACACAGAGGGAGGTTTAAGGATCTGAAATGGTCGGAAAAAAGAAGCCAAGGACAGGGGTGGGGGGTGGGGGTAGGGAGATGCTGACCTCTCTGTATCCCACGAAGGTCATCATGAATGGCAGTGATATTGGTGTCAATCAACCCTTTCTGAACTGTTATAACTTTCAGAGTCTGTTGAAGGTTGTTGAGAGCAGGGCTGATTTCTACAATTAAACAAAGCATCAGGAGGCAATTACCTATGGTTTTTGATCTTCCATTGGTGTTGGTGGCGTCTGAAATAGCCAGCATTGGCAGAGCAGTGAGCAGATGTGCATCTCAGAGATACCCACTATAGGTGCCTAGACCCACAGCTCCATGGGACTCTGGTTATAAAGGCCAGGAGCATTCCCAAGCCTGTGGTATCAGGCTCCTCAGAAGAAATGGAGAGGCTTAATCTTTTAAGGGAGGTTTAACTTCCCCTCTGCTTGGGGCAAATGTCTCTGCTTAGTGTAAGAAAAAGAGGTGACTATCCAATTCACTGCTATGTCACAGTGCATTGTCTGGCACTAGTCTGAGCTTGATATTAGGGCATACTTATTGAATGAATGAATGAATGAATGAATGAATAATGCAGAAAGAATGCCTCTACCGTCAGAATATAATAAAGAAGTGCCAAGGAGAGAGCCTTATCCAAGCAAATAGACACACAAAGTAGGCTTTGTTTCTGTTTGTTTCCAGACTGACACATTTAGAGCCATTTTGTGAAAGGGAAGGAGTTCACAGACATTCCTAGCTGATAATATTGCAATTTGGGGTCATAGGATATGACCAGTGAATGCTTGAAGAACCAAGTGATGATATATGGTTTAAATTGTGATTCTAGGACTGATTTAAATAACAATGTAGACAAATACCACACAATCTCTCTTGTATGTGGACTCTAGAAACACCCTCAAAACAAAAACAACAAGCTCACAGATACAGGGAACATATTAGGGGCTGTCTGTACCTGGGGGTGGGGTTGGGAAAAATGGGTGAAGGGGATCAAAAGGTAAAAAGAAGCAATCAAGCTGGTAGAAAACAAAAGAAAAAAATATCGATGTCTTAGTATCCTAATCCTATTTAAAACCAAACCTCACCTCTTAGCTCAGATTTTGTAAAGGGAAGAGATGTTATACCAGGAAATCTTAATTCCTGCAATGTGCTAAGCAAATCATTCTGTCACTACATATTTTTTTTTTTGGATGTAATTTTTCATGTATTGGTTTTTCTTAAATGAAAAAAAAAGATAAATACATTTATTTACTGTCAGAAGGCATCTAATCACTAAACGGACTAAGATGACTTCTTGGCCATGAAGGAACAAGAGAGACCAGAGAAAAATCAAGAGACAGCATGTTCAGAACACTGGAATTTGGTGAGCTTGAGATGGTTTAATTGCTTTGTAAAAAAAAATTAAGCAAATGGGAACTTTTCAAAGATAAAATTTATGATTCAAAAATTCTCATGCTTCACAGTGGTAGTAATTTGGGTACTTTTACCTACTAATACTCTAGGACTTAAGAAAGTTTGAAGCCCCAATGACCGGGAATTATTATCCGGGACTTCAATGAGAAACCAGCCCTGCACGTTGTATACATCTCCAATGTCATGGTCACCTCTGGATTAAATGAAATAGGCCCTCAAGTCCCGGCCCAAAGAGACCTGTCACCTTTAAGATTTATGTATACTCATGAGGTTCTTGTTATTTTAGTACATGTGAGAATGTTGGGTAGAAACATCAAATCTATAAAATAGACCTTGGATTTACAAGGTATCATCTCCATTGACACTGAGATTCCAGGAGAGCATATGCTTCTAGAATTTGCTACTTCTCCTGGTCTTATAGGTCATTCTCAAGCCCTTGGCTATCCCAGCCACCCCCTACCCACCAACTCTAATACCTTGCCGCAGCTGCTTCTCTGTTATCTTGGCTTGCTTCAAGAGTTTATCACTGTCAGAACTCAGGGTTTTCGCTTTTCCAGGAAGATCTTCCTTTATCACTGTCTGAAAGCAAAGCATTCATCAGCCTCCAGCATGTGGCACATGGTAGGAAATGCGGAGGAAGATTTTCATCCTACTCTGAAAAGTCTTATCTTCAGTCTTTAAAGAATGAGGTTCAAAGGTGGGAAGGATGTTTAAAAAAAAAAACTGTTTCTTAAAAGATACAGTTAGGGGGGCGCCTGGGTGGCTCAGTGGGTTAAGCCTCTGCCTTCGGCTCAGGTTATGATCCCAGGGTCCTGGGATCGAGCCCTGCATCGGGCTCTCTGCTCAGCGGGGAGCCTGCTTCCCTTCCTCTCTCTGCCTGCCACTCTGCCTACTTGTGATATCTCTCTGTCAAATAAATAAATAAAAATCTTTATTAAAAAAAAAGATACAGTTAGGGCTATAGGGAGATAGAGAATTCGAGGCTTAGCAAAGCAGACCTTTCTCTGGTGACCAACTGACAAATTATGTAACACCTATTTCATTTTTCTCCCTGTCCACAAAATACCCTCTTCAATAACTGAGACAGGACTGAATTGCTTTTGGGTGTTCAATATTTGGGAGATAAACGTCTTTAAGCTTCTAAGGAATCCTGTCTCCTAATTCTCTGATGTCTAATATTCTGTTCTTTATTTTAAGGTATAGGAATATTATATGATGCAGAGAAGGTCCCATAGGACGCTAAGACATGCCTCGTGCGAAGACAAATAACAGGAAATAAATGATCACCACACTGTACATAAAATCTCTCTCTTCCTTGGGAAATGTCAATACTTAATCACAGCCTAAATCGTTCCTAGAAAGGGGCAGGATATATCACTCATCTTGGTTCAACACTGACAATCAGTGTAATTTCCATTTGGTTTTACAAATGGTTTTTTCAGCTGTGCAGCACAGATCAAGACCGTCAAGTGAAATAGAGAAATGGCCCACATCTAGAGCAAGTTCACGTCTATTCTATACAGCGAATTCTGATTTACAATAACGCTTGTTTATATTTGTCAGTGCATACAAAAAGAAAGGGTCCCAGCGCAGGTGCCCACCTGGAGCGCAGACTCGGACGCGCTGGTGGCCTTGTTGGCGGCGTCCTCAGCCGCTTTGATGGCGTTGAGAATGTTCTCATAGGCCGTGGCGGCGTCCACTGCACAGCGCACCAGCTCATTCCCGCTGGTGTTCCTCTTGATCCTGGAAGACAATGCGGGCGAAGGGCTCCAGCAGTCCCCACTGCTTGCAGCGGAGGCCATCTCCATCCGCCCCTTCCCCCAGCTTCCCCAATTCATTGGGCAAATGAAGACCAGAGGTGGCGTGCACACAGCTGGAAATCAAACCCCTGTTGCAGGTGAGATTGGGTCCTGGGCCCTGGGTCCCACCCTCCACCCTGTTCTAGAGAACCAGTTGTCGGGCAGGCTTGAACACTAGGCTCCAGCTCCCCGTTCAGTTAGACCTCGGGGCTCACTCACTCCTCCAGCTGCTTCGCCAGCTCTTGCAAAGACTGCGCATGCGCTTCTGCCTCCGCCACCAGGGACGCTTTGCTGGTGGACCGGGAGAGTTCTCTCACTTTGTCACTTAGCCTGTGTCTTTCTTCCTTTATAGTGGCAGCTAACTTTTCGTATTCCTATGTGTCCAGGTAAACAGAGAGTGTCAATTGAAGCAAACAATGTATATGCCATTTTCTTGAACTCTCATAAACTTCAGGCTCCCGGGATGCATTACTTCGGCAGTGGTACCAACAGATCTCTAACTTTTCCCAACTTTGGAACTTTTTTCTTATGATGGATAACCACTTTGATAAATTTTATAAAAGCACACTGTTAATATTAGTGTAAAGTTGTACTAAACCAAACCCTTTCTTTTTTCTGATTTAAAAGTAGCGATTATAAAAGATATTTCCCAAATACCCATTGGGCAGCTAATGGGGTCAATCTTTGATCAGTCCTAGATAGGCCCCGCTAATAATAAAAATAGGCTTGATATTTTAAAAAACATCATTCCAATTTCGTTTCGTTTTCACAAAAGCAACCTTTGCTTGCTGTGGGCTAATTAGGTGATAGGACTAGACATAGGGAAGACCCATCATTGGCACCGGGGCACCCCAAAGGGGCAGCACGGTAAACATTTTGGTTTATTTCCTTCCATCTAAAAGACATCTATTGCAGAAAAAACACAGGTTAGCCCATATTCTAGATTCCTCGTATACGATCTGAATGTTTTTTCAGTTTTCTGGAGAAGCAGTTTGTCTCTACCTCCTGGCTTTCCCCCATCTGCTGCAAGAGCACGTTGGTCTGCAGTAAGGAAGAGTCCGCCATGGCTAGGTACTTGGACAAATCACTCCGCAGGGAATTCATTTCTTGGATTTGTGTCTGGAGAGAAAAAAAGAATATCTGCTTGAACGACATGCTATGTTATCAGAAGGCAGAGGCATAGTCATTGGGACTGCAGCGGAGAAGTAATTTCAGAGCCTGGAGCTTCTCTTGAACTTAAAGATCATCTAGGCAACTACAGAGTGAGGGGAAATCAGTTCCCTTTGCTGTGTGGGTGTGTTGTCATGGTTTCCTCAAACTCCATGTCAGGAAAACAACAGTTAACGCTGGGGAAGAAGCTTCCTATCCTGGCAGTGACTGGGCCAATGAGGTGAGTCAGCTCTGCTTTGTGAAGCAGAATCAGGGATTTTCACTAAACAAATCAGCACCAACCATCACTATCCTCTGCGCGCCAGGCCCCATGAGGACACACAGGTGCTTCAAAGTCTTCAACGAGAGAGCACACAGGACCTGGGGAGGCCAGGCAAGGAGCCACCAAAGCTCCAAGACAAAATTGGATCATGCTTCATCATCATCGGTGACACTGGCGTCATCAGTGACTTCCAACAGCAAAGTCACTGTCTAAAGCGTTCTCAGGAGTTAAGCATATTGCCATCTACTAAGATATTATTTATTTTCTTTTACCAAATTCTTCTTGCTGGGGCTCAGTCCTGTGTTACTTCCCTCTGACCTTTCTGTCATTTTATAAGGCCACAAGCTCGTGTTGCTGTCTCAGCATACAATGTGCACCACTGAAAAAACACAAGTACTATGAAATCTTGCGCTCCAAACCCTGTCTCTGCAGCTTCTGCATGAGGCCTGTATTTTAATCTATTTCCTGTAATGCAGATAATGGCTTAAAATGCCTTTGCCGGTGATTATGATAATGAGGTTTACCCAGCTGACACAAAAAGTCGCTTATTTAAAACATATATTATATCCTTGGATTTAATTATAGCAATATTGGTTTCATTTCTCATCTACTTGGCAACATTATTCCTCCAGTACTCCGTCAGCCTGGGGCAGGGGTAAAGCCATTTGCTCCGCTTTCTCTGTGGTTTGATTCACAATCTTTTCTGGTGACTGAGGAGTAGGAATGACTTTAGTTTTGCATTTAATTCCCGATTCCTGTTTGATGAGCATCTGCTATACAGACAGACACACACAGACTAGATGTGTGGACAGGTGCCCAGCCAGGCGACTTTGTTAAAGATACCTGCTTCCTCCACCTCATCATTAATGAAAGCGTGCAGATGCTGACCATGGACCCACCTTGATGGATTCCAAAGCTTTCTCGTTTTCTCGGTTGAGGCCAGTGGCCTGCTTTGCTTGGGCAGCTGCCTTCTGTAGCATTGCATGGAGGTTGCTGAGTTTGGCTTCATAGTCATGCAAAGAATCCTGTAGACTCTTAACAAGGGCGCTGTTCTCGCCTTGGTGCTGTTCCAGCCAGCTCTTAATCCGAGTCAGCACTGGAATACATCACATTTTGTTTTTCACTTGAGACATGAGTACATTGAAGCTAAACTATAAAGACTACAGAAGAAGAACCGAGTTTCCACTCATTTCCTGGTTTTCCTTGAACTTGTAAGGGAACAGGAAAGGAAACTAACATTTATGCAGCACCTGCTGTATGCATGGTTATGTGTGCATACATAACCCACATGAAAACAGTAGTATCAGTCTCATGTTTCAGATATGGAAAAGGACAGTCTGAGAAACTAGGGGACTGATCCCAAATTTCATGGCCAGTCAGTCTTGGCACTTGAACAAGACCTGCAGAGGGTAAAGTGCATACTCCAAATAGTACTACCAACACTACCAACTAACACTCTACTACTACTACTACTACGAACGACTACTAACTGCAAACTAACACTGTCCCCTCAGTCAAAAGCAAACACTACTATTAAATCTGAACACCACAAATGGTAAAAGAAAACTGTTACCATCTGTATATTAGCCACTGACATACCATTTTATTAGAGAAGAAAGATCACTCTTTGAAAAACTATGCACCAGACTTCTGTTTCTCAGTTTTGAACTAATGAGGCATTGTCCCTCACCAGAACCTTTAGATATATTCAATATCTACATCCAGTTTTTGGTTTCCGCAATAGTAGTGCTAATATCAATTTGGGATTCCCAAACCTGATGGTGGTGAGGTGACCATTAAAAAATGATACCATGAGAAAGTTGGGTGGAGTTGAATGAAGAAGAAAAATGTTGTTAAGAAGGAAAAGGAGGTCTCAGTAGCTAATGTCTTAGGAGAAGAATCTCTCTCTCTCTCTCTCTCTCTTTTTTTTTTTTTTTGGCATGACAGTAAGTTGTTATGTTCTTACCACCTCTTGGTAGCTCAGAAAGGCTACCCAGGTTCGCACGCTGCTCTAAAAGTCATGTATGTTGGGGTGTCTGGGAGGCTCAGTCCGCTGAAGGTCCAACTCTTGATTTTTGGCTCAGCACAGAGTCTGCTGGAGATTTTCTCCCTCTCTCTCTGCCCTTCCCCCACCCCTCTAAAATAAATAAATAAACCTTAAAAAAAAATCCTATACAGTGAAATGACAAGTCTCTCCACCTGTACCCAGGGACCCGACTTTGTTGTACTTTGCACACTGGATTTTAAGCCTACTAGAATGGACAGCATGCAAGGATCTGGGAAGGTCCTTACAGAGCCGAGCCTCTCTTTTATCAGCTTCTGCTTTTTTCAGTTGCTTTCCAAAGTCGCGGTTCCGTAGCTCTCTCATCATGCGCTCTGCTTCAGCCCACTCTCTGGAAAAATCCCCTGGAGGCAGGTTGTTGCCATCCCCACTGGTCCCAGAGATCTGCTTCAAGAGAACTAGAAAACATCGAGTAGTTTATTAAACTGGGAATTCCGGACTCCGGTCGACTACTAAAACACAAGCAAACAAAAAAAAAGCGCAGAGATTTTTATGGAGGGTTCATATTAGTTTTTTAGTGTCACTATAGGATCCCTTCCATAATGTTGAACTCTTTAGGAGAAATTCTTTCAGGGCACAGAACAGGCTATGTAATAAAAAAAATATTTAATTGGATTGAGTAACTCCTTACTGTGCACATTCTGGATGACATTTTTAATCTTTGTGTCCAGCTCTTTCGCACTTTGGATAGTCCGATCGACATTGTTATGTAATGCTTGTGCTTTTCTGGAATTTACTTGAACCTATATGAAAATAAATTCATTAGCAACAAACCATTTTTGGGAGGGAGAGCTATCAATATTTTGGGGACAATAACAATAAAAAGTTAACGTTATTGACATAACATGTTACCTTTTCTTGCAAAGTTTCAAATTCATGATTCAAACTACCCAGTTCCTTTTCTAGACCATCCATTTTTAATCCGTGATTTGAAGTGGCAGACCGGTAGGTGAGTAACTGATTCTGAAAGTAACATGCAAAGTTAATCTCACATTAGAGCAGAATTTTGGAGTAAGTCCTATCAACTTGGTAATCCTGGTAATGATACAGAAAGATTCATTTAGCAAGTCCAATGTAGGTCCACAGGAAAAGGTTGGGTTCTTTGAAATCGGCTAGTTGAGACTCTACTCTCTCTCTCTCTTTTTTTTTTAAGATTTTATGCATGTATGTATGTATGTATTTAGAGATAAGAGAGTATAGGGAGGGGCAGAGGGAGAGGGAGAGAGAGAATCTTAAGCAGACTCAGTGCTAAGCGTGGAGCCCCACAGGGGACTCCATCTCACGACCCTGAGATATGACCTGAGCGAAAATCAAGAGTCAGATGCCCAACTGAGCCAACTAGGTGCCCCAAGAATCTACTTTATGACATAAGTTGTGATAAGGCTCTAAAATAAACTTAAAAGCATGAAGAGATCAGAGATACTTTACTTGAGTTAGTGACCTAACCTTAAAGAAATGAGGGTGGTACCACCTACCTGGTATATTACATTTCAGACTGTAATACATTGTGTTGCTTTTAGCTTATTTTTATTTATTTATTTAAGATTTTATTTATTTATTTGACAGACAGAAATCACAAGTAGGCAGAGAGGCAGGCAGAGAGAGGCAGGGAGGCAGACCCCCGGACAAGCAGAGAGCCTGAAGGGGGCTGGTCCCAGGACCCAGAGACCATGACCCGACCTGAAGGCAGAGGCTTTAACCCACTGAGCCACCCAGGCGCCCCTTAACCTATATTTAACATTATAATATTAAAAGCAGTGCCTAAGGCTGCTTTAGTGAAGGACCCACTAGATTCAAAGAATCTGATGGCAGGAAGGGAATTGAGAGCTCATTTAAATGAACGCTCTCATATTACAAATGAGAAAATGGAAGCTCAAAGAAGTTGGGTAACTTATCCATGCCACGGCTGTCGAGCTGACCACTGATTGCTTAAGGACCAGAATCCAGTAATTTTGAGTACTAAACCGTCTCATTACTTTTAGAGGGTGACATTGCTGCACATAATATTTAGACTGGTGATCATTTTCATTTTTTTGGAAAAAAACTTATTAATCCCTTGAAGAAATGTACAGGAAAAAGCAACATTATCACCTCCACTTGCATGCGAGAGAGCCAGTGTTGGGGGGAACACAGGCTTTACAGCTTAGGTCCAGACTCGAGGTCTGCCACTTTGTAGATAAGCCTCACTGAGTTTTATCTCCTTCATCAGTAAATCGGGGAGTATAATATTACACTGCCAGGTTGTTTAGATGATGTTCTGAAGTGTCGCATAACATCAACCTTCAAAAATGTCATTCCCCTTCTCACGCTTATTCCTAGTGAATTTTCAGGGTATGTGTGATCTAAAATAGAACTATTTTAATTCTACTGTGGGAAAGCTGAGGCATATCATCCTACGGAATGTTAGTAGAATACTTAGATAAGTAGAGTGGGGAGTAAAGCATGGTCTTTGGAATTTGATCTTGGTTTGAATTCTAGAACCACCTAGTAACCACCAAGTTACTTAGCTTTAACATGCCTGGTAAATGAAGATAACACTATTTTCCTCATACGACATTGTGAGAATTAAATAAAGCACTTATCACAGAGTCTGGCTCTTAAGGCCAGTACTAAATTGCTGGGTCCCTGCCCTTTATTGAAGAAGTGCAGTGTTGGTTATATTGATGACATCAAAGTGACTCCAGTGGCTTCTTTTTCTCTCCAAACATAACGGCTTTTTCCCTCTATATTAAGTCTGAACTAATCATGAACTAAAATTTACCCTCATGGGATGGAAAAGAGTCATTTTTCTAGCATGATTTTTTGCTACACAAAGTTCACCCTTGAACAAAATAGGTTTGAACTGCCTACGTCCACTTATACATGGACCTTATTTTCAACAAATATTTTGGAAAGTTTTTTGGATATTTGTAACAACTTGAAAAAACTTGCAGATGAACCATGTAGCCTAGAAATAACATAAAAATTAGAAAAAGTTAGGTATTATTATAAGAATACAGTATACAATACCTACACAAAAAAATGTGTTAACTATTTTTGCTGTTGGTAAGGCTTCTGGTCGACAGTAGGCTACGAGTAGTTAAGTTTTTGAGGAATCAGAGTTATATGCAGATTTTCAACTGTGCAGGGGGTTGGTGCCCCTAACCCCCACACTGTTCAAGAGTCAACCGTATACTCAGTTATAAGCACTGATGGGTTTAGAATCAGCCCTTGTTTCACGAGTATTTATTAAACGTTCCCCAAAGTCTCTTTTTACTCTGTCTAGTTTAGGGTTTATCTCCTCTACTGAATTCTTTTACTTCAATGAGTAAATTTTTTTTTTTCATTTCCATGATTTTCAACTGGATCTTTTCATATCTATCCCTCTTATTTAGTTTCTAGTGTTTTTAACAATTTTATAATTTCTTGTTCTTTCGATTGAATTGTTAATTCTTCAAAATAATTTTCTGATTGTGTTAGGATTTTCATTTTCTCTAAAGGGAACTCATCTCTTAATGGTTATTTCTATTGGATGTCTTTTGTGTTGATATTTTTCTACTCCAATGTCTGCAGGTAAATATTGTCTCCCTTTCTCTCTGTGCTCTTTGTGTCCTGACCAATGACCTTATGGTCATCACCATTCCCACCCTAGATCCCCAAGGCCAGAACCAGATCTTACATTGGCAGCTTGGGTCTTATATGTTATGATGATGTTGAGGATGTCACATTCTAGTACGGACCCTGGTTTGTGAATCAGGTCTATAGCTTTTCTAGTTTCTCCTGTACTCATTGTTCAACACTGAACACTGAGCAGTTTCAAGGTTTTTTTTTAAGCCTCCATTCATGGGCAGAAGTGCCCTTCGTTTCCCCCAGGAAGCCCGACTCTGACTCTGTGGGACACTTGAGGCCTTATTACTTCTCTTGGATATCCTCTGGGCCACCTTCTTTCCAAGTGCACCTAGAATATAGTCCCAGATGAACCAAATCCTGGGCTATGAAAGAGATCTCAACACATTTTTTAAAAACTGATATCATATTTAAAGTATGTTCTTTGACCACAACAGAATTAAATTAGAAATCAATAACAAAAAGTTACCTGGAAGATGTCCAGTTTGGAAATTAACACATTTCCAAATAATTTAGGGGTCAAAGACATGTCATAAGGAAATTAGAAAATCTTTTGAATTGAACAAAAATGAAAACGCAGCTTTTCAAAATGTGTGGAATACAGCTAAGGTAGTGTTTTGGGGGAAATTCATAGCATTAAATGTTTATAATAGAAACAAGAAAGGTTTAAATCAGTAAGATAAACTTTCGTCTTAAGAAACTAGAAAATGAATAGCCAATTAAACCCAAAGCAAGAAGAAGGAAAAAATATATACATGGAGAAAATCAATGAAATAAGAAGATATTAAAACTAATAAACCTCGGGCGCCTGGGTGGCTCAGTGGGTTAAAGCCTCTGCCTTCGGCTCAGGTCATGGTCCCAGGGTCCTGGGATCAAGCCCCACATCAGGCTCTCTGCTCAGCAGGGAGCCTGCTTCCTCCTCTCTCTCTGCCTGCCTCTCTGCCTGCTTGTCATCTCTGTCTGTCAAATAAATAAATAAAATCTTTAAAAAACAAAACAAAACAAACTAATAAACCTCTAGCCAGAATAATTAAGAAAAAGAGCTATGACATAAATTATCAATATCAGGAATCTATGAGAGGGTATTTCTACAGATTTTACAGATATTAAAAGGATAAAATAGAAAAAGTATGAACAATTTTATGTCAATACATTTGATAATTTAGATGAAATGAAAAAATTATTTGAAAAGCACAAATTACCAAATGTCACTCAAGAAGAAATATATAACCCTAATAGTCCCATATCTAGTTTTTAAAGATTGAACTTATGGTGTATTGAAAAAAAAAAAAACAAACCCCAAAACAAAAAAATCTTCCAACAAAGAAAATCTCAGGCCCACATGGCTTCATTGGAAAATGCCATCAAACATTTAAAGAATTAATACCAATGTAATGCAAATCTGTTTTGATTCTTCTGAATGCAAGATACTTAGTTAAGGGTTCTAGAAGAAAAATTAGCCCAGAAACATGCAGTCAGTTTTGTGTGTTCACTAGTACTTTCCTGCCGTAAAAACCTAGTCATCTTTTGGATCAGAGGGAGGAAAACCCTCTGAGCCTTAACCAGAGCATTTCCCCATCTCCTGCTCTGAGGGGTAGCCCTGCATGCAGCATCTATCCACCAAGGAGCTATTCTGGGCCAGGCATTCTGCTGGTATTTACCCTCAGGTCCTTGATCTGGGTCTCCAAGTGCTTCATCTGCTCCAGAGACCCGGTGCTGGTGCTCAGGCCGTGCAGCTGAGACTTGACCAGGTGGAGCTCATTGCCCATGGCGGCCAGGTCGTTCAAGAGTGTCATCACACAGCTGTCACAGTCTGTAAGGGCCACAATCAAAGGCAAATGTGCCACAGGAATGGAAACAGAATACAAGGGCCATAGAGCCTGGTTAATATGCACATAGGACATCACAGGCAAAAATCACAATCCTGGACTTCTTGGGAGGGATGCAGATTCTGCAAAAGAGAGATCTCTAGACAGGGAGCATCTTAAAAAGAAGTGGTAGAGTGGGGGAAACAGGGGAAATGAGTCAAAAGGTACAAACTTCCAGTTATAAGATAAGTAAGTTCTGGGGATGTATTAATGTACAACCGGAGACTATCATCAACAACAGTGTATTATATATTTGGAAGTTGCCAAGATTGTCTGTCTTAAAAGTCCTCCTCACCAGAAAAAAGTTTGTAACTTTGTGAGGTTATTAATGAAACTTCCTGTGAATAACATTTTATAACATATACAGATATCAAATTATTATGTGGCACACTTTAACCCAATGTTGCATGTCAATTGTATCTCAATAAAACTGGGAAACATGGTGATTCTATGCAACATGTTCATTATTTTGTATGTGGAAAAATAATAAAAAGGAGCTTTTATTAATCGAGAGCTTGCTATTTACCAGATATTGCGATAAGAGATTTACCAACATTTTCCCAGTGAATCTGTGAGGTACATATAGTTATTATGTCCATTTTACAAATGATGAAAGCGAGACTTGAAGAAATCCGGTCACTTGCCCAAGGTCATACAGCTATGAGTTGACAGAGGCTGGACTTCACCCTAAGAAATCCTCCCCTGACTTCCTCCCACCATTGCTTTCCCATTGCATGTCCCAGCATGAGGCTTGCATTTCTTAACTAAACCCCACAAGTCAGAAAGGGGGAGGGGGACTTTTCTTTTCTCACCATCACATTCTTCTCCAGGGCCACCATCTTTGGGCTCTTGGTTTAGGCAGTCTGAAAAGAGGGATAACCAAAGAAAATACTGTTGTTAAACTTTCTCTTCATCTGCTTTTTAACTTGGCTTTCAGAAAAGCTACTTGGGAAGATTTTAGTCACCCAACTATCCAACATCGCTGACTCTTCTCTTTTCTCTTCTTTACCCATGCCATTGTTCGGGGAGCTCTCCCGTCTCCCACCAGTCATGCTGTAGGAACAACTTTCGGGACCTCCCTGTCTATTCAGTTTCTTCTCTATAAAGGGTCATGATATTTTTATCTAATTAAAACCCCTAATCATTAGTGTTAAGGCTTTCTTCACTTGACAGCTTCCTATGTAATTGTTGATATCTCTTCCAGTGTCATTCAAGAACATTCAAAAAACATCGATTAAGCACCTTTCGGTGTCCACGGTGTGCCATGGCATTGCGCCACATACAGGAAATACAAAGCTACTAAGACAAAAATCCCTGCTGTTCTGTAGTTCCCTGGTCCCATGGGAGAGGCAGATAAATGACACAACAGTGTGACAGATGCTGAGAGAGAGAGATGCACGTAATGTTAGTGGACCTGCACTGCTAACTACCACAGACATAAGCTAGATTTTGAGGTTCTCAACTATAGTCAGGAAAGCCTACTGGTCATCCCTGGACATTCTTTACTCTTTCCATTTCTCCTCTTTCCCTCATACCATGCATTGTTACAATGAAATGCCCTCTCCCTTCCCTCTAGAAAAATAATCTAACCTCACCACAGGACATCTTAAAGCCTGAAATTTTCCTAGACATGCTACAAGGAGGCTTTCATGTTTTTTCTTCTCAGCAGCAGACAATAATCCTTACTTTCTGTGTATATACATGTATTTTAACTACATTTACTTTAAATTATAAAATAAATAATGTAAGTTCACTATGGAAAATTTGGGAAAATCAGAAAAATAATGTAAAGACATCATCTCTGACCCCACCACTCAAAGACAATGTCTCCTTTCTATATATTTGTAGACATTCTAGTTTATTATATATGTAATCATAGGTTCTTCTTACTCATCCTTTTTAAAAAACTCATTCTTATGTGTATGCATCATTACATCACTTTCATTTTCTCAATTAGACTATAAATGCCTTAGGGCCAGGAAACATGGTTTTATTTTCTTTACAATCTCCCATAGCATCTCAAATAGTCTAGGGAGGACTTGGCTCATGTGGAGGACTGATTTATCAGGGCAATTTTTTCAACAAGTTTGAATTTTGACCACCAAGGAATCTGCAGGTTATTATTTAAAAGAAAAAGAAAGAATGAAAAAGAGGGGGGGTGGGAATAAGGCTCACAAGGAAAAAAAAAAAAAGCTCACAGGAACAGAAAGTCTCATGTGTGAGCATTTTGTTCCATTTGCGGAACACACAATTACCATCCTCACATCAGGTTGCTTTGTTATCGTGGTTGTTGTTGTTAGAGTAGGAGACAAAGAGGGTTGAAAAGATATTAATCTCATGAATATGCTGTGTGTGATGCTGAAGCTTCTCCTTGAATATCTAGTCACAGTAGAAACTCATTTTTTCCAGAACAGTCCTTTTCATCTTTAAACCCCTAAAACATCTTCCTTAGGATGATTTAAAGTAGATCTCCCTCTAGTTTCCACTTCTTGGGTTCTACCTCTTATGCCACATAGAACAAAACCAACCCTTCTCCCACACATCAACCTTTGAAATACGTCCTTCCCAACTCTTCTTTTCACAGTCCTGGTTTGTCAACCCTTCATGTGACATGACTTTGAGTTTTTTCAAAGTCTTACACTCCTTCTGAACACACTGTCGCTTGTTTAATATCTTCTAGAGAGATAAGCCTCACATGAGGACTTATATGAGCAGCATACCAGAGAATGGCAGACCACCTGGTTTTGGACTTTGGAACTCACTGAAGATTATATGATGCATTCTAAGGGCCACCTTACTTTCCTGAGCCATATTGAACTTGGGGCTGACTAAGACCTCAGTCTTTTTCACCTGTTGCTACTAGCCCACATCTCCCTTGTCACACACTTATTTTTATGCATTCAACTATAGGACCATGTGCTTATCCCTAACATAATGTTGTCTTGTTAGACTTGGCCCATCGTTCCAGGCTGTTGAGTCCCTTGAGTTATTCTAAATGTGCCATAGGAGACATTTTCTATTTCTCCCAACTTTGTATCATCTGATAACTGGGTGGGCATGCCTTTTATATTTCCATTCAGGTCAACAGTGTTGAACAAGATGGAGCCAAGGATTAAGCCCCAGCACACATCAACAGATACCTCACTCTAGACCAATAATAATCCATTTACTCTACATTCCGTTGGAGCAGTCACTTGACCAGATCTAAACCCACACAATCTGAGTTTAGTTCTTCATCTTGTCCATAATTATAAAATAAGAGATTTTATCTAAGGTTTGGCATTACATATATCCATGATATTTTCTTGGTAAATCATCTTAATATTCTCCATCAAAGAAAGAAGAAAACCATTTTCCCTTCTTTTCCAAGTTGTTCCTAATGAACCCATACTAACTCCGAGTAATTAATTGTCTTTTCCTTGGCATGTGAAATCCATCCCAGCTATACCATCCACATCCCAGACATTTATTGCTATCCTAGAAAAAGTGTGTTGACTTCTTCAGTTACACACATGAAGAAAACTGATGTGATGATAACCTTATAACGCCAAGGGAGAGCTTAACAAAATCACCAAAGTAGGAGCTGACGTTAGCTTGGCTCTAATTAGTTGAGTTTTAAAACAATTCATCTTTTTTAAAAAAGTTGACTTGAAGTAAATTATTTACCAAACTGTAAATACTGCTTAAGCATTCATTCCCAAGGTTGTCAAAAGAAGGAGATCATTTGTTCACTGAACTTGTGTATTATGGTTCCTGAAAATATTTGCCAGGGTTCTTTGCCTACTATTTTATATCAGATTGATAAATGCAGTTTAACAAAGGTGTGAGTCCATCTTACCTCCAGTCAGGGGATGACAACTGCCCGGATGGCCATTGCTGTTACAATTGCATGGTTGGCAGCTACCTCCAAGCTTCTGGGGATTCCCAAAATATCCTGGTGCACACCTACTCAAAATAAAGAAGAAAAGGAGAAACACCCAAAAAACTCATCATTTGTTCCACCCAATTTTTTTTCTCCTTATAACTCCCTGTTTGGGACACTGTAACCCTATAACAGGAAGGCAGACATTGATTTGCAGGAATAAATGTGTCTCAATACAGAGAATGAGAACAAAGGATGTGGAAGATGGCCAGAACTTGGTCCCTCCTCCTTGATACCAGGACAACAAGATCCTTAATCACCCCTAGAATCAAAGGGCAGATGAACAAAATGCATACAGGATCCAGTGGTTTGACCAATATGGAAATCAGGGGTGGATGAATTTTATGCAATAGTTATGTTCCTGAAGATACCACACAATGAAATGTTGCTTATTTTATGGCTAATTTCCTCAAAGAAAAACTTAAAGTAAAATTCATATAATTTCAAAATGTGTTCAAAAATGGGTATTTTATTAATATTTCCTATTGGACTATTTCAAGCCTGCATAATTCATATTTGTGCTAATTGCTGCAGTTCTGTATTTAATGAGCTTAAATGACTGAGAGCAGTTATAGTGCCTACCTCTGGCTTGGAGCCTTTATTATTCCACATAATTTAGTGATGAGAACTCAATTCCTTATTTAAGTTAAAAGACACTTCCTTGATACCAAGTTTCTGTTAAAACAAAAACAAAAACTAAAACAAACAGGGATGGCTGCCTGGCTCAGTCCCTTAAGGGTCTGCCTTCGGCTCAGGTCATGATCTCAGGGTCCTGGGATCCAGCCCTGCATCAGGCTCCCCGCTCAGTGGGAAGTCTGCTTCTCCCTCTCCTTCTGCCCCTCCCCACGCTCGTGCTCTCTCACTCTCTTGCTCTCTCTCTCGTAAATAAATAAGCTCTTAAAAAGCAAAACAGACACATGTTAATTTTCTGGAATTAGGCTGGAAACTAAAACACTTCTGTCTATTAACAAAGTTCCACACCACTGTATCCCCCCCCACCAAAACTGTCATTAACTCGATGTGTGTGTATGCTGTCTTTTCATCAACGGAATTGACAGAATCAAGAGAATGTGGTATTTGACTCTCTTCCCCAAATTTAAGCTTTGCATCAAAGAACGGTTAGGTAATTTTTATAGGCTCAACCAATGGATATACTGGAGATAAAGTGCAAAGGTCACGGGCTTTCAATCGGGAAGATCTGGCTGGATCCCCGCCTCCACTATGTGCTGTGTAACCATGGGCTGTTATCTTAACCCTTCAAGCTTTGGTTCCCTCATCTACTCCTGTCATGAAAGTGTGAACTCCACAGGGGCCTGGGTTCTCTGGCTGGTACATGGTTAGCTCCTGGGTAAGTGCCCATGCCCATATCAAGTGCCATTTAAGTATATGCAGAAGGAATAAGTGAATGATTACACTAACAATGCCGTTTGGATGGATGAATATGAGATAAAAATGTAGTGAAGAATCTAATACAATGCCTACACATAATAGACACTCAATAAAAAGTAGCTACCATTTTAAGACATGATGAACTATTCCTGTAAATATGCATCTATGTATAATTGGTATCATTTGGAATGATTACATTTCAGAAAGCAGAGAGGAAGCAGAAAACCCATGCACTCCCTAATTATCAAGAAGGTAACTACGCAGAGGTAGTTTATCTAAGTCCACTAAGCATAAGTTGGCATAAGGCTTTGCTTGATGTGACAGGCCTCATATTCTACTTCATAAACTATACTATGCAAAAGATCTATGTTTTTTAAAGATTTTATTTATTTGAGAAAGAGGGAGTGAGAGCGAGAAGATGGCCTGAGGGTGGGGGGAGGGGCAGAGGGAGAGAAAGAAGAGGACTTGCCTCACAGAGCAGAGCGCCTGACCCATGGCTCAATCCCAGGACCCTGGGATCATGACCTGAGCAGAAGGCAGGTAGCTTAACTGACTGAGCCACCCAGGTGCCCAAAGATCTATGTTCTAAATACGTTATTTTTAGATGGCTCACCTATATCTAAATTTTCCATGTAAAAGATACATAATTACAAAATACTTCATGTTAAAGTCACATAAATATTCAGGAAGTTGGGACTCCACTTCTTCCTTACTCTGGTAAAAAGCATTAATTAGCCATTACAGAAATAACTGGTTCCCTTATTCTCATTTTAAGTTAGTGTCCAAACACAATGGATTGAAGTAAAACTTCCTGATATCATAGATGGTATTGGGACAACAAATAAAGAGCAGAGAATATATTTGTCATCTGTGGCTCTAAGCGGCCGAGGGAGAAGCGTGCTTCAGAGCACAGTACAAGCTGGGAAGCCTTTCCTACCCCAGTGCTCACATTGGCTGCCCCCAGCCCAGCGGCTCCTGCTTATATTTTTCTTTTACCCTATCTTGTCCTTGTAGCTACCACTGTGTCACTGACAACTAGAGCCAGAATGATGCCTGGCCCAGAGGGGGTCCTCAATAAATGTTTAACAAATGAAAAAATTTGACATTAATATGGCATTTACCTGTGGAAAAGTTCTAGAAAAAAAATTTTCAGAAACCCTCGTTTGCTTTCCTGAGACAGCAAATGTTAACAAACACAATCTGTGAGAACTGTTAATTAAGAATTTCTCTTTTCAGATCTGCTGCCTGCCAAATGGACGGCTCAGACAGTCTGTTGCTGTTTTCTGCTTCATTGTTTGTGAAGAACTGTGAGGAGGATTACACTAGGATGCCTCTCCCAGGTGGGAGTCTCACAGCTTTTCAACCACAGAGACTGAAGAAACTTCCTATTTCCCATCCCACCATCCTTCCTGCCTCAGTGTAGCAGCCCCTTCTGTCCCTTACCAGGGAGGCTGAGGCTAGTTGGAGGTCCCTGTCACAGTGGCGGGACCCAGCCCGGTTGTGTTCTCGGTCACTGTTCCAGCAGCTGGTTTGTATATCTGCCCACCACTAGATCGTAACACCCTGAGGGTACAGCCTCTTCTCCAGCTGCTAACGTGTCCCTAGTGTTTAGCCCAGTGCCAGGCATATACTAGGATCTCCATACATTTTTCATTGAAAGAAAGAATGAAAAATAGATGTGAGGCAATTGTGGGCAATGTTCCTCCTGTGGAAATGGAAAATAGAAGAACCTTGAAATTGTTTCTTTTTACCACAGGACAGTATCCAGCCCCTTAACTGATGCTCAAGGACCCCATACTAAGTCTTGTACCTTCCTCCCATGGCAAATATCCTCAAGGCCCTTGGGTTTTCTTGCATTACTTCCCTGACTTGAGCCACCTTCCAGCCCCACCGGACTCTTGTCATCCCTTAGGCCTACCCAGGTCCCACCCTGTCCATCAAAGATCTCAGATAATACCAGTCTAGAGTGGCCCTGCCTTCCTCCTATGAAATCCAGCTGAATACATTTTCTGGTTATTGAAATTAGGTAAAACTCTTTCTAAAGTGTATCCAGGAAAATAAGGTGCCAGAATGGCTAAGGAAAACATTTCAAATAAAAGTTATGTAGGAAGCCTTGCTCAACCAAATACCAAAAGGCATTTCATATTTTCGGAAATGACACGGAAATGATAACAGCACAAAGACCAAATAAAATGTACAGAAACGAGTCTAAGTTTACGTAGAAATTTTGTAAATGCACATTGACTTTTAGTGAATTCAACTATAAGTACTTGACAAAAGAGAGAGAGGTAGGGGAGGGAACGGGAGTGTGATAGTATGAGAGGAAGAGAAGGAAAAGCTATCCCCATTTACTCTGTGAGCACATATCCCACAGTGAGTATGGCATGAGGGATGGGAATCTGCCAGGCCCCTTACTGCCTACTTTCCTTGTGCCTCCCCTAGTGTGAACATCTCACCCTACTGAGTGTGGCTCTGGGATGCAGCTAATTACTATGTGTGTTTCCTGCAGCATGGGTCCCTGGGTCACGGAGATAGGATCCTGGGGTAGTCAGAGTTACTTGGACCCTTGTAGCTGCGCGTTTGACCCTAACTCTACCTGCCATGTGAGATGTCATGACACCACCAAAAGTCTAGCTTCCAAATTCTCATTTAAATTTATAGTTTTATAAAACTATAAAAGAAGTCAAAGCAGCATAAACATTTTTATAACCTCCCTAAGCATGACCCCAGTGGCTGACCACCGGAAGAATACAAGAATAGATACATAAAATAAAACACAAAGCCAAAAAAACCATACAAACAAAAAACAAACTGAGAAAAATATCTGCAACATGTAGTACAAAAGGTTCATTTCTTTCCAAAGAATTTGTACAAACCAATAAAAAAAAAAAAACCTTCCACTAGGGAAAAAAAAAAAAAAAGTGTAAAAGACCCAAAAAAGCAATCCAAAAAATAAAATCTACAAATGGTCAGTAAGCACATGAAAAAAAATCCAATCTAATTATTAAACAAAGAAATACAAATTAAAATGATATACACTTGGCCCCAACAAACTGGCAAATTTTTTAAAATTTGATCATTTCTGGTATCAAAGGCTAGGGCACTTGCTCTTTTGCTCCTGATAGGAATAAAAACAAGGATGACTTTTCTGGAGGGCAATTGGGCAAAATGTGTCAAAAGCCTGAAAAACACACCTATCCTTCCATCCAAAGGACCCACTTCTATTAATTATACGTTGAGGATTTATGTGCACAAATAATTTGAATAATTAGCTGCAAGGATTTACTTTTAGCACCACTTTGGATGGAAAACAGTAGAACTATCTCAAGGACCAGCAGATTCCAGAACCTCTTGGTTCTGAAACAATGTTATCAGTGAGTACTTATTGATATGGAAAGATAGTTCTAACCTTCCACTAGATGAGAAAGCAAGTTGAAACAGAGAGTGAAACAACAATCGACTCTGTTTTCAAGAAAACATCTGTGCACAGATTGATTAGTAAGAACATACAAGTTTTAACTGGGGTTTTCTGTAAATAAGACGATTATAAGTAGGATTATATGAGCCTGCACGAGTATGTTGAGCTACAGAGACGTGTAGTGTGGGCCTCTTGGTTCTTTGCTCACCTGTATTACATCATTTTTATAGGTATGTATTGATTTTATGATAAAGTTATTTTAAATTTAAAAATATGATGTCCATATAATTCAAATGCTGTACTGTTACTTTTTCAAATATGTATGTGCTATCCTCCTAGGAAGACCGTGAATACCTTTTATGGCCCTTATAAGGCTTGGCAGTGCCCTGTGTATGGTAGCTAATCATGAAAATTTGCTTCCAAATAATGAAAGCTTGGCTCTATAGCCCTTCATAATTAAGTTCATAGTTTCCATTTTGCAACATTTTTTCTTTTGTTTCATTACTGAACACCTATTACAGGAACAGTCCCACCATAGGCAGTAGTGATTCAGAAATGAATGACACAGACTGTCCGGCAGGTGTTCACAATGGGTGAGGATAGAGAGGGGATAATGTGTAGGGATAGGGGTGTGAATGTGGAGGAATATTCAGGGCTGTGGATATGTGTGTGTGCATATAGGAGTATGTCGAGTTGTATGTGTGTGTCCACGCAAGTAGGGATATGCGTGGGGTGGGGTACATAGGGATGGATCTGTAGGGTGAGGAGTATATAGGGATGAGTTAATAGGGAGCTAAGGCTAGGGAGGGTTATGTGTACCAGGAAGGGATATATAAGGATACGTGTATGGTGGGTGGGATATGTAGGGATGTGTATAGTGGGGTAGGAGTATGTAAGGAAAGATTTATATGGAGGTAGGAGTAAGTAAGGACAGGTAGGGGGTGTAAGTCTGTAGGGTTGTGGAGGGGGAGGGGCAGGTAGCAATACATAGTGGGAGGGGTACCAGTGAGTGTGCAGGGGGATAGGCGTATGTAGGAGTATGTATGTGTTGGGCGTCCATAGGACTGTGATATATTGGATCTCATTCTCAAATTTCTGAAACATGTGAAAAACAAGAAAGAGAAGGAGGTTAATGATTTATTAAGTGAGCAGTCTTGTATTTTTCCCTAGGGACCTTTTTCTAGCCTCAGAGAAACGGACAGCCCCACCCAGCTCTGAGCCACAACCCTGCACAGCCCCACCCACAGCCCGTGCCTGCCACAGCCTGACTGCAGAGCCCACCCTCCCTGCAGGCTGGGGGAGGGTGTTGGGGGAGGGGCAGAGCGAGAGTGGGGGAGGGGCAGTACCCACCTTTCGCACTGTGTGCCTGTGTATCCGGGTTTGCAGAAGCATCTTACGTTTCCCCCATTCACAACACAGCCAGTGGCAAAGCTTAAGGGAAGACAGAAAAAAGCCTCAGTAAAAATATAAATCGATAGTCCTTGTGCTCATTATCTTCTTTTTTTTTTTTTTTTTTTGCTACAACGCACTGACTTGCATTAAATGGAAACAGACATCAAGACTCTGGTTGCTTTTTATATGAAGAAAAATGTGTCCATTAAGACGTGTATAGATAATGATGAACTATTTCAGCTCACACTGGGCATATCTTGGTAAATAAGGACTGGAGGCATTTATTTGGTTTTATTTTCGGCTTAGAGAAATACATTCCTTCACTTGAGACAGAGCAAAGTAACTCACTTTGAAAGAGATGATTACAACAGCATTTTTCCAGGAATAACAAAGAAGGAATGAAACAAGTCTAGGCAGAAAAAAAGAACAGAGAGTTCTGATTCTTCAAAAAATTTTCCTCCTTGTTTATTCTAGTTCCTTCATATTGGGCACATTATCTCCCAGGGAGAAAAGGTGCCAGGCCAGAGGGACCAAGGTACAGAGCAATCTTGCCCATCTAGATAGTTCTGTGGGCACAATCATCGGTGATCTTTTCATTTCTGAAATCAAGTTGTGGCATTCTGATTCTCCTTTTTGTCCTGAACTAGTGCATATTTGAGAAGCTTTTTTTTTTTTTAATTAAGTGAGCAGATCATGAAAAAACTCCGTTGCCTTGAGGGATGTCTATGAACATTACACCCTAGTAAATCTGAGGGAAAGTAACTCCATTTATCACTTGCTGATAAGAGAATTCTTATCTAGGAAGCTTCTCTTGGCCCAGTAGATGGATAGAGTTATACTTCTAGAGAGACAGAAATTTGTCAACAGCATGAATATCGCTGGAGGGAGAATTAGATAAAAACAGTGTTTCACTGATAAATCTGAGGAACCGTGCATTACTTCAACTGCAGGAAAGCCAGAAGCTGGCCTTCGTGATAACAATATACTTTGCAACCAAAGATGAAAAGTCTTCCCTGAGTACCAGGTGAAAATCTACTCCTCTGGCTTCTGTTCCAACAAGTCTAGACAAGTATCAAGTGATAAATCCCTTTGCAAATCAAGCCGCAGGACTGGACCGGTTTAAGGAGTATCAAATACCCAGAGAGCAAAACAGGATGCCCGTTTCCAACATACATCTTCAGGAAAGCCACAGCTGGGCAGCGACTTCTGCTAACGTGGCCAATTTCTCCGATACTGGTCTGATATTAATCAGCCTAGTGGTCTGCACTTGTTCCTGAATGAGCTGCTGCCTACACTCTTAGCGGCATCTTCCTGATTTTCCAATCATCTCTTGCTTTGTTGCTGTGTTCTGTTTTGCTCGGACCCACCGCAAACGTGTCACAATGGGCAAGAATAGGATGAGGTACCAAGCCCAAATAGAATACGAGTTACCATGGAATACAAGTGTAGCTTGCCACCCATGTAATGGATCTGCCCTGCTGGAGTTTGAATGACAGGTCACATCCTTCCATGGGTCAGGACTGGCTTGTGGCTTCCAACACACTGAGGATAAATCCAGTGCCTCACTAGAGCCTGCAAGGTCCTATGGGGTCTGAACCCTGGGGGCCCCGCCCAACTCACCTCCTGGCCCTTTCTCCGGCAATGCACTCCAGCTGCCTCCTTACTCCCCCAACACATCATCACAGAGGCTGTCTAGTCTTTTCCTTGCCTTAGACCTTCATTGCTGAGACACTACCCAACTTACTCTATTTCATTGTTCCCTGCTCCTTGCCCAGAAAACCCTCCTACTCCTCTGTAAAGAGTCTGCTCACTCACCACCAATCACATAACCCTGTTATCAACTGCATAGCCCATCTTAATCTGAAATTATGCTTATTTATTTGTGCATTTATTTCCTGAGTGTGACAACTGCCCCTGCCCACATTCTCCAGGTGAAGCCTCGTGAGACAGGAGACTTTGCCAGTATGCTTTACTGTAGTCGCCCCAGCACCTAGAGAACACCGGCTCCTAGCCACGTATTGGGCGCTTAGTAAATAATGTTCAGCTATTAAACGAAGAGTGAAAGGAAAGAGGAAATGGAAAAACGTCCAAGTGTATACTTGGAAAACTGTTTTGTTTGTTTTGCTTTTGGTTTGCACTTTCGTGTGTTCTTTTTAAAATGTAACTGCTCTACTGAGCTATAATTCACATACTATACCACTCGCCCATTTCAAGTATACAACTCAGTGGTGTTTAGCAGATTCACAGAGTTGCACAAACTATCCGGCATGATCGATTTTAAAATATCTCCATCATCCCAAAAAGAAATCCCACCCCCTTAGCCGTCACTTCCCGTGTCCCCTGACTCCCCACCCCCAGTCCCAGGCAACCACCAAACCATTTCCTGTCTTTACAGGTTATTTTCAAGCTCTCCCAGTACCTGTTTGAGTGAGGACACGGGCAGACGCTACAGGATCCCTGGACGGCGTTCCCATAGTGACCCTCCTTGCAGCGCTCACAGTGTTCTCCCGCAGTGTTGTGCTGGCAGTTCTTGGGACAGAGGAACACGCAATTAACAGCAGCCGATTACACTGATTATTATTAAGATCACTACCACCTTCATTCCCCACACAATTATAACTCAGGTCCTCTGATTGTACAGTCATATCAGTCCACGAATGGTATATTTTTCCCATCAATCCAATTATTGTTGGTGCTAAAAAATATATATAAATATAAATGTATGTGTGTGTATGTATGTGTGTGTGTGTGTGTGTGTGTGTATATATATATATATATATATATATATATATATATATATATTCTTTCATCCACTCTTTGGGGCTTGCATTTGGAAGATGAAATGCAGGAAGAACAGCTGCATCCAGACTCACTCTAATGTTTCATAGCTGTACTGTCTTGGGCAAGAAACTTCACCTCTGAGCCTCCATGTTTTTTACAAATCAGTTTTATTGAATGAATGATTATACACATTCTAGTTCTCTTAAGATGTATCACTGAGGGGCGCCTGGGTGGCTCAGTGGGTTAAGCCGCTGCCTTCGGCTCAGGTCATGATCCCAGGGTCCTGGGATGGAGCCCCGCATCGGGGCTCTCTGCACAGCAGGGAGCCTGCTTCCCTTCCTCTCTCTGCCTGCCTCTCTGCCTACTTGTGATCTCTGCCTGTCAAATAAATAAATAAAATCTTTAAAAAAAAAAAAAGATGTATCACTGAAATAATACCCACTTTCCAAGGTTGCTGGGAGGGTTGTAAAAAGAGCCTCAGCAAAATGTCAATCCCCATCCTCTTCCCCTAAGAACAGCTTCTATGAAAATTAACTTGATATTGCTTTGTAAATCACGTAATGACCATATACTAAAGAGGAATATAGTCGTTAAGTTTAACATGTGGAATTTGTTAAAACAAAAAAGCTGCCCCGTATCAGAAGAAAACCCTCAGTTTAATTCCAGCATCTCAAATAAGCAAGATAAGGTGTGCCTGGGTGGCTCAGTGGGTTAAGCTTCTGCCTTCGGCCCAGGTCATGATCCCAGGGTCCTGGGATCGAGCCCCACATCAGGCTCTCTGCTCAGCAGGGAGCCTGCTTCCCCCACTCTCTGCCTGCCTCCCTGCCTACTTGTGATTATCTCTCTCTCTCTCTCTCTCAAATAAAAAAATAAATAAAAAAGCAAGATAAGTTGTGTGTTTACATAAATCCAATTATTTTCATGTCAATGTCTACGGAAAGCCATCCTTCAGTAAAGCATTGAGATGAGACAACTTTTCAACTAAGCGGTCCAATGAGACAAATCCTAGAGAACTGTATTAAAGTTGTTTATTTTGTGGAATTTTTAGCCCCCTGTGACATTTCTCAGTTTTACTCTAGTAACAAATATCTGAATGAACAAAATTATCCAGGAAAACTCCCCTTATTGTGGGCAATTGATAATTCAGATACTCTGAATTACACAAGATACTCTTGTGTTAATTATATGGCCTGGAGTAAGGATAATATTTTAAAAAATTGCTCACAAATCTTACCTCTGTATGCAGAGATGGGGCTTGGTAGGAAACTTTAATGGATGTGAGTTTTCAAGAATATCTGAAGCTGGGTTGTGAGAAACAACCCACATGTGTATCCTAAGTGGGCGTGGTCCTGCTCAGAATGTGAGATATAATGTCCCTTCCTCATCATGTCATCTGTTTCTTCAGCTTAAACAGATCCATCCTTCACAAACCTTTGAATAACGGCCAATTACACAAGCCACTAAGATGTTAAGACATCTTTGGCTATTTTTTCCAGATATGAAATCGCAGTAGACACACAAAGGAGGCTGCTCACATGTTAACATGGGATCATCTCCAGAAAACTCATTCTGGCCCTGAATCCTTCCCTCTTCTCCCACATGTGCCCACCGTGGAGGCTTCTCCCACAGGCCTGGAGGCTGGGAACAAGTCCACGCTGCCAGTTATCGCACCCACAGACCGGTCTCTCCTTCACCTTTCCCTTGTCCACTGTCCTGCCTCCCTCACAAAAGTCATTCTATTGAACTAATTATTTACCTCTCCCTTTAGTTTCCTTCCTTTTTAAACTCGAAATGGTGATCTTAAAGAAGAATAGGGCTGCTGAATCGATACATGTTAATCCTGTATCTGATCTGAAAACATTGGGACGCGAGGAAGTAGAGAAACAAGAATTGCAACGGGGCCATCTGTGTCCTACTGAAAACGCCCCGGACTCTGGTCCTCCTAGGGAGTGGGGAGAAGATTGTAGAAAGGGGTGAGAACCTGTGTTGCTTGATAAGGTCCCGTAAGAATGTCTGAGATAGCCCCACCCTCAGCCGAGAGCATCTACCCTGGAAGGTGTCCTTCTCAGTCCTGCAAACTGCAGACATCTGCCTGTCAAGTTTCCTTGCGGTTCACAGCAAATAAATGAATGAGTGAATGGATGAATGAATGAATGAGTCTACATCTACTCCCACAGCACATGCTCTCCTAGCTCCATCTAACACCAAACATCCATTGGGCATTTACTCTGTGTCCACCCATGCTAAGTACTAGGGTTGCAAAGACAGATCGGCACCCTGACCAGGGAGCAGACAGAACCCTGTGAGTGGACGTGTTCAATAAAATGTGGAAAATACGATGATCACCGTGTGCCGGCATCTCACAAGAGCAAGAGGGACCTCCAGGAAGAGCTTCTGGAGGTGATGATGCCTCCTGAGTGGAGGAGAAAGGGAGAGGAGTTGGCTGGGTAGAGAAATGAAGGGAGGGCCCACCGGGCATGGGGAACAGTGGACACAGCAGCTTAGTGTTGCAGGAACCTGGCAGGGTATATAGGCAACATGAAGCCACTGGTATTCTGGAGGGTGAAGGACAAAGTGGGGCAGACATAGCTGGACACAGCACACACCCAGGATGTGGGAGTCTGGCCGGGAGCCCCGTGTTGGCTGTGAGCTTCAGATAAGTCATGCTGGGGGTCTCAAGCAGCAGAGAGTAAAAAAATGAAAGAAAACCAAAGGCAGAGGAAGGAAAGAACATGGGAACAGCGAAGTAGATGAGGTGTGATGGACACAGTGAAAGGTGAGTGGAGTTGGAGAGAAGTGGAGACACGGGGAGAAAGCTGGCAAGGAGAAGAGGGAGGGGCAGGGCCTCAGCAAAGAGAAGGGGCCTGTCCCTGCAGGTCCTTTGGGCTGACGGTGCCCACGAAACACATGGCCTGCTGCTCCTGGACACACGCGGCTTTATTGGCAAGGACCCCGGCAACTTTCTTTCCAGACTTCAAAGTTTATTCTTGAAATGACATGGAGATTTGTGTATGTGTGTGAAGGTCCCAGATTTTAGAAACTGACTTTGGATGCTGAGCAGTGAAGGCCAGTCTGCAGAGGAACCAGACTATTTCACGGTGACAAGCACTTGATCTCGTCATTACTGCTCTTTGAGAAGGAGGGCTACATCCCTGGCTCCCACGCAATGCGCATCCCCCACCCCACCCCCCCAGAGCAGTGGCAGCCCTCAGTGCCTGCCACTGAGCAGTAAAGTGAGTGCAGGCAGGGGCTCTGGGCCTCTTTGTGTGTGTGTGTGTGTGTGTGTGTCTGTGTGTGGGCGCGGGCACATTCCCCAGGGACAGCAGGCCTCTGGAGAGTGGGGATTATGTTGTATGGTTTTAACCACAGCATTTAGCTCAGTACCTCCCACAATAGCAAATGCTCAGTAAAGGTTTCCTGAATGAATTCTTTCTAGAGACCATATGGCCATTAGGGACAAGTGAAGACAGAGCTACAAAGAAAGGAAATGGGAAAGAAAATCTTCCTGTTTGATTAAAACAGAGGAATTATGACTCATCAGTGATCCTCTCACTGGGTGAATGGACTACACAGAGCGCCTGCTTTGTTCTTTGGCAGCTTTTATAAAGTAGACTCGACATCTAACGACGGTTTGGTAACAAGATAAATATTTATTTTAAATTAAAGCATCTACCTGTGTTACACACAGCATACAGTACGAAGCATAAACTATCATAAAAGAATACTTAGGAGCTGAAAAATCGTCTTTCCCAATGTCTTTTATTCCTTCTGAATTTACAAAGTTAAAGTCCTATGGAATATCCTATCAGGCTCTTTACAACAATGTCCTGTCCTGGCCTGTCCCATCTTGCAAAGGAAACAGTTCCCTGGGACATGTTGAACTTGGCTTAATACAGTCTAGGAACTCAAGGAGTTGAAACACACTCTTGATGCATTATACAATGCAAAGGAAATCTGTGCCAGAAGAATGTATTTCCAAAGAGCACCCCATAAGTAGGGGCTTGTGTGTCTGGGGGTACTGATTCTCTCTCCTTTCTCTGTCACTGTCCATCCTCCTTCAAGGTAAGGAGGCCCTGGCTCCCAGGGATGAAAGAGAGGAAGGCAGAATAAACCATGTCTAAAAAGGATACAAAAGAAAAATTTCCTGAGAATCTAATTTTGAATAGGAAATATTTTTTAAAAAATATTCTCAAAGAAGATTGTTTTCCAGGGGATAAGCCATAGACAGCAAGGACTCCCTTCACCTGTCTTCCTATATAAGCCCGCTTTGTCTTGGTGCCCGTGGAAGATCGGTGTTTGAGCGACTTTGAGTGCCCCTTAAGCCTTTCTTAGCATCTTCTCCCCCACTATATACTTGGGGTCTACGGCTCTTTTGATGGCTCCTGCTACTTCCTGCCATTCCCACCAAATGGGGGCCCAAAGTGGTGGCTCTGCTTTGCTATCTTCCAGCAAGAATGAAGTCTCAGGATGCACCCACTACAACACTCAATGAAACAGAGACGGAGAGGCTAACGTGTAATTTCCCTGTTCACAAAAGGACTTCTCTGACGGCACGTGTGAAAATGGAGGAAACAGTGGAGTATGAACTATTTCAGCCTGATCACACTGGAGCCTCCTACGTTTACAAAGCAACCTCTGTTTAGTGGCAAATGGGACATTTGATGTCTCAGGGCCCAGGAGAGTGGCGGTGGGCAGGGGAGGGGACAGAGAGACACAGACTGCCTGCGAGTAGCTCTAGACTATCAGTTTACTCACGATACATATTCCCGAGCCATCCTGACATCGACTGGAATGTCCGTTGCAATTGCAGGGAACACATCGTCTATACGGGCCTTCGTTATCCCAATAGTATCCGGGGCTACAACCCTATTTTTCAAACAAAGCATTTAGTCAATATAAAGAAAGAATTATTATCCAAAGCATGTGACAATTCTGACTGTCAAGCATTCACTAATGCAGTCTTTTGTCCCTTAGCTGGTGTGTAGATTTCTACTTTCAAACACTGGCTGGTCCACTGGCTCTCTACATCAGGTGCTACCTTGTTTCCACACCACGGCAGGAGTGTGTGCTTGTGCCAGAGCAGGAGACATGTAGGGGGACGTCAGAGAAAGGGGAGGAGTGTGGAAATGGTTTCCTCTCCTTCAACTGATTTAGGGCGAATGGAGGGGAGGAGGGATGGAGGAGTAAATAGGGTCAGGATCTCAGTCTTTAGCAGGAGGGTCTCTAAGAAAATCCCTTCAAGTTCAAGTTCTCTTTTGGTAGGCATTCGCCCTCCAAGGGTGGGTTTGGACTGGAGGGGGAGGCAGTGTGGGAAGGAAGGATTAATGAGTCTTCATTTGGATTGACGTGATAATGGCAGAACAGGATTCACGTCACTGCCATGCACTGGTCTAGGGACAACAGGGAACCCTGGGGAGAGGAACACACGTTCTCTACAGAACCCTGCAGGGGTGTTCAGTTCTGATAGGACACATGAAGACCCAGCTGGAGAGAATCCCATTGAGCTGGTCTTCTTCTCTAGTTCAATACTCCTTTGATTATTTCTATCTCTACACATTGTCTCTTCCCAGGACAAGTTAATATTTTTCATATGGACGAAAGGAATTACAGTTTACTTTTGATGAACTGATATTAAAAAAAAAATTCTAGTTAAGAATGCCCCCAATAGAAAAAGAAACAACTCTTCCAACACCAGCCACTAAAAATTATTTAGATTTCTGTCTTTAAAGAGAGTCATAGACATTTTGCTTATTTTGGCAGATTGAATCAGTACACTGATTAAAACCAAATGCTGTGCCCAGTTTGTTTAATGACCTCCTCATATGCCCTATTTAAATATCCAGAAAAATAATATTTCAAGATAAAACATCTTTTATCTAATCCTCTTTAAACAGCACTAAGTCTGTAAGACTCTGAAGCTACACTCAAGGGAAATTTTTGAATGAACTGTCCATTCTCATTTATTCAAAGTTTCTACCTGGTCAGGTGGGAAAGAGGAAGCAGATAACCTGATAGGGCTGGAGAAAAAAAGCCTCATATACTCACCAGAGTGGAATATCTCAGTTTCTGATTGGAGCCTCTCCCCAAATTACCAATTACTACACGTTGTACACAGTAAGATTATAATTCCCAATATATTTTTCCCTTCAGCTATTAGAAACCATGTTTAGGCAAAAGAAGCTATTGCAAAAAATGAGATTGCTTTATGTGTTATATGAATAGGCTTGTCTACAGGAGAATCAAAGTATGAAAGGAATGTTCTTTAATTGAAAACACGACTGAGAGATACGTTCGAACAAAAGTCAGCCACTGGTGGTGTGATCATATCTACAAGCAAATATTCTCTGCTACTAAGTACCTCTTAATTACCACCATATATCATGTTACATGCTTATGAAACAATCATATTTGGTAAAGAACAAATTATCCAAATAAATAAATAAATATATGTGGTTCATTTATGACAACATGCCTGAGTAAAAAGCCTTAATTAAACATGCTTTGGAGGGAAGATAGTCCATCCTGATTAAAACTAAACCACCCACCCTAATTTGCTTTGGATTAGAAACAGAAAAAGTCCCCTGCAAGAGTTCTGTAACTATCACGTGACTCTTAGGGAGAACATTTGTCAGTTACTGAAATATAATCATTTTCTCACCTCTGTAAAGCTCACAGATTGTACTGAAGACTTACCCTACATGAAAATGAATGTATCCTAATATACTATTTCAGTCAAATGGTTTAGCAACTATTTTTTTAAGGACAACTTTTCAGGATAACTTTTCCAATAAACTTCTCCAGTACAAATGAGAAAATTATGTCCCTATCAGGTTTTCAGGGTTATTTCAGTAGACATAGGATCTATGTCTCTGAGTAGACATGTAAATATCCAGAAAGTTGAGAGAGAGGGAGAGAGAGAGAGAGAGAGAGAGAGAGAGAAAGCGAGTGCACAGAATTTATGAGTGTTTAATGCCTGGCAAATTGAAGCATGTCTTGTTAGGTATTATACAAACTTGATCTCATCACTTTTCGTAAACATGGATTTCACTGATTCTTGTGGTTTACTTTTTAGGTAAATTTTCTTCCAAGAAGAATCTGGAGGTCTACAGGCTTTGGACTTTTTTGTCTTAGGGGTTGGGTTACTCTCAAAAGGCAAAGTTTCATAGGGTACTAACGTCCCACAAATGTTCAGACTCTGAGCTGCCTGGGCATTTCCAGGTGGGCTGATGTTTACAGGGTTTGCGGTTAACAGCTCAGGAGAGCAATCTGTCAGGCACCCTAATAAACACTGTCAGTCAATGGGACAGGGAGGCTCTGGGCCCCTCCCCCAGCCCACCCAGAACTCATTCATCCCCTTCACTTCAAATGTCACAAAGCTAAGAACCCTTCCCCATCCCAAACCAGAACGTAAAAGGGGATGATGTTACCTGGCTGGGTTTAAAGTCCGCATGACTTGCTTGCAGATGACTTTGACCTGGAGGCTGAAGAAACGCTAGCCTCTGCTGCTGCAAATTATATCCCAGACACTGCCCCAGGGCTGCCCCCAAGATCCATAGCCACCCGGCGCTCCTGGCTGACCACCTCACTGCTGGTGGCATCCTGGTCCCCGGGCTTCCTGCTGGCTGCACGCAAGCCTGCCTCTTCCTCTTATACCTGAGCTTCCTACTCAGCGCCCAGGCCCGCCTGACTCAGGTGAGGCAGGCTGTCTGCGGCAGGAGGCCCCACCTGTAAACTTCACCCATGAGTCAGCCTGTGAGAGAGCACACATAACAGTCCCACAGGGAAGCACGCCGCTCTGTAATTCCTGCGAGGTGGGGCACACACCACCTTCTACCCACCTCACCCCGCAGACGCAGACGGCTCTGGCCGATCAGAGCTGCTACAAATCACAGGCTGAGTCATGCGCAGAGAACACGCCCTGGGCAGGAGGCTGGTAATGGAGAGGTTCCACTCCTTCCCTGGGGCTATGATTTTATTTAGGTGGGCCAGAAATGAGATAGGAGGAAGGGGGGGTGGGAAGAAGAAGGTAGCAGCCACCTGTGGACTACATGTAACAAGACAGAAGTCTCCAGAAAACCAGCGCAGGTGATGTTTGCAGGTTAAAAAAGGAACTGGAGTTCAGATCCCCTGGGGGCTTTCTGCTTCTGAGGGGTGAGGACAGAAAGGGAAGGATGTTGCTGAATGTACACACTCAGGGTGTAGGGAATAAGCTGAGTGACAATGTTTGCTATTTCCTAATAACTGCACCAAACATTGTGCTTTCTCTCCCTCCCATACTTACAGCTTGAGATATGAAACGGTTTCATTTTATGGCACCTTTTAATCATCTGAGGACAAGTCAGACTGGCTAGGCCTCACATGAAGGAAGGTCTGCTGGGAGCTAGGAAACTGGGCCGCAACTTCCCCTGGAAGAATTAGGACATTCTCTGGGCTCTAAGTCTATCAGCAGCGGGTGTCGCAGGGACTCTCTGTTCAAGAACAGCCTGAGAACCCCAGGTCACCCAATGGGAAGGCAGTGTCTCAAATCCTGGGACGCTCCTTTTGAGTTCCCAGAAAAGTCCCGATTTCAACAACCCTCAGGATTGCTCAAGTGCCTGTGGCTTTCCTGTGGAATTTGAGATGTTTGTGATTTCTTTTTCCTATTTAATACCTGGAGGTGGTCCGGGGAAGACAGAAGCTTGAGCCCAGTGGACACCTGTCTGCTGGGCAGAGTGCTGCGGACCATCTGGGCAGCAGTGCCGGGCGGCAGACAAGAGGGCCAGCCACGGCAGTCCCGCGGGAGAGGCGAGCTTCCTACCTGGCATGAGTCACCAGTGTAGTGAGGGGGGCAGGCACACATCTCAACGTTGTGTGCTCTGCGCCCACTTCCTGTGTCCGAGGCCTCTTCCAGCCCCACCCCGCTCAGAGAGAGCCGCTGCGTCTCGGTGAAGTAGAGGCCTCGGAGGCGCATGTCTTCCAGGCTGGACAGAACCATCATCAGCTCTTCCCGGGTCACCGGGCCGCCGCTGCTGGCGTGTCTGAAGTTTCTCTACAAGTGAAAACAGAGAGACAAGGTTTCCCCTCTGCAGGCTCACTTCTGCGGGGTTTCAGAGAGACAGACACCCAGCACAAGTCAAAGGGAAGACATTTACAGGGCATATGGGAGAATAGACTAGAATAGACAAAAATAAAATAAAATAAATAAGAAAAAATAAAATAAATAAGTAAAAGATAGTGGATTTGTAATTCAGAAGTCAGGTGCCCTGGGTTATTCCCAAGAAGAGAGTGCCACATGAAAGGGGAAAAATGAAAGCAGGAAATAATGAATAAAATGAAATGAGACTTCCCAGTGTTATCCTGATTTTAAAATGTACTTCTGTGTGTGCAAGCAAACACTGAGCGAGAATGATATAGGAAAAAGGCAAATGGAAGGCCACTGGGTCATGCAGTTAGATCACTCATTAAACACACATAAGGAAAGGAAACTCAATCTTTTCTTGCACACACACATTTATGTTATTTTATTTTACTCTTACGATGGTAAAAAACACACAACATAAAATTCACCATCTCAACCATTTTGAAGTATATTTTTAAGCGTAATGGTGTTAATTATATTCATATTGTTGTACAACCAATCTCTAGAACGTTATCATCTGGCAAAACAGAAACTCTGTACCTATTAAGCAATAACTCTCATTTCCTCCTCCCCCCCTTCCTGGCAACCACCATTCCACTTTCTGATTTTATGAATCTGACTGCTTCAAATACCTCATCTAAGTGGACTCGTGCAGTATTTGTCTTTTTGTGACTGGCTTATTTTGCTTGGCATAATGTCATCCCCTTACGTCCTAGCATCTGTCTAGCTAGAACTATCATATTCCATCATGTGACAGGGTTACATAGTGTCCCAATAGATGTATATACCATATTTGCTTTATCCATTCACCTGCCAATAGACATTTCAGTTGTTTCTACCTCTGACCTACTGAGAACAGTGTTGCAGTGAACATGAGTGCACAAATAGCACTTCAAAACCCTGTTTCCAATTCTTTTGGATATACAGCCAGAAGGAGGATTGCTGGTCATTCGACCTTTAAATTTTTGAGGAGCCTCAATACCGTTTTCCACAGTTTTTCCACTGTCTTATAGCCTCACCAACAGTGCACAGGGGTTCCGATTTCTGCACACTCTCCCCAACACCTGTTATTCTGTTTTTAATTTTTTTTTTTAATAGGAGCCATTTCAACGACCATAAGGTAGTATCTCATTGTGGTTTTGATTTGCATTTCTCTAATGATTAGTGATATTGAACATCGTTTCATATATAATCTTTATATTCTGCTGCCTCCTTTAAATTTGGTTTCCACATCTCTTTAACAGACATAGTAATACCTAATCTCTCAGGACTATGATGAAAAGTAAAGCAAATTAAATAATATAGTGTATATAAAGTGTTCAGCCCAGTGCCTAGCATGTAGTTGACATTCAATAAATGGTAACTATTGTTATTTACATATAAATATGATAGGAATAGGAGTTTAGTTTAAATTTTTAACAGCTTGAGATATGATTTACATACAGTAATAGTCCTTTATTTTAAGTATACAATTTTTAGTAAATTTACAGAAGTGTATAATATCACAATACAGTTTCACATTTTTACCCCCTAGAAAAAGAACTTTTGTGTCCATTTGTAGTTACTACCTATTCCCAAACAACCGTTATCTATATTCAGCCCTTATATATTTGCCCATGCTGGACCATTTATGTAAATATGGACTGGATTTCAATGGTCCACAAAAACTTTGCTTCTATTCACTTCATTTCATCCCTGCTGTATAGCAGTTGTCTTTTAAATCAGAAGGAAAAAAAGTTACAAACAAAAGATATATTTTTACTGCCCCTTATATTTACTTATGTTGTTACCTTTACTAATGCTCTTCATTTCTAATATGTATTGAAGCCATTGTCTATTAGTGTCTTTTCATTTCAGTCTACAGAGTCCCACTAGTATTTCTTACAAGGAGGGCTGGTTAGCACTGAATTCTCTTGGTTTTGTTTCTAATGTAATGTCTTCCTTTCTCTTCCATCTTTGAAGGACATTTTGTTGTATATGTAATTCTTTGTTGACAGTGTGTTTCTTCTAGCACATTGAATGCCATCCCATTGTCTTCTGATTTCCATGGGTTCCAGTGAATGGTCAGTTGTCAACCTTATTGAGAACCTTGGATGTGCATTGCTTCTCTCCCACTGCTTTTAAGATACATTCTTTGTCTTTCAGATCCTTGACTATGATGTTTCTGTGTGTGGATCTCTTGCATTTATCCTACTTGGAGATTGTTGAGCTTGGATGTATAGATTAATGATTTTCATCAAATCTGAGAAATTTTCAGCCATTATTTCTTTAAATATTGTTTCTCTTCCTTTCTCTCTCTCTCCTCTTCTTCTGGTACTCGAATTATGCATATGCTGTGCACTTGACTCTGTCTCACATCTCTTTCATGGTCTTTGATTTTCCTCATTCTTTGTACTTTCTGTTCTTCAGACTAATCTCAGTTGACCTTCAAATTTGCTGCTCTTTCTTTTGCCTGCTCAACTCTGTTGTTGAGCCCTTGTCTTAGCTCTGGTTGCCATAGGAAAATACCATAGACTTAATGGCTTAAACATGAGAAGTCTATTTTCTCACAATTCTGGCTAGAAGTTCCAGATCAAGATGCCAACCAGTTTCGTGCCTGCTCAGAACTCTCTTGCTAGCTTACAGATGGTTGCCAACTCACTGTCTTACTTAGTTGACAGAGAGTTTTCCAGGATCTCCTCTTACAAGGACATTGACTCTATCGGATCACGGTTCTACCCTCATGATCTTATTTAACCTTAATGACTTCTTTGTTCCAAATATACTCAAAGTAGAGATCAGAGTTTCAACACAAAAATTTGGAGAGGACACAATTCAGTCCATAGCAGCCTTTTTAGGGAAATCTTAATTTCATTTATTGCAATTTTCAACCTCAGAATTTATATTTGGTTCTTTTTAATAATTTCTATTTCAATACTGTTATTTTCTATTTGGTGAGACATTGTTCTCTTATTCTTTAGTTCTTTAGATGTGGTGTTCTTTAGTTCTTTGATGTATATAGATTTAAAGTCTTTCTGTATAAGTCCAATGTCTTGGCTTCCACAGAGACAGTTTATGGTATTGCCATTTACCCCATGTATGGACCATGCTTTCCTATTTCTTTTACACATCTCCAAAAACTTTTTATTTATTTATCTATTTATGACAGCTGGGCATTTAACATAATGTAATGTGGCAACTCAGGAAATCATATTTATTCCCCTCCCCAGAATTTGTTGCTGTTAGTGTTTACTATTGTTGGTGGTATCTTTGCTTAATGACTTTTCTGAATGAATTCTGTAAAGTCTGTATTCTTTGTCATATATGGCTGCTAAAGTCTCTGCTTGGTTAGCTTAGTGGTCAGCTAGTGACTGGACACAGATTTCTTTAAATGCCTAAAACCAAAGTCCCCAGTCATTGCAGAAATGGTTCTGTGGGTATGTTGAAGGACCCGTCAACACTCAGCCAGGCAGCTAACAACTCTGCTTTAGCCTTCACTTCCTGCTTGCTCAGAGCCTCAAGATGAGTCAGAGGTGAGGGCTTAGGGTCTTGTCAGTTGAGTCAGAGGTGAGGGATTAGGGCCTTTCCTGAGCATGCTCACATCCCTATGTGTGGCCTTCTACCTTTCTAAGATTGTGTTGGAGATTTGCAAAGCCCCTATGTATGCCTTGTTCCCAGCCTTTTATTTTAAGCTTTGTGATTAGCCTATTATTATCTCCAGCTGTTACCTATCACCTCAGTCAGCTATGAAGTTAAGGAGCGACCTCTAAATGTTTTCAATGACAGCCCTAAGGGAAAGGCTTTTCATTTTGGGAAAGCTCCAAAAGTCAGATCAAACAAAGACAGCCTTGGAAGGAGCATCTTCCAGAAAACTTTCCAACGGGTCAAATTATGACAGTTCTCTGGGAGTGAGGCTTTGCATAAGCTCCAATGCCACTCTGTCTCCCTTGGCGGCTGCTGGGCTACTGGCTTTCACCTTGCTGGTGGGCTACTGCTTTTCAAGGCTACTGTGAAGATATGGTTTGGGGATGGGTACAGAGCAAACTGACTGCCACAGAACCTGAGGTTCTTACCAAGATTCAGCCAGTTTTCTTGATTAAACACTTTTCAGATTGCTGTGAGCCTGTGGTCAATTTCCAGAGCTCTAGATAGTCGATTCTAACCATTTTTGCCAATTTTCTCATTACTTTACTGAAAGAGAGAATTTAGTGGACGTTCCCACCCCACCATTTTTGCTGGCATGGCTGCTCTCATAGAAACAGGATCACATGCTCTTCAATACATTCATCCCAAGCATTTGTTGGCCACTGAGGAAGGCATGAGGATGACAGGGATCTACCTCATAGCATTTGCAAGCTCACGGGGTTTGTAAGACAAAGATAGTTACCTCTAAGACAGGGGAGACTGTGCTAAGTGCCATAGAGATAGTATAAACAAAGCCCAATGGGGATGAAACTCTGTATATTTTATATAACTTATATTTTAAATGTATATATACAAATTATATATACATAAATATAATTAACATTTTAAATTCATAACATTAAAAAATCATAATTGCTTGAAAGAACTAATGTATAGAACAAAAGAGGATCATCAAGAACGATTTTGGGGGGCACTTGGGTAGCTCAGTCGGTTAAGCAATGGCCTTCAGCTCAGGTCGCGATCCCGGGGTCCTGGGATCTAGTCCCACATCGGGCTCACCTGCTCTCTGGGGAGCCTGCTTCTCCCTCCCTTTCTGTCTACTACTTACCCTCTTGTGCTCTCTCTCTGTGTCAAATAAATAAATAAAATCTTTAAAAAAAGGAACGATTTTTTTTTTGTATGTGTTTCCTTTACCTCCACCACCTGCACACGCACATGATACAGCCGGTCAGGTCGTGGGTTACTTGGTTCCTTGTAGACGATGGACATGTGCTGACCCTGTGTAAAGAAAAACATCAGTGCCATGGTTGAGATATTCTGAGCTTTATAATCCATAAGAAGAAATTTCTGTGACTGCATTATATGGAATACTCAATTCTAATAAATAGTGAAATGAATGGACTGGCAAAAGGATTAGTGAATGGAAACAGGAAAATAATACCCAATATAGTGCATGTTCACAAACAGGAAACCAGGAAAATTCCCTTGACGGAAAGTGGCTAAAAAGATGGATTATTATTATTCCTGTTTTACAAAAACCATGCTTCACAATCAATGTATGAGGTGCATTTCCATCGCTGCTGACAGGACCAGACTTTGGTAGCAAGAAACTGCTTCTTTGGTGGGTGAGTTCATGAGGAGGGCAGGGTGGACGGAAGGGCTGGCAGGCTGTGTAAATGGCGAGCCGTGGAGCTGCCACAGGCAAGAGGGAGAGCCCTGCAACCCACTCCCCGTGAGATCCAGCTTTGTTCACTCTTGGCCTCTGAACCCCCCTCTCCATAAAAGGGGCTCTTTAAGGACTCCTAACAGGGCATAATGGGAAGGTCAACACCCACCATGAGCACCTCCACCCCAAACCCACACACAAAAACCCTAGCTTTTCTGTTACAGCCCCAAGCCCAAAAGCGTTCCACACGCTAGCACTGGTGTTTCAGAAAAAAGACCATTCTCTGCCACCCCAAATCACTGAAAATCTTCATTTAAGAAACATGCCCCACAGGCTTTTAATTATAGTGGTTTGGAACAAAGCAGCAGAGTGAAGGTTTCAGGAGCCTAAATTATTTTCCATGTTCGGAGGTAAAATTCAGGAGAAATTCTGGTCATTGCGTTCTGTGAATTCCAACCATTTGCACAATAAACTCTTTGACAATAAGTACTGGTATACTTATGGCCTGAGCTGGAGGTATTCTGAAAAAAAAAAGTAGGAAACTGAACTACAGCACTGCCAGGCTGGTATTTCTATGGTGGAGCTCTTTTCCCTCTAAAATCTCTGGTGTTTCATTTTCAAGATGTCTGACAAAGGTTCCTCGTAGTTTTTTTTTTTTTTTTTTTTTTAAAGATTTATTTATTTATTTGACAGAGAGAGAGATCACAACTAGACAGAGAGGCAGGCAGAGAGAGAGAGGGAAGCAGGCTCCCTGCTGAGCAGAGAGCCCAATGCGGGACTCGATCCCAGGAACCTGAGATCATGACCTGAGCCGAAGGCAGCGGCTTAACCCACTGAGCCACCCAGGCGACCCCTCCTCGTAGTTTTTAAAACAACAGTTCAACAAATGTGGGTGCCAATAAAAACAAAACACAACACAGCAGCGCCTAAACACAAAAACCTACTAGAATGCCAGGTTCTCAGCTGTGACAAGATGTGTGAGACTTGCTAGTCCCTGTCTTATGGTGAATGACACGCAAACAGAAACCCTCAGGAAGCTGTAATTGCACTGCCTTAACCACAGCACTAAAACCAGAAACAGAATCAAGTTCAGGCTCAGACACCTCAACCTGTGTTCAAGATACTGGGCCCTGGATGGCTAGAGGTTCAGAGCAGAATGTGACATGGACCCTGCCCTCAAGGAATTTCTAGATTGCAGTTCTAGATCATGTGGTTGGTACACAGTGTACAGATGTCACTTCTCTTCTCAAAAAACCAAAGTGGCTCCCTACTGTCAACATGAACTCACATTCCTTAGCATAGCACTAGATATCCTCCTTCCTACCCTTCTGGGCTTGTTTTCTATGACTCAGGAATCACTGACAATACAGCCAAGTGGGACAGGTCACCCCTTGGGCACTGCCCCTCTGCCTTGGTTTATTTTTTTCTTTGCCCCCGGAAGGGCGCTTCTCCTGTCAAGTCCCTGCTGAATGGTCTGGCTCAAAATTAACCCTTTCCATGAAGCCTTCTGAGGGTTTCTCAACACATAAGCCCCAACTCAGATCCCAATTCTCACAGAGTCTTATTTGAACTGCACCTCAAATACGTTTTGTTCAGTGGATTGTAGCTACGTGTCTATTTCTTCCATCTCCCCTCTTAGCTCACACTAAGAGGGATAAGCTGTCCTTTATGAGCCCAGCGATGTGGCCTTGCCAACAGGAAGGCCACAACAATGTTCTGAGTGTCTCAAAAACACTGGTGAGACAAAATTGAAAGATAGAGACATTTAAAAAAATTTAACATGAAGTAATAACTTAGAAGAAGCAAGCACGAGATATTGTTATGTTCTTTGGGAGAAGAAACAAGAAAAACCATGGGGGTTGGATGGGGAGGGGAAGCAGGTTCCAGAGAAGGGGCTTACCTATGTTCAATGTCCCTTTCAATTTCTACAAAATATTGGAAATGACTTAATCCAATTGGTTTATAGGCTATTTATCAAGATGCCCTAAAGTTGGATCAGCAACCAATGGCAACTACTATTTCCAGCCACTTGGGATGTGTTCTGATACCTACAGTGAACTGTACATCTGGCATCTTTTCCAGAAGAACCATGTCACCAGGCAGGCCAAAGGACTTGATTTGGTAGGTGAGGTAGCCTCCGTATGAAGAAACCTACAGTTGTAATGATAGGATCAAGAGCACAAGCATTAGAAGAGCCCATGGAAACACTAATCACATAAAAACCACATAGGCACGTGAGATCTAGAAAGATACTATCTACCTGTTAGTGGTCATCTTGGGAGTGAAGAATTGAACATGGTATTTTAGCTCTCTACTTTGTACCATTTTATATTATTTAAAACGTTTGGCGTGAACATGATTGTTTCGCAAGCAAGAAGATGCTTCTCTTAAAAATAAAGATACTAGTGGAGCACCTGAGTGGCTCGTCGGTTAAGCATCTGCCTTTGGCTCGGGTCATGATCCCAAGGTCCTGGGATTGAGCCCCGCATCAGGCTCCCTGCTCAGTGGGGAGTCTGCTTCTCCCTCTGCCCTTCCTTGTGTGTGCTCACTCTCTCGTTCTCTCTCTCTCTGTCTCAAATAAATAAATAAATAAAATCTTAAAAAGAAAGAAAGATACTAGTCACACAGAAAGAAGTAAGATCTTTCTATTCTTGATGATGTCTAAACCAATGTTCATTTAATCTATAGCTACTCTAAGAAATCTAGGCTATTGGCTTCTTATTTCACTGAGAGAATTTGTTAATATCTATCAGTTACAAAATGAACCTCTAGAAATAATTTTTTAAAAAACTTCTCCTGAGAGCAGATGGTGAGCATTTCCCACACGATCACTAAGCCATGCCAGACTGCTCCAGTGGGTATAAGGACCTTTTCTCAATGCCACCTAGTAGCACGATCATGGTGGAGGTTTAAGGTCATAGTTTGGGGATGGCTACTTCACCTCTGGTCCTGTCACTTCCCACCCATAAGGTAAAAACCAGTCAAGAAAGGAATAATTGAGAGAGAAAAGCAAGAGGCAGTATCACCTCAGAGTGGAGCAGCACAGAACACCCTTCTTGATACACACATATAATTTGGAGCAGGGGAGAGGGAACAGCATTTCTGGGCCCCCATTCACCGAAGTCCCCTAGAATCTGCAACCTGACCAAATCACAGAGCTATGATCGTAGAGTCTGGAAGTATTCCGTGTTAATAAATCATCCTACGGAGATTAAATACGGTCTTTCTGATGGGCTAAGGTGGTTTTTAAAATATGGCCACAGATTCTCTGATACTTCTGTCTTCAGGAGGTGGAGCTTAAATCTCCTCCTTGAAGTTGGACTGGACTTATGACTGCCTTCTAATGAACGGAATATGGCAGAAGTAAGGGTACATTATTTCTGAAATTAGGTCATAAAAAGATTGTGGTTTCTATTCTGAGTTACCCTCCCTCTCTCTCTCTCTCTCCCCCCCCACCTCTCTTTTTCTATTGGTTATTTTAGGAGAAGCCAGGTGCCCTGTCAGGGGGAGTCTTAGGTAGCACCTGGGGGACTCCTGGGATGAGTGCTCTCCTCAGTAGCCAGTGAGGAACAGAGGCTTATGACAACCACATGACTGAGCCCGGAGGTAGACCCTCCAGGTATGGAGCCAGGCCCGGCCGACATCTCACCCATAACTCTATGAGAAACCTTGAGCCATCTACTCCTGAATTCCTGATCCACAGAAACTGGGCAAGAAGACTGCTTCTTTAAGCTGCACAGTTTTGGGGTAATTGTTTGCAGAGTAATAGATGAGCTCTACATGGGATTGCCATGTGAAGGCGAAGATGAGCATTAAATGAGGGAGGAGAGGGGTTATAAGAGAGGAGCAACATTGCCCACACTCAAAGGTCAAAACCCAAAGTCCTTCAACCAGAAGACAGAATTATAGATCTCTGGCTGACAAGGCCCTCATATTTAGTGATTCCAAGAGAATATGCTGCCTCTTGAGCTGGGCCCTGTGACATCTACACCTTCTAGAACATTCTACCCTCTGCTACCTGGTGCATACGTTACTGGATGATGTTTCTACAGGAAGCCCACACTTCCGTCCTCTGAAACAAGTGTAGGGGGCCAAGCTATGCCAATTTGTGCAGCAAAGGAAGAGCAACTTGTTTACAAGCTCCCAGAGGAACAGGAGCGTCTCACTAACTGCCTGCAATTCTGCTAATGACAGCCAAGCTGCCCCCGGATCCTGTGCTTCTTTTAATAAGCTTTTCAGCTTTTGTTTTCCTGACAAGGAGCCTTTCTTCTGCTTTAAAACAAAGAATTCTTAGCACTGGCTTTGAAAAGCACACATGCCCCATTTGCAACAGGTATTATTTAAATGGTTAAGTAAAACCAGAGAAAAGCCGTGGTGCATGATTTCCTTTGCTGGGGAGCGAACACATGTGGGGTACACTCAGCCCCTCCCAGGGGAGGGCAGCATCTTTCCCGTGTTTGTAGCTCATCTAATTTCTTTAGTTTTAGTAACCCGAATTTCCTGATGCTTCCTTCCAGACAGGAAATTATGCTCACACCGTGACGGAGGGGGCCCGGCGAGGGCTCAAGATAACGACAGGAGGTCCTTACCTTGTCTCCCAGGTAGGAAAGAGGTGCGACCCAGGACGCACTGTGGACTGTGGAGGGCAGCTCCTGGAGGTCTGCGACCACGCTGCTGCTGCCCGGGTTGAAGGAGACAGGGATGTCTGTTCCGTCCGCTGTCTCCAGGCGCCAACCCATCATATCCACAAACTAGAAAACAAGAGCAAAGGATGGAAACATGTGCCTTCAGCTTCTCTGGTGATGGCTGAATTACGCACAATAGAAAGAACCATGGGGTGGCCATCTTGTTCTGGAGGCTTCCTGTATATGCCCCCTCCTGAGCTTGCACAGAACTCTCACCCAACACTGCCTCCCACTGCCCCAAGACAACTAGGAGTTCTCAGACAACGGTGATCATATGTATGTGGGATTGATCTTTGTATTCCAGCATACATCCTGGGTTCTTGACATTTAGCAGGTGTTCAATAAATGTCTGAGTAATATATAAATAAGTGTGGGAATAATAACTAGGACTATGGGCACATTTTAATGGTGAGTTCCTTAGAGAGCAAATGTGAGGTGGAACACAGTGGCCTGCTCTCATTACTTTCCTCTAAATAAATCCTCATAACTACATATTTCCCTGATCAGACAGGAAGCCAAGAGTTAAATGATGGGGGGGAGGGAGGAATTGATAAGACGTTGATTAGGAATAATGTTTCCAGGCTCCCCTGAAGATAGAAGACTTCTGTGGATTTATAAACTAATTTTTTTCCCTAAATTACAAGCCTACATTCCTTTTGGAAATGACATATATAAAATAACCCTTTCTTGAGTATCTGTTGGATGTAAGACATTGCTCATACAAAGAAAGCAACCATGAGATGCTGGTTCATGGAATAGTGGAGGCAACAAAAGTTTCAGTTTCATAGAGTTAATTAAAAAACTCACATAAATAATTTAAAAAATTTAACTTAAATGTTCATGTAAAGTAATTGAGACAGAAAGTAAAATGGAAAGAAAATAAGCAGATAAGAAGAAGCAAGGGAAAAGAGTGACCAATTCCATTTAGCTGATGAGTGTAGTGTTTATTGAGCACCTACTATATTCTGGATCCAGTGTTAGGCCCCGGGAATGCATAAGGAGCTTAAATGCTAGTGTTGGAGGAAGATACATAATAAACAAATTTTAAAACTAAACTGTATAGTATGTCTGGAAGGGATAAATGCTAGAGTACACTAAGAAGGGTGAGCTACTTCATAGGGAGTGCTGAGGGAAGGCCCCTCTGAGCAGGAGATGCTTGAGCCCACCTAACAAACTGGGGCACTGAGTATGAGAACATCTGTGGGAAGAGCACCGCAAGCTGAGCGATGCCGAGGGCGAAGTTTAACACTTCAACAAAGTAATATATAAAATCTCCACCAGCCCTTCATGCTTCAGGACAATCCACTTCTTCCCCACTTGGAAGTACTAACTAAAAACCAAACTTTGACTTCCTTGCATACCTTAGCTCTTCTTTTATGTGTACTGTGACAACAATTACTTATTCCAAAACAGAAGCAGAGGGTACAGCCCTTGGGATTTGCTGGGTCCAAGTAGAACGATCCTTCTCGACACACATTACATTCTGTACCCGCCACATTCTCCTATTGAAATAAAACACAAAACAAGAGATCATTTCCTCTAAAGCTTCTCCGATTTCAGTTCGCTACTTTCCCAAATTTATTGTCAATACAAGATGTTAGTTAAAACATGGATGCTAACAAAAAATGAAATTTACATCATTGTGAAGCTTTTCTGTCACATTAATTGTTTAAACTCTTCTACCATATTCAAGTGAAAGAGAGAATCTTCTAGATCTCACAAGATGCCCCTTGGCATCTTGAAGGTAGATAAATGGCAACATGAGGATTCACAATATGGGGGTCTTCGTTCACCCCACTTCCTACCACCTCAAAACATCTGCTGGGACTTAGAAGCTCTCTTATCATCTGACAGAATGCCCTGGAGCAGATTATTAACCTGGGGTCTACGAGCTGGGAATAAAGTTTCCAGGGAATCTATGAACCTCTTAAAATTGTGGACTAAGGTTTATGGCAACTTTTCTGGAAAGGGTCTGTACCTGCCTTGTGATTCTCCAAAGGATAAGAGGGGGTCTTCCCTTCTGTTTCTATCAAACGAGCTAATAACTATTAAATGCTACATGCATTGTAGAAATCGGTTACAGGTCAGTCCTACTTCCCATTTATTTTGCTATGTTGACTCGACTCGAAGAACTTCCTCACTGACCAGTGGCTGACGTGACAGAACTGGACGTTCTGTCTTACCTTGCAGAGGCAAGCTCCGGTCACTGGGTCACAGACTCCTGGCTCAGTCCCATCCCTGTTGCAGGGGCAGGGAAGGCACTCGGGGAAGTGATAAAACCCAGAAGCGCACCGGTCACACTGCCGCCCTGTGACTCTGGGCTTGCACCTATATTCAAAGCAAAGGAGGGACAAGTTTTCATCACCGTCTCCACACAGTTCTGAAATCCGCCTGCGCTGTTGCAGAGCAACTCTGACCTGGCTTCCCTGGGGGAGTCTAAAAGGACAAGCGTCGTGGGGGTGGGTGTTCCAGACAGAAGGAAGAGAGGGGAACTGCCTGGTGTGTGCAGGAAGCACATGGATGAGTGGAGAAAGCTGACCCATGAACTGAAGAGGGAGGCAGGAGGCATCTCATGGGGATGGAGATGCTGGCTGTTGTGACACTGTCCAGTAGCACTGGAACGAGGTAGCTGAGCCCTGGGTAATGAGGGCCCTCTGGCCGGAGTACTGATCAGCTCTGGCACACAACAGAGTATCTTAATAACTCACCAAGGCTTCATATTCTCATCTGTGAAAGGGAAAAATTGCTAGCTGCTGCCTCCCAGGACTGCTGTTGAGACAGACGAGGCTGTTCCTGGCACATGGCAAGCTCTCAGAAAGGAATCACCATCTTGAGAAATTTTAAGTTGGAAAGAGTGTGGTCAGATAAGTGTGTGTGGATGCAGTCAAGATGACCATTTCCACAGCTGGCTGTTGAGTCAGGAAGGAGAGGGGGCTGAAGTAGGCCAAACACCCTGGGGATGGAGAGGAGGGAAGGGTTCCAAGCTATTTTGGGGTGAGGTTGCTGGGGCTTGTGCTGTTCTAGATGAGGGGACAGAAGAGGGGAAGGCAAGAAGATACTCGGTCATCCAGCCTGAGCACCAGAGTGGGTGCTGGTGTGGGCAGGGCTGGTGGGGAGGCTGTGCCTGGGCTCCAAGGAAGGCTCTGTGGGGAGCAGGGAGCGATCCACATGTCTGAGCACGTGAGCCACAAGAGTGGAGAGGAGAGTACAGAAGCTGACAGAAGAGTAGCCACTGCCAGCAGAACTGAGAAGCCCACCACCCCAAGGGTTGAGGAGAGAAGGAGGAAGTGGGTGCCAGCCTCCCGTAGCCTGATCTCGGAGCCCAAGCTGACGTCTGGTGGGACCCACAAGAAGGTCTAAAGAAAGTACTAGGAAATGTGCTTTATATCAGAACATGGGAGTATAATCTGATCCAAAATATTTTATCATTAACTTGCTACCAATACCTGTTAAAACATCTTACCCAAGGGACCATCCTGAAAAAGAGAAATCTAACTTGATTTCCCACTAAGTCTGTCTTTGGCAAATATCTGCTTATAACCAAGGACAGAATTTTGTGTTTGATTAAGTACACATACTCGAGACCAGTCAGCCTACCTTTGAATCCCAGCTTTGCTACTTACCAGGTATAGAACCTTGAGCAAATGAACCTTTTTGTAGCTAAATTTACTTACCCCTAAACATGGAGATCATAATACTGACTTTGTAGGATTATTGCAAAAATTAAATAATATATGGAAAAGCCTTAGAGCAGGGCCATGCACACCTACAAGAATCTGCTATTACTATTCTTGCTATAGCATTGGCTAAGGGGAGTGAATGGGACTCCCTTTCTCCCACTCCGTACACCCAAAAAGATAGACTCAGTTTTTCCCCCAAGACCTGCTGGCAGGTCAAATGTCATTTCAGTTCCAGCCCCATCCCCCTTGTGTTCCTCCCCACCCAATCCCTGCAGAAATTCTTTTTGTAAGGAAGCAAGTGTTCTCCAAATCACACCTATGGCAAGGTAGATGGAAAGTGTCAACGTTCTGCTTAAAGAGATCACTCCTGTGTGGGGGATGGAAACTTTGGAAAGGGGTCAGAGACTCTTCTGGGAAGCTGGATAAACTGTGGACCACTCACAGGTTTGTTTTCTTTCTTTCTTTCTTTCTTTCATTCATTCATTCATTCATTCATTCTCTCCCTGTCTCTTCAACACACACAAATTTGCATCCACTCTCAGAGGGTTCCTAGACTCTGACTGATAATACCTGCTCTCTTCTTGTGAATCTCAGACTAAAGGCAAACAGACAGTCCAGCCAAAAAGAAATGGCTGTTGCCAGATGACTCTCTATTTCTGGAGGGAGCAGCAAGGGTGGAGCATAAGGCTCTGGTGGTCCAGAGAGGGGAGTGAAGAGAGTACAGACAGCCCTGCCCAACCAAAATTGTCAGAAAGAGGAACCCTCGATCAGGAGCAGAGCTGGGAGATGGCCTGACTTACACAGCGCAGGCTCCTCTCCTCTCACCCGGCCAGGAGGAAAGGACACTGTGCAGAGACAGTGTTATTGTTACACACTGCCAGTTGGGCAGCTTGCCGAACCAAAGTCCATGTTTCTTTTAGCAAACACACAGGGCTTCTGGCTTACAGGTGCCTTAACTGAACACTGGTGCCACAGGAGCCGCTCACATATGGAAAGCCATGGGTGGACAAGGCTAAGAGGGATCCCTGGAGCAAATGACCTGGACCCGGGCCTGGAAGGCAAGGACAGGCAGACAAGAGCCTATTTTTTATATTTTCACTTGAGTGAAAAAGAAAGGAACTGGAGCGTTTTGCAGGGAGGGCAGCTGCGGAAGCTGCTTGTGAAGACAAGGAGAAACAGAAGCAAAATCCTTCCTTGCCTCCTTATTTCAGAAGACTGTGAGATGGTGGTGGCGGGGACAGGTGGGCTGAGGGCATGTGGCCATGTCGGTGACGTGAGGCAAAGCTCTGGACCGCACTCTGCACACAAGCAGCATCTGAGTGCCTAAGAGTGGATGAGAAAAAGCAAGAAACCGGGCAGAGTGCAAAGAGCAAGGAACTGTGAGCTGACCCCAAGGGCCTCAGGTGGGACTGACAAGGAAGGGTTAACCAAAACACAGAGAATATAACATCGGGATTCCTGAGCACTGAGCCTATGAATCCTGGACAAAAACAATAAACCAGAGGACTTTTTGGTGGTGTCATGACAACAGGGAATAAAAAGGAAACTTCTTCTGTAAGGTCTGGCTGAACATCTCTTAGAAACTAGCTAAAGTCAGCCTGACCTTGACACATTTCTCCGGAGAGATACTCTGCTGCCTGAAGAGCTGCCCTCCCTGAAAAGGCAAGGAGTCTCCCGCAGAAGCTGCCTGTAGGTGCGGAACAGCAGCGCCGGGGGTGTGGGTCAAGAGGATTCATCTCCAAGGCAATGGGCTCATGGCCAAGGCTTATGTGTGTGTGCTCTCCATGTGGCACAGACAACTAGAAAGCCAGGTTTTAGAGGGAACTCTATCTACCCTTTGCTCATTACGTATGGTGGGTCTCTTAATATTACACTCCCATCAACTCCAGTTGTCATCTAGAATCCAAAGTCTACCTTCTGCCTTCATTGATTTACTCAATAATCACCAAGTGTGGTAGGGGATGCAGGGGGGAGGGGAAAAAGTAGAGTAAGTCGGTCTTGACCTTGGCACATTTCCACTGAGAACATAGGACACAGAGATGCCAAAAGTGAGGTAATCATGTGAGAACTGGGATGGCTAGCTTGAGGCACTGAGAGGTTGAGGATGTCCCTGTGGACTCCAGAAGGCTTTGTGCCTTCTTGGGGTTTGTACTTTTCACACATAATTCTTGAAGGATACACAGAATGTGGGGGTAACAGTAGAGCGAGGAGGAGAACTCATGCCTGGAGAACTGAACATATGTAAAGTGTTTAGAGAAAGTAAGAAAACCAAGCCAGAGAAGAAAGCTGCAAAAAGGCTTAAGTTAGGGTGGTGGGGGGCCATATGACCATGAAAAGCTGGTCTTTATCCTTTCAGGGAGCTGAGACAGGCTCTTGTGCAGAGTAATGCGACGGAAGTGGCACCTGGGAGATTGGCACACAACATGGCGCCTGCCATGCCACATTGCCATTAGTGGTTCATACAGCTTCCCCTGCCAGACCGTGACCCCTGATACATGAGGCACAGCACCCAAGCTAGAGTCAGTGCTAGATCTGGTTTGAGCAATAAAATATATTGGTATCTAACAAAACAGAATTTAAGGCAAAAATAAAAAATCACAGTAACTGAGAAAAATGTTTCATCCTAGCTAAAAAAAACACCAAGAAGATAAAATCACAAGCCTATATGCATTTATCAACATTGCCTCAAGTTCTGTAGATTAGACTAATAGTTCCATGTGTTAGTGCCAAAATTATGGGGAAAACAGATTTTTAAATCCCAGGGTAATTGTGTATTTGGCATATTCCCTTTCAAGTAAGGAGCCAAAAAAGGGGAGGGGGGGACAAATGAAGAATGAGTACATGAGTAAACCAGGAAAAGAAGGCCAGTTAGGAGAGCATGAAATCTTTCAAAGGTGAGAGGGTCAAAAAACTTAACCAAGGTAGCAGCAGAGAGCAGAGAGCCATGGAAAGAAAGGAGAGGATACATACCCGGCCAGAAGTTGACACCTGATCAACTGTAGGGAAAAGGGGTTATTCTTAGATGATCCTGGGATTTCAGGCTTTGGGGACTGGGAAGGGACTGTCACCAGTAAGTAGAATTAAAAAAAAGAAAGAAAGAAAGAAAGAAAGAAAGAAAGAAAGAAAGAAAGAAAGAAAGGAAGGAAGGAAGGAAGGAAGGAAGGAAGGAAGGAAGGAAGGAAGGAAGAGTAAAAAAGAGAAATGGTTTAAAGGCAAGACAATGACATGGGTTTCAACTATGGAATCAGAATTTTGGAGTTGTAAGGGCCCTTCAAGTTAATCAAATACTTCATTATACATATGAGGGGACAGGTGTTCAAAGAGTTTAGGGGACTTGTCCGAGGTCCCTTAAGTAAAGCCAATAAAAGAACAGAGGTTGAATTGATTTGCAATGAAGGTGGGATAAGCTAGCCATTGAGGGTCAGGACCAGAGCTCCGGATCTGGAGTGGGGGTGACTAAAGCCAGGAGAATGGGCAGGGCCCATTCCATATGAAGTCTGTGCAAACTCACACCACACATCTTCTCTGTCTACGGGAGATGGAACCAGGGACAAAGCCACAGAGCGATCATTCAGAGAGACATGGAGAAAGACACTGGTGTTACAGAAGATGAAGGAAGACAAAGAAAATGGAGGTAAGAATTCTGAG